CCATTATTACCTGTATTAGGAAAAATAAGTCGGTTTTGTTTTAAATATTTATATTTAGATTTGACCAGGTAAATTTCGTTCTCTAATTGAATATAAGCTACAGATACCTATTAATTTGCGGCTAATATTATTTTCCTTCATCGAAGATTGATTTCTCAACTTATGCCTGTTTGTATTTTGACTGTAATGCTGTCTGTCTTTGAACGCATCTTTTCGAATAATACCAATTTTTTACGGAGGAGATCAGCCAGATAAGGTTACAGCTCAAAAGATTTTCATGCAAAGCTGCGAGTGTTTAAAAATCTTAAGCTCATCGTTTTGCAAGATAAAAGGCTTATTAGTTTCATAAATACGGCTATGCACATGCTTGCCACATAATGCACCTTTTTTACCCTTTTTCAGCAGCTAAACATTCTGAAAAATCATAGGATGAGACGAGATTTCAACATGTAGTTAGACGTTTTATCCACGTTGTGCACAAGTGGTCAAGAAAAAGGCGGCAAGCTGTGTGTTATTTGTGGCATCACAAAGGGCAAGGGCAAACGTAGTCTATCTGGACGTTGTAATTGAAATAATTGAATTACGAAAGATTATCTTGAAGATCAATGTTGAAAAGTGTGACTCTGTCAGTAAGAACTGAAGTGTCTTGCGCATTGAGTTATGTAGTGAGGCATCAGACAAGATTAGCAAAAGGTAACTGCAGCATCCGAGCTAAGACCAGCCAACATTTGTGAGCCACAAGAATTCTACCCATAATGCATCACTCAAAAAGGAAATTAAGTCTTAAAATACGACAAGGATCGTAAAGGATAGTGAAGAAAAATCTCACTCTGGCATGCGCTCTGACTTTTTTTTATATAAAACTTAGTCTTCTTTAATTATAAGCTTCGCATATATACATAAACAAAATTAGCTGCGAATTCCAAGTGCTCGCAGATTTGAGGTTCCTCCGTTAGATCCTAATGAGTTGGAAAACAAGATGACGTGGTTATGGAGGGAAAGGGCGATGCCATTTGTGCAGCTTCCGGTTGCTCACGTATGGAGACAGACTTGATGTGTTCGGAAGGACTTGGCTTAGACTGATGGTATCCTGAACTTGTCAGTCGTGCCAAGTCGAAGTACATAACCAGGTGGTACATAAAGCAGAAGCCTAAATTGAGGCGGAGAGGCTATGTCTAGTGGCCGTATTTTAGAACATATTTGGAGGACTATCAATAAAGAACCAACTTTTTTTGGGTCATTGCACTAGTCAAGAAACAATACACTAAAATCTTTGTGGTATTCAACAGACTTTACAAAATAATCAGTGGAAGCAACAGAACTCGTTGATTCTTAACAGTGATCTTGCATCTAGGTCATCTGCTTCGGAGGAAAGCAAAACATCGTTGCGGATGCAGTGTCGCTGCCGTCATCAACCGAGTCGGTAAAACTAATTACAAGAGCGACGTTAACAAGATAAGGATCAGCCAAAGAAATTATAGAATCATTTTATTGAAATGGACCAGCTGTACCGAGTCACCGTCCTTTGGAAGGGGGATAACTACTCGCATTCAATGGCTCAAATTCGACCACTCGCACAGTGCGACTACACTCAGAAAAAAACGGGTTCCTCACCTTATTATTTACAAAATAAATTTCTAAAATTTAAGGTTTTGGCTTTCCAAAACCTAAGGATTTTTTAATGTCAACGTGAATTTTACTAAAATTTGTAAAAAAAAAATATGTCTAATTTCCAGCATGTTGCTTTCTATGGGTGTTTTGAATGATCTCTATTTTTTCTGAGTGTAGTTCGTGGAAGCGTAATGATGATATCAAGTAACTAGCTGTAATAACTCATCGCTTTCGATTTTACATATGAACATTTTTTGCACGCTTTCAAAGGCTTTGCTCGGAAACCTAAAGAGGATATTCTTCATCTTAGCTTATGATTATCAGCTGCTACCTCGCAAGCTTATTATGCCTACAAACTTGCGTACTTTTAATTTATTTTTATTGTAATTGATATTTTCCTTCCCAACTTCACAACCATATTATTTAAGGCACTTGCAACGAATAAATAATCAATTTTATAAATGTTAAATTGATGATATTATTAATATATGGACACTAAATATAGACGATTAAAATTTTAAGATTAATTTCAATAATATTAGACATTTTAAATTTGATATTTGATTTAATGTAATTTTCTTATTTTTATCATTTTTGTATTTCCCTTAAGATGTGCTTTTAAACGTATAAACTGTCATGATAAATAATCTTCTTACACAACTGAAATTTTGCCATAAAACGTTCTTTTAATATTAACACTCGTATCTTGTCTAAAGGCAGATATATTCATGTCAGTTAAGTGATATAGGCTAAAGTGGGGCCGATCAGAGAAAGCGCTAGTTAATTATATTTTACCAACAAAAAATAAAATACATACAATAATATAAACTTTAAGTGATGTATTCATTGCTGTTGGTTTTTTTATAGACATATTCATATTTTCGCTAAAAAATTTCACGTTGTTTCGTTCTAGGCTTTAATGGCTGAATGGCGGGGTGTACATTTATCTCAGTGAACGTGTCAGAAAAACCCGTTCTGAAGAAGCAGAAGATAAGATTTTAAGACCAATTAATTAATGAACTAATTTGGTTGACATGAAATTGTCTTATAAGCTAGTGAAAATTCAAACAAAAATGCTCCATGATGCCCTGATCCTAAGTCAGTAACATATAATATATACGAGATCCTTTCGACATTCTTACCAATCTTATTTTGAATAAGAAACCCGTTTTTTCTTATGGCTTATGGCTTTTGATCCAAACAAGAATTTTTGTTCCAAATTTCTCTAGCTTTCTAAGATTTATCCAGGTACATCCGTCATTATCGACTTCGTAAGGACCTGGGTAAATTATCACAGCTGATATCGATTATAATTACTTTATGACCTCGGAGATACTTCCCTGACACAGACTCATTATAGTATTTTTTATTATTGCTAATATTCAAGGTGTTCACTTCTCTTAAAGTTAATTATTTATAGTCCGCAAAGAGCCGGATAGTCTTATGGAATTGCCATATCTAGTAGATCAGATTAATACTAAGCGATACGATAATATTTAAGTTTTGTCCGATTAAATTATTATTTAGTTTTTTATTTAATTATAAAACAATATAGAAGACTTAACAGTTACCAATCGGTAATTTATCAGAGGAGGCAGCACAAATTTTGCAGTTTTCGAAGATAACAGAAATCCGCAGTAAAATTAAAGTGAAAGTGTCGCCGTTGATTTGTCGAATAGGGAATAGTCTATGCCAATTATGAATCGTCAAGTATATTTTGCCTTTTTCGCCAAAGTTACGGGGAGGTGTAGATGCACACGTAAATAGAAAACTTATATTTTCGTAAGGAACAACTTGAACATCTGTTTACTGATTCCTTATCAAGATCTATGTACTATACACTACGATAAAAAAAAAACTAAATTAAATCGCCCTGAAAACTACTAAAAATTCTTCTTTTTAGCAATAATTTCTATTTTTCAGAAATTTATTGTTTAATAATTGAAAATATTTCTAATAAGTAGAAATGCTAACCATTATTTTTAGAAATATTCTTTCTGAAATTCAGAAAGAAGTAATTAAATGACTGAGTTATGCTCAGTCAAAATGAGAACGAAGGGTTGATAGTTTTCAAAATTTACTTAAACGAACTAATAAACTATTTAATTGTTGCTATATGTATAATCTTAAAGTACTAATATATAATATATAAAGCTATTGACTTGGAAATTAGACATATTATAATTCAATTTTAGAAAAATGTACTCTGGAATTAAGAAAATAAATACCCTTGTTTGTAGAAATATACTTTCATGATAATAAGGGTAATTTCTCTTGGCGCTAAAAATTTTACTAAAATTTGTTTCAGAGTGTTTTTGTCGGATTTCGATTACCTGTGTCGAAATGTTGAGTGTTCAAAGTAGTGAGGTTGGTCAGCATTTATTGGTAAGCAAAAAGTTTTTCATGTCTTTTCTATAATTAAATAATATATACATATATATATAAACCCACGCAGGTGGTATTAAAATTCTGCTGTGACTGTAATAATAACAGTATCTTTTTTGCTTAACGTTATTATAATTAACTTACTAGAGATTTACATGGAGTCAGAATTAAGTTGTTATTTATTATAGGAATATAATTACTCTTGGAGGTCGAAGGTATTTTTACTGTCAGTAAAATACATTTACACAAGAATAAAAAGTACAATCTTTATGTCTTAATAATGACTTTTGCATTTTTTATGAAATGAGCATAATTATGTACTTACATGATGTTGTTAAGAGGTAAATGATGTTGTACAGATAATATCAGTGTCATATTAAAGATCTCAAGTCTCCAACATCCATTTCTATTTTGCCTAAGTCTTGTATGCAAAACAAAATGATTGATAATTGTGGCAAACTCATAACTTGCTTATATTTCTAAACATTACAATATAACTATGTCTAGTAAATTAACATTAACATATAACATAAAAACGTATACTAGTATTAAAGTGACTTATTACCATCGACTTATTTACCATCGTCGTAGTTTAATAACAAATCTACAAATTTAATTAAATTACTAAATTACTGACAATCACATCTTATACAAAATTAATTTTTGATTTGTTTGACTTGAACATATATGTATAATATAATATTCATATATTTCATTTGGGATTGGTGACCTTTCTTTCATACAACCCACTTAACAAATCCCACCCCAATTTCTTATTGGTGCAAACTGCAGAGCGAGACGGCAAACATGTCGTCGCACTTGAAAACCTGCTCACAAAAGAGCCAAGCTATAGTTCGTCAGGGGCTCATCTTGCTTTCTCGCTTGGCAAAGAAAATAATGGATATGTGGTGACCATTTATTAAAACGTGTATTTGGAAGACCTTCTTGCCAGTTTCAACGCTGATGCCAACGAGAGAACACCGCTTACCCACCACCAAAGTGAAAACATTGTGAAAACAAACAAATAAAAATAAAAAAAAAGAGCGGCGCAATGCCACGTCCATTAAAAACAACTTATGGTGATCAGAAACCGCCGTATTCATATATATCTCTGACTGCAATGGCTATCCTGCAGTCGCCGCAGAAAATGTTATCGCTCAGTGATATATATCGCTTTATTATGGAACAATTTCCATATTATCGTAACAACATGCAAAAATGGCAAAACTCATTGCGACATAATTTAAGTTTCAACGACTGCTTCATAAAAGTGCCTCGTAACATTAGCAAAGCCGGCAAAGGTTCTTACTGGACCCTTCATCCAAAGGCATTCGATATGTTTGAAAACGGCAGTTTGTTGAGGCGACGCAAGCGATTCCGAGTCAAACATCTTGATGAGGATTTCTTAAATTCGAAACTGACAACAACATCTGCATATATCAAATTCATCAACGATCCAAGTAAAGTTCATCAAAAATCAACAACAACTAGTAGCAGTTTCCATCAAAACTGGATGCTTGAAAGTGCAGCACAAAATACTCTAAATCAACAATGCAAATACCCTATAGGAAATGAAAGTGAATTCGTCGAAAGTATGCCAACACGTCCCAAGCGAGCATTTACCATTGAGAGTCTAATTGCTCCGGACATAGAAGCCACTAACGATGAAAGATCTTGTCAATCTGTTCACAGAAAGCATGGAGCAACAAACAGCCGATATCCACAAGTTAATTCTGATTCAAATCAAAGCGCGCACCAGTTTCTACTGTCGAACTTTAATCAATTAATTACACAGCAGCATATTTATTTACCCACAATCGCGTATCAGTTATATAATCCGCAACAAACTTTAAATGCTATGTATATGTATCAGAATAAGCACTTGTATGATCGTCACAGCTCATTCCGATTAAATGGACCGTTATCCGTATTTTAATGAAAATCATATCATATAAAAGTTATACACATTTAGATAAACATATTCTTAAACATCAGGCATATTGACTAAGCTTGTTTTGTGATAATTCATTACTTAATAAAATATCCACATTTTGTCAAAAGCTCAATGAAAAAGTAAATACATAAGCAACATTAAATTTTATCTCTGATGTAAAATCGGTTTAATAAAATAAAATATATTTTATTTTTTTTGTCCAACTTACTTAAGGTAAGAAACCTTAATTTTCGTCTTCTAAAAAGGACGCACGTATTTCAGAGAATATATGAGCTGGAGACACCAAATTGTAATATAAATGTACATATATTAGGAATATAAATTATCTTACTCAGTGTTGATATTTGGCTTTTATGGGACACATTGATTCTCTTTAATTTTGCGTTAGTCTCGTAAGGTTAAAAACCGCTAAGATTGCGCTCCAGGCATTGCCAACTGATGAAATTGTTGAGCACGAAGTCTTGAGTGCTGACTATGGCGACGGTAAATCCAGTAAATTGCTGCTGCTACCTGTAAATTGTTTAACCCTCATAGGCACATGAATATCATATGCCTTTAGTGGCGCAGATAATAATAAGTAACCAATTAATTAAGATGATTGTCATTCTAATCGTCCAGAACTTCATTTTAAAATTTAGCCTATTTCCTAAGCTTTACATATTTGTATCCCCTTTTTGTCATTGGCAGCACTGCTCCTATACCCTAAACATCTCAAGTTTATTTCATTTGATCGATAATCTCTCCAGTTAAAAAAAAAACATCGACTGTCATAATATTTAACATTTGCTAACAACCCAAATAGAAGCAAGCACAATAATTATCTGCATGTCCCGAACCCTATGAAAACGTATTCTTTTTTTGCACTCACCGATATTTTTGAAATTAATTCAGCAATGGGTTTGGAAATACCTTTACTTTTTCACTTGACCTTGAGTACCGGCGCCAAACGAAAACCAGCAAAAATCTCGATGCACTTGGACGTGCTTACCTATTTATTTCTGGCTGTGCTTCTTTTTACCAGGCCACTATTATCGAACTTTCTTAAGTAACTTCTGTTTTTCTCATTTTAAAAAATAACACAACCAACCAAAAAGCTACTCCTATCTACAAATTTGCACTAATTCGTAAGTAACAGATGCATCCATCTTTCGTGATTTAAGTATTTCACCTCCAATGGGATACATACCAGCGATATATGTATACAATCGTAACTTAATTATAAAAAAAAAGTTATGTGTAAAATCGTCAAGGCATGGATTTGGATAGGTGCTAATAATTACGTCACAGATGTCTTCTTATGCACTTTGCACTTGGCTAAACGATATACAAAAAAAAATTGCTTCCGTTTGAGTTTTTCCGCAAAGAAGATTTTGAGTTAAATAAAAACTTTTGTTGCAGAACATATGTACAGAATATGTTCAAAATGATTTGCGAGAGGAGGCAATAATTTGGTTTTAGATTATTTACCCGATACCGATCATCAGTGAGTTATTTTGTGAAAATTAAAATAAAGCAAAATTGAGACTAAGAAATTCAAAAACTTTAAGAAATGATGTCCTTATGGTACCTGAATATTTTTTTATTGAATTATTAAGTGTTTTATCCGAAAAACTATTAGCTGTAATTTGGAAAACGTGCCGAGAACAAATCCTATGGCAACTGAGCAGATTTTGCTGCAGTAGCTGAACATTTATTACATAAATGTAATTTCAGTAAGTTTAACAATTCAGTTTAACTCTTCCTTGACTATATATATCTAAGAATTGATTCATCCATTGCCCTTGGCACTGACAGAGTTGGCGAAGGGACTGGATTTATTTATTCAAGCGCTACAAGTTAAAAACTTCTACATTTTTGCAATAGTCACAAGGAACTTAAGTAAAATTAAGATTCATCTAGAAGGGGAAATATTAAAAAATATTATGTAATTATCACAGCAAATATGCGTATGCTTAAATAAAACTAACACAAAATGATTTGTTCACAATATTAAGCAGTGCATTTAATTGACTTATTTATATGTTTACCCTAAAATAAAATCTAAAGTGTGAACTTATTTTTTGCTTTTTGAATAAGCAGCGGAAAACGTTAATGATAAACATTGGCTGGTATTAATAATTTTTTTCAGTTTTTCCCAAAAATAAGTAGCTATTAGCACCGTCTTAAGCGACATGCCGTCGGAGTAACTGCTTTGCAGACTTTACGCCTGCCAGGTTGGTCTGCTCTGGATGTATCCTTTTTTTTTGGCAATGCGACCAATTTGATGAACTACTTGGCGACCGACGAAAAGCCATAAAAAAAAGGCTTGAGAGGAAAAAAGAGAAAGTCAAATCCCAAATTAATCGATTTGCTTGCGAAACAATTAACTAGAACTATAATATACTTTAATACAGATTCTAGTGCTTAACTTAAGCGACACATAAGAAAAGGATTGAGCTTCTTGATGTGTAGGGTCTGAAATTGTCTTAGTCCAAAATATTTCTTGTTGTAAATAGTTTAAGCACGGAACCAGAAATTTCATATTATGTCTGGACTCTTAAAAGATGTACTAAAATGTACCAAATATATATCACGAATGTGTAAAAACCAGACTGACCGGAAAAAATACCAGTATGTCAGAAAATGTTCTGCAAATTTTTATAAAATTGTAAGATTGTTAGACAAGTTGTCAATAAAATGAATATTCCCCAAAAGAAAATTTTAATACTCATTGATTAATTAGGTATAAAAATACCCGATTTAGAAGTTAGCTAAAAACTTAACATAAAAGTAATATTCAGACAATAAACCAAAAAGTCACGTGAAGTGATAGATTAAAAAATTTTACAGATCGTTTTAATTTTAGCTGAGTGCTGCAGGTGCATAATTTTCACATTTTTCAATCAAAAAAAAAAAAATCTTAATTTTTCGGAAAAACATAAACTCTTTGAGATCGATTTTCACATTGAATAAGAATTGATTTTCAACTTTTTTCCATGAATCTTATATGACTGACTTTCAAGGTTAATAGATTTCGATCCTTTCTCCAACTATAGTAAAATATAACTAATAAGTTGCTAATAGTTCGCGTTGTCATTCAACGGTTTGTTATATATGGTCAATGCTAGGTATACGAATTGGAGAGGAATATAAAAAATATTTAAAGATATTCATAAGTTTTAAACAACAATAAACTAATAATAAGCGGTTCATTGGTAGTCACCAAAAAAAAACAATATTTTAGAATTTATTTTAAAACGAATATTGATTTTTCAATGAACACAACTTTTTGAATGAAAAAAATAAAATTAACTAAACAAGTGGCACAGCTAAAACAAAACAAAAATTAAAAAAAAAAGATGTGAAGGTGCAGCTGCTTGCCTGCGGGCGTATTTTTCTGTGTATATAATACAGAGTCAACCTTGCTTGGCTCGCCGGAGTCTCACGACTATCGAACAGCACGAACAGGCACGACCAGCTGACTGAATTAGCGGAGAAGCGAGAGCGAAAAACGCTGTAGTGCTGATATACACTGTGCAAAGATAGGAACGAATTCGTTCGTTTGGCTAAGCGTTTCATGTTTCCGCTTAAAATTTCAATTAATTATTGCGACTGTTGTAAAATGTGGAACCCAAATACAACCGATTTGCCGCAGTGATCGTCTACCCCATTCACACTTTTATTGTATTATATCTTACGATATCTTTAGTGATCGACTTTGATGCAATGCGTTTGGCAGATAGACAACTGCACTACGCACAGGAAGTGCTAGTTAACGCAAAGGGAGTGAAAAAAAACGAAACCGAAATGTGACATTGAAATAGAAATTAAGATCAGATAGTAAATAGTAAAATTGTATATGTATCAAGATATGAAAGTATTCTGCCCAAATTCAATGGCATCATTTGAAATTAGGTAGAATTTATTCACGAAAGCAATAACAAAAATTAATTGATATCTCTTAATGACAACTAAATTATTTCAAAACTTGACCTATTAGAAATGATTTTGAAGGTCATGATAATGTCATAAGTAGCTGTGATTAAGATAAAATATGCTTAAAATAAACGTCCCATAATTAATTAATTATTTTTTCAATCGGCTAATAATCTTCATCTTCATCGAGCAAAACATCGACAAAAAACGGTCATTATACGATCACTTCGCGAAATCTAAACTTACACTGAGCGTCCAGATATTTGAACAGCCAACTTACAAACTAATGTTATATGCATCAACAAATGCATTTGATTCTATTATATATTCAAATTACGCCTATTAGCAACGGTCATCGCATCGGTTACAATCACCCAAAAGGAGAGAGTTTCCTCAGACTTCTGAAACTTGGAGTTTCAACAGGCTATACAAAATGGAGAGGAAGATTGCGATAAGTAAAGCGGGGGACGAACCTAAGGTGCGAGCACTACCGAAGAGCCCAGATTTCCATGGGTACTGACTAAATTTCCAGGCGACCCGCAAATACTGTGAGACCAGGACAAGAGATGTGCAGAAATAGTAAAGGATCTGTGGAATCGCTCAGTTTTCAGGACGAACTGACGATGTTACAGAGAGCGCTGTTATTATAGTCAGCGCATCTTCAACATAGCCTTGTGTCAACTGAAGAGTTTATGACGACGATTGGCTTATTTGAATCATCATTAGGACCGGATGGAGGCAGTGTACCCAGACCATATTGGTCGAAAATATTCCAAGGATATCTTCTCGCAGTTTCAGAGACCGTCTGATGCGTCTTTTGAGCTAAATTCATAACAAATAAAATCTCAGAATAAATAAAATCTCTGAATATTTCCAATAAAATTATAATCTAGATGTTGATGGTGAATTGATTCTTTGATCAAGTCTGTGGATCTATTCTAATACACTAATGTATTTTTACCAACACAGAACAGTGTGGATGTAGCCAAGAAATACTGATCTTTAAAGGAGATTTTTGGATATCTACCGTCCAAGTTTGCTTTTAAAAATGCGGTACATGTAGGCTTTTGCGAATTTTGGGGGTGAGAGTGGGCGTAGCCAAAAAAAAAAAATGTTGAAAGAGACTCCTAGCAGCCTTAATTGCAAGTTTGGTAACTGTAGCTCTAAAATTACGGGAGATATGAGTTTTCGGAAACTTTGGGGCGGAAATGGGCATGGCTGAAATAAATTATAGAGAAGGTTCCTTCTAAGTTTGCTAATTATAGCTCTTAAATTGCAATAGATATAGACTTTTAGCGTTTATTGTTTTTTTTTTTCGATTTACACTAACAGGTTTATCGATCTCTGAGGGGAGTTAGAAGTAATATATTTTCTAAAATTTGGTGACTCTAGATGATGGAAGATATGCGCATTTAAGATTTCTAGAGCCGAAGTTCCTGTGGCGCCGGGTGTGCGGGTGGTAGGCTACGAGCAAGTCACTTTCCAAGTTTGGTGACTGTATCTTCAAAATTGTGGCAAATATGCGGTTCTATCGATCTATCTATTATCGATTTTAAGAAATATCGGCTTGGACGATATTGGCGCTACGTTACGTTGTTACGTTGTTATTGGTTCTTAAGGGCGGCTATCCGTAACATACATACATACGTATATACAAAATTTGCTCTAACTCAAAAACTGCGGGGGCCTGGATGCGGCGGAGATAGACTTGGCATATGCCGATCTTTGAAAGAGATCGCCTACAACTTACCAACCAAACTTGATACCTTCCGTATCAGAGTATAAAAATATAAATATTTCGATATTTCTACTCAAGCCCCTATTAATAATTAATTAATTAACTAAATTAAGCAAGTAACAACTATTTCAGAATATTACATGGTAAACGCATGATTAACAGAGGTTGTTTGCAGCAGCAGCAAAGAACTTTTAATTGATAATGAATTCTTTACATACTTGAATTTGGAGCCCTGCATGGCTTAATATAAATAGCTTATTGTTAGTCGTAATTAAATCCAAACTACATTAAGTGCAGTTTGAGTGGCAGCAGTCAGCCCTCTCATTGTACAGCGCTCTCTTTGTGCAGCGGTCTCTCCCTCTGTCTCTCGATAAAGGGCGTTCGCTGATCCGCCGACTGCTGCAGCTAATCAGTTGTTTCGAATAACTCTAGCTGGTCAATCGGCTTAGTTATTCTCGTTTTTAGAAGGTTTAGCGGGGTCTTCAAACCTTCCGTTCACTCATCGATCGTTTGTTACTCTTGTTGTGAAAAGGTTTAGCAATTGGCTTTAAGCCTTTATTAAACAAACCAAAGTGTTTTGAAAAAGACTAAGCTTTAGCTTCTACTCTAACTACATACATGTACATACATACATATATACTTTTAAATAAGCAATATGTCATAGTGGAAATAACATTGTTATTAATTGGAAAATAAAGCTTTCAAAAGGCTGATAGCGCAAACAAATGTATTCGAATTAAAATAATAAATTTGAAGAATACAAAATTAAAACAAATTAAGGATTAATACATTTAAAAAATTATATCCAAAGAAGTCTTCTTTGACTCCTCTCCTTCTTCAGCTCCTCAGTAGAATTCTGGCCAGTATATATTTCTATGAGAAAGTCTGCTAGCAGCGGGATGTGAAGGTCACAATCGTTGTGGTTTGAGGGAATAATGCTCTTTGCTCCCATAATTTGGACTAAAAATAAATAAATACATCTGGACGGCGAAATAATGTTATTAATTGTACGAGTCTTGTTGCGCAGGGAAATCTTATTACCATAATAAAGCACCCTGACTCTAGGCCTAAGGACAAGACTACTTTCTGTGGCTTTGGGTCTTCCGCTGTACACTTTTTGAGGTTGATGCAAATATACTGACAAGGCCATTTTCCAAAACGATAAAGATACTATAATGTGTCTGCAGTCTCATTAGTGAATACCACTCCTTGTCTTTAACAGGAACTTCATTAACTGTGATCAAGTCGTTATTGAAAAGTGTAAGTGCAAGTATAAGTAAGGACCCAAAGCACTAACCTTGGGCACTTTGGTGTGGATGCACTTCAACTGAGTGATTCCGTCTTAGGCTAGTCGAAAGGTCATGTCGGTTAAGAATCTGGTAAAATTGAAGGTTAACCATGCTTTAATTTCTAGCAGAGAAGCCCATTATCCCCCACACGATGAAATGCCTGCCGGATATCCAAGTAAGCCGCAACGACTTAACCACACGGTTAACTGCTCGGGCGTTCCGTTTTGAAGCTCAAAACCAAACTGGAACCTTGGCGTTGCCCTATTTAATGCAGGAGAAGCTAGGATTATTCTAATCCCACAGCTTTTCCGGTATACAGGCTCAGGATTACCAGAAGACATATTGGGTGAAAACTCTCAAGGGCATTACGCGGCTTCCCGTTCTTCTGCAGCATGACTGATGATTGATTCAAGGTTTATTGGAAAAACGCATTTTATAAGGTCGACTCCTTTGGCTATAACATTTTGCAAATGAATTTGTAATTGATGATTTTTTAAAATATGCGAAAAGTTGGAAGCTCTAGTACAAAATGCTCTGCTCCAAAAGCCTCCAAGACCACTTTGAAGACTTATGGAAAATGACAAAAGAGGAGGGAAAAGAATCTCCCGAACACTTCCTCATTTTCTGCCCAGAATAAGACTAGGCACCCTGGGAAACCCCTTCTAACTTGCCTATCCCAGTTTGCAAAAATGAGGACCTAGAGAATTGCTAAATTCAAAACGCATCCGGTTGGACCCGGATCATTGATTTCGAGATCCGTCGGGAAAAGATAGCATCCGAGTATACAGCGGGCCGCCCAACCTACCCACCAAGGAGGAGGTTCCGAGTCTTTACATTCCAAGCTTGTTAGCTGTAGTCTTAAAATTGTCGCACCTACAAAAACGGCCATTATGTTATTGAAACCAAATCCTGTAACATCCGAAAATCTGGATCTGTTCAAATTTTGCAGCCAATTTTAATTTGCTTAGTGGTGGACTGGAAATATCGTAAAAATACGAAGTGCAACAAAATGAAATAGGAACGTCCCCTCGTGATGCGAAATTGATGGGCAATTTGCAGTATTGCAAAACCTTATGGACCATAATCAAACGTGTTACTAGATGTCGCTCTAAAATGTAATTGCAGTAATTCAGTTTATTTATGAGTTAAATATTTCTGCTTAAATAAAAAAAAAATGGAACAAAAAATCATTAATTCCAAGAATCATTCTTCCATTATATGATTACGTAATAACGAATTATTTTTTTTCTTGCGTATTTTCATATTTAATTTTTTATTTTACGGATTTCCTGGTATTAACATCGTAAGCAAAACTAAACTGAGTATTTTTTAATTATCGATAGCAGCGTGCTGGTATTTTTATTCTTATCTTCATTATATCATCGCATATATTTTATTTATTTCCCTTCCATGAAATGGGTAAATAATTTAATGATATAAATTTACTCACAACCAAAACTGATGTGAAACATATCGTATCAAAAAGGCACTAAAAGTTCCGGTTCCGGAGCAAACTTGTAAAAGTCGCCGCTCACTTGACACACAAAATACCACACACCGTAGAACGATCAACGTTAAAATCAAAATTAACAAGTAGTTTTTCAAATTATTTAATTTTAGCTATAGGAAAAATCAAATAATATGTGACGAATAATAATTGATGAAAGAACTGTTTTGTTTTCTTGACTCTCCTACGCTAAGACTTGGACAACATTAATGTTTATATATGTAGAGTTTGCAACCCTAAGACAAATACTTAATGAGAAATCAATTTTGTTGTGATCTCTTAGTCTACAAAAAATCTTATGTATATTAGCATTGAAAACGGACTGAAATCTTTTCAACACAAGCGTGACGACGACAAATTTTTTTAACGCGAAATTGTTGTGTGAAGAGTGGAAAATGTCAGATGAGTTCAGGACAGCTGTTTCGTGTGATATTGCTTTAATTAGTAAAAAATGTACACAAAAAGTGTTTAAACCGTCAATCTGTCTGACAAAAAAATATTTTCTAAGGTCAACGGAATTTTAGGCAGCCCCTCAAATATTGTTGCCATTAATGTTACTGGGAATACACAAACATTCAAACATGCACACATGTATATATACAAAGTAATATATATATGTATTAGTGTTCTCGCTACGAGAGCCGAAGTGGTGTAAGAGCGAAAAGCGAACGTCAAAAGAAACGAGAGATTCGCCTCTTAATATAGCAATTGTGCTTGATTTTAGTATGCGAGGCGATCAATATTTGGCTTTTGTTCAGTTATATTCTGTGTAAGCCAAAGTGAAGTCACCTCGTGCTAACAGCCGTGATGTACAACAATTAATTGCAACAATTAAATACATATATATATGTCTATATAAATTAACATTACATTTGCATGTACATAGCACAAGCTATATAAATCGCTAGAGGAAATGCTAGCCTGAGCATTTGCCTCAAATTATTATACCAACAAAATAATTGACCAACGATTGTGAAAGTTCTGTTAAAAGCATATTGTAGTGAATTTAACGAAAAAAAAAAATACAATCATATAAAATAGGCCGAATATTATTGTTAAGCCAAATGTACTATCTTGTGGCGTACAGCTAGCAATTATTACAGCCGAAAGGCTGTAAAAAACATTTTTGACGACGCCAATTTACAAATACAAAACTACAAAATACAACATACATATACACATTCATATAGCATATAGCATATCAAGCTAAAACGACGACGACGACAATACTAGCAGGACATAAACCACCCACAAATTGCAGCCCACATTTAGAAAATCGATATTTATATACTAGTCACAACGAATTATGAACTGAACGATGGCATTTGTGTGATGTCAGTAAACTTTTGACCATTTGGGCGAATTGTTCACTGTGCACTTTATTGTGAATACACATTTGTTGAACATTACAATTATATAATCGGCCGTAGCAGTGGACCACCTTTGAATTACACTAAATTTGTTGGTTCTGCAATGGTAAAAGATAACACTGGCACACTCACAATGCGTCTCGTTCGAAGTAAATTACGCAAACGCGACGAGCCTCGGAACGCGTCATCCAATGTTATTACTGAAGATAAGGAGCACCTAGACGACAATGGAGATGATGCTGATGCTGATACGGAGACGAATACTACTATGAACAACTGTAGCAGCCACCACGTATCTTTCGTACGAATGAGCGGCGGAGGCGCTGCCGAAGGTCGAAGTGGACATCCAGATGTGATTGATATTCCGGAGTGGACATTTCCTCCAAAAGCGCCTGCACCACATATCTATCATATTAACCCGGTAGGTGAAATAACACCCTTTTCAAGGGGATTTTATCCATGTGCATGAACGTTTGTAGAAGCTACTGACATCGTTTTCCTTTCCAATTTTAATGGAAAGTAGTTTTATTAAACTACAATCTTCAGTAGTTGAGCTGTGAAAAAAAGATTGTAGATGATATATTTAATCTAAACTCGAATTCAATGCTTTTATTGATATATCGTCCAAATCGACAATCAGGTCTTGCAGAACATGATAGCAATTTTTCATTCATTGTCTTTTGAAAAACGCTGGAAGATGATACCTATCTGAAAAGCGTTTCACATCTTTGAAAAATTGTATACATTTAGCTTGATATCGTTCTGTGTAAATTGCCTGAAAGGTCTTGCCGTGCTAAAAATGCAGCATACTTCCCGCATCCGAAATAATTTTGAAGCACTGTAATTTAACGATATTTTCAATTTGACATACATTGCATAAATGTAAACAGGGTTCGATGGCGGTTGCTGTGGCATTGAAATAGGGTAAACATAAAATGGAGCGAAATGGGAGGAGCTCTTGGAGGTGCACCAACGAAACAATTTGTAGCATTAAAGCTAGTCAAGAAGAGTTTTAGGCAGGTTTGCTTAAGCTAACGCGCGAAAGGCCAATGCCGTGCAAATTTCTTTTTTAACTTAAAAGCAACTGTCATTAAAACTTAAATAAAACCCATGAACATTTTAAGATTGTTAATAAATTGTTCCTTATTTTAATCGAAAAAACATCCAAATGGTCGATGGCATTTCCACAACTGATCTGGCGATGCAGGAATGAAATAAAATTAAAGGCACGGCAAACGCTTACGCTGCATTATCAAAATATATGATATTGCTCCGTGTGAATCCATAACACTTCCATTTCGAAGAACTCAAACATTCAGATTTCGACAAAGCCTTTGTTTCTGCAAATTTTTCTTGCAACAAGACCTTGGTAGAAATACGAACCAGTTGCCCAACAGATGACGCATACTTACTCTCCAGTTTGAACATTACTTTATCATCATCTTTGTCTCTAATGAAACTGTATCTCACAAAAATTTATTTGGTTTTTTGTGCGAATTTCCGGGTTTATAATTAAATGATTATAATATAATAAATGAGATAATATAAAACATCCCATCGTACACATCAATTAGATAATACAAACTCTTGTTCAGTTTGATATTTCCATTAACATTTTCAGTTTCATATAAATCTTTTCACTATAATGAAATATATTTTATCGTTATAATGTACTCGGTTAATTCATTTTCAAACTGGCAAACTTGTTGAAAAAATGAAAAAATGCCAGTTAAGCTTTTTGCTGTAGCAAGAAGGAAAATAAAAATAAAATATCAAAAATTAAAAGTCAATAATAATAATGCAAATAATGATTTTTCTTGTTTCAGGAGATGTTGATAGCTAATGACAAAAACAGTTTTAAAGGATTTCGCAAACAATTCAGTGGGCGGTTCAAGCGATTAGTTGCCCGAAAACTGGAACCTGCACCTGTGATACCTCCAGAACTAAAGCCGCAACTAAAAACAATATATGTTTATTAATATTAAGATTTTGTATGTAAATATGTGTAAAATGACTACAGCTGGTGACAGCCAAGCAATCAACTTTTTAAATTAATTATAAAAAGTATTTCACGCATATTAATTTCTTAACGGTAATTTGTACTTTGTCAATGGAATAATAAGACACATAGTATTTGAATAAAAGAAATTCCTGACTAAATATTTGACTTTACTTGAGAAATATGCTGGCACCACGTCGATAAGTATTTTATATCAATTCTGTTACTCTTTCTCAGTAACTTTATAATAAGTCTATAGTAATTTCAAATGTATTTTAATTTATTAACATAGAGTACAAATATTTTTTAACATTATTACAGTATTGTATATTACAAATAATTATATACCCTTATAGAGATTATCTTTATTATGTTTTCAAATATGTAATGCATCGGAGGAGACGTCCTCGGGCGCATTTATTTGTATTTATATTTATTCTCGATGAACATCCCATACTGAGTCAATATAGCCATGTCCGTCTGTCCGAATTGTTTAGTGTTTTGCGCTGAACTACCTTAGTTAAGAAGCAATCACGAGGAATCTTGTTTTCTATCCGTTTTTTGGCTAAGCGAAGTACATATGTCGTATCAGACCACTATATCATATAATTGCGATAGGAATCGGCCGAAATGTAAGCCTACGCCTATCTCGATCAAGAAAATCGGTTATCTTATCTTGTGGGTTGAAGTTAATCTTCAGGCATCTAAATTTTATGGCGCTTTTTGTGACTTGTCAAACTAGAATCAAAAACTAAAATTTTTTTTTGATTATATTTTTTTTTTTTTGTGGAAAAGGGAACTTATTTTTACATTTTTGTTACAAACAAAAACATAGAATATTGAAATCGCAGCAAGTCGGGAAATCTTTAATTAAAATTTGTCTAAAACGTACAGAAATATTTAAAAAAAAAATACATTTGGCCTGGTCTACAAGGGTTTGCGATTATCGGTGTGCCCAAGATAACTGTTCTTTCTTGTTAGATATGTGATTATCAACAGATAAGGCTATGGTGTGTTGTGTGTATATGTTATGGTTGATAAACTTAAGATTATACTTGGGATTGCTTTTCGACCAGATCCGGCAGGTGGATACTGAAAACTTCTCATAGCCATCTCATTTTGCTCACTTTAGACTTAAGGTGTCCAAATAATTAAAAAGGTATCTTTAAAGTCAATCTCTTATCTAAAGCGAATTATTTTTAGTCCGCTGGTAATTAAAGCAGGAAAATACCGCTCCAAGAGAAATCCAATGCAAGGACACATGTGCAGTAAAGCCATCAGATATTTTTAGATGCATTATTTTATAATCGGTGTTGAAAGGTGCGTGGTACTATTTAAAGTAGGGTGAAACATATGGCAGATAAAATCAACTTAAATGGAATCATATATTAAACCATCTCAAAGACTTATAGAAACATGCATCTTCTTTCGGCACACCTCTTTTAGATCATCCAAAATGGGGGACAAGAGTGTATGAATCATCCTTGGCTGATATAACGGAATATTTTTCTCGTTGACCTTAAATCAGCTGCAGATTGACGGCCTTAATATTAGTTTTATCAGCTGGTTTTACATACATTTTACATGGTATCAGAGTATTCTGCAGATGCACTTGTTATGATTGAATAATGATTGAATAATTAATAAATGTCGGAGTTCAAATACCTGAGAGAGTTAGCCACAGGGTAGCTAAGTAGGTATTATATATTAAGAGTAGATACTTTTTGAATATGAAAAGGGAGAAGATATGATTTTCGTATGCCACTTTCTTTCATTCAAGTTATCAGCCTTCTCAGTTTCGTTTCACAACTTTATATTTTTTTAAAAACATTAACTTTGATCCTGAGGATTACCCTTAAGGTATTCTGAACGGTATATGCAATCGTACTGCCTCAGATGGCGAAGTTTGAGGCTGTTGTTTAGCGTGTGAATAAAAATTGGATTCTCTTCTTGATTGAGTCGCTGGAGTACCTTCCACTTCAGAAACACAAGCAGGATCTCGAAATTAGAGTTGTGGGAGGTAACCTATAACTGGATTTAAATTGCCTTCAGCATAGTTTTGTACAAGAGTACTTGATTTCCAAGTTTCAAGTCTTCTGTCTAAGAAGCCAAGTCATTCTTCTTGGTATTTATTTCTCCCTGATATTTAGCTATGTGCCCAAATGGCTTGGTCATCGTTTGGTTGTAAAGTTGGAAATTTCCACTTTGTCCTAAGGAAATCTGCTCAGAGTTGTTTAGAAGGCCGTACAGCAGTATTTTTAAATCCTTTGCAGCGCTATCTAGATAATTGAGACTCTACTTTCAAATCCTTCGTTGATGTCATTCCAGAAATTCTGACTTCTTTTGTTTTCTGTGGGAGAAGGCCTTAATTGATTGGGGGATTTCATTATCAGTTCTCAACTCTGGGGATGGAACAGTCGCTTTCTTCAGCATAATATTGATGTTGCTGCTCAGCCTTCTTGATGAGCGACCACTCTTTTTGAGTTTGAGGCCCCCAAGAAACTTCTTTGCCACCTATTATCAATCAGTTATTAACAGAGCAGAGTCTATTAGGTCTATTAGTCTATACGAACAGGAAGGAGTTTAGGGAACCCATTGCAAATGGAAAAAATTGTATTATGTAGTTGTGCAAATGTGTGTAAAGTAGACAATAGTAGTAACAGACAATCCGATCCCATAAGGTATTTTATTCAGGTACAAGAATTTAACAACCGCCTAGACATTTTCAAAAAACAGCTATCGTTTATACCTAATTTAGCTCGAAGCCCTCTTAGTCTATAGTGTCCTATCGACAGACCGGTGAGTTTTCTAAGTCTTGCTTAAATCATTTCTGATTATAGCTACCTAAAAGACAATTGGCTTGTCTTAGGTACCTCTGCCCAGCTCGATTAACGGAGATGTCTTTCTTCGTTTCTCAGTTGTTACCGATTTTGGTGTAGATTAGCCGCAATTTTCGTCCTTCTGAGTGCAATCTGACGGAAGGAATTGGGATATCTCTGTTTGGCCAAACTAATTTGAATACAACTGATATTGAATAATCAGCTTTAATTTCGCCAACTTATCGCTACTTTACATAACTTTGTAAAATCTTACTCATTTATGTAAACACAACATTGTAATTTTGGTAAATATCGATAGTTTCACTATCGGCGAGTCCGAGTTAGAAATTCAAACTCGCTTTTGTTTCGGTCAAAAATAAAGTTCCCATTTTAAATAGTTTAAACATCACCGAGATCTCAAGTTTCATGTTTACATAGAAAACGCTTTATGCATCGAACATATTGGCGCCTAACATAGGGCAGTGTTTAATCAAATGATTAACAAACAATTGCAGAATTTCGCATTTCGTTCTGTTTACAAATTCGGCATGCGCGTATATATAGACACGTATAAGTAAATAAACTAAGGGTTGGATTCCAATTATTTGCAATGCTTTGTTGCAGCAATTAAAACATCAAACTTGCAAAAGAATTTAAAAATCGTTAACCAAAACCATCACAAAGTTCGTCCCAGCAGAAATCACACACGTGCACACAACTTAAAGTAACGGATTTTGCGCTGTCTCTATATTCGTTTCGACGACCTTCAACACCGTTTTCGCTGTTCTGCTTCGTTCGCCATTAGTTTTCGATATACTCATCTTTCGATCGTCTTCTTTCAGAACGTTGCTGTTCTTATCGCATTTTTCACTACTACTAAAACGGCAAGTGCGCTGCTCGCAATCGTCGCTTCAGTCGCTACCTTTAAAGTTTGTCTCAAATTCGTTCTTCGTTCGCTTCCGCCAACTTCTCTTCATTCAATTTCGTTACACATTTTTAAATAAGTCACATTTTTTGGAAAACTACCCATGCCAGCGTGCAAATATCAAAAGGAACATTTCGCGCATTAAAACTTTGATCGATAGACCACCAGGAGAACCTTCTAAAATCTCAAGCTGATCTTCAATGTCGCTTAGGAATTTTTGGAATCGTACTTTAAGCAATTGTTGGATATTCATTCGGAAATAGAAATCGATCCAAATGATAACGCGCGCGCAGAACTAGAAGACAACTTGGTACAAATCAAGTTAGCAATTAAGAAATTGCTCGGTGGAGACTTAAATAGTGCTGTCATTGATGCCGCTACATCACACGTTGCTTACCATCCTCAAACCATCACGATGGCAATCATTTGGAATACAAAAACTTCATTTGCTCGTTTAATCAAATCATCAACTGCTTAAAGGGTGCTGCGCTGGAGTGCGTGAAGGCATTTGCAGTCACCAATGAAAACTACGCTAAGGCCTTAGTAAAGTTAACGACTCGATATGACAAGCCAGTCTTGATTTTTACAGAGACCTTATAGTTTAGGTACATATTCAAAACAGATTCGAAATCCTGGGAAAGTACAAAACTCGTCTTTCGCATTTGCTACCGCTTCTTGTGCGTTGTGCTCATGCTCAACTTATAAATTTATGGCTTACGAACAATTTAAAGCACTGGATGCGCTGCAACGTTTTGATGTCGCAAAATGCCACACGATGTGCAAATCAGCAGTATTTGCCACGCAGAGATAGACATCACCTCTCTTACAATTACTTCAATAAAATATCGTTCCTCATCCATTGAACTTTTTATACAACTTATCAGCCGGTCATCAATGGAAAATGCCAGAAAATATTGTTCTGGCAGATGAAAAATTCTACCAGACTCGACACATCGACATCTTTAAGGTTGGCGCCACTTCAATTGATGATCACCTTGAACGCTTATGGGAAATTGAATCAACTGAAACATCAAGTGTGCTGTTGAAACCAGAACATCGAACTTGTTGGAAACACTACATAAAAACGACTATTGTGAACAATCCCAGTCAACTTGGTCATTCGTTTGACATAGCACGCCGCAGATTTCTCAGCTTGGAACGCAGTTTGACACAATCTTCAGAACTTCGCTTACAGTATTGTTAATTCATGAAGGAGTATGAACGTTTGGAACACATGTAGCTGGTAAAAAAAAAAACAAACTTATCGGAACGTCACTACTACATACTCCACCATTGCATTTTAAAGCCCAGCAGCGAAACCACGAAGCTTAGAGTCGTCTTCGACGCCTCGTGTCATATATCCACTCAAACTTCCTGACTCTCCAAGATGATTCAGACTACACTGATATGTCATAACAGCGGATGTTGTCAAGATGTATAGGTAAGTAAATATTGATTTAAATGCTTACAAATACCACTACATACTTTGGCGAGCTCTTCCAGATGAACCACTTCGCACTTATCAACTCAATACGGTCACATATGGAACAGCCTCGGCACCATATTTAGCCAAACGCAGCCTGCATTATTTTGTAGATGACTGTAGATCGAGCTGATTATCTAATCGGTGCTACAGTCATCGAATCATAGTTCGACTTAGATGACTTGTATTGGAGGTGAGGACGTACAAACTCTTCGCACACTCAAGGATCAAGTCATGGAAATTTAGTATCGTGATCACTTTCCAAGCCCTTGATAAAGTGTATATAGTTCAAATCGACAGAGCAATACGAATCGGTGGCTCTGTATGTCTGTTTACCTGTAATAATTATATATTTTGGTTTGGCAATTTTGGTTGCAAGAAAAAATATCAGAAAAATCTATGATTTCTTTGATGCTGTCTCCGTTGTTTGGGGGGCTTTTGGATAAAGCGCTGAACGGGTGGCTCCCCAGATAGACTGACCTAAGGCGAGAGATTGAAAGATTATTATGATAAGTAGCTCGATGTTCTATAAAATTTCAACAGCTGTAATATCTTACTTTATTATGAATTGATAAAAAAAAATATTTGACATGTTGTATTAGTAGGAAAATTAAATGTAATGCAAATTTATGTATTTCCAAATACTTGCTGATATTAGTTGAAATGATCATTAGGGGGTGGTCGGATAATGTTTATCCGATATTGAGAGGAATTTATCAACAAAGTACCTTATAATTTTGGAGTCTCCCGTTCTAAAACTGGAGATATATGTGTTTTCGCTTACAATCTTTATCTTCCTAATGTTGAAAGGAGGTTACCTTTAATCTATTTTCCAGGTTTAGTAACGTTAATCTTAAAATTCTGCCAGATATAGACTTACTCAATCTTTTGGACGGAACTTGGTAGGTTGACAGACATTGCACAAGCCCATTCTACCTTCAGTATCAGACTATAATGATGTAAAAATAGTGAGCTCAGCTGGCGTATATATATGACGAGCCATATATACAGTGGTGTTTCCAAAATGAATTAAGTAAACCAGGCTTACTACAGAAGGCAACATTATTCGACGAAACTGAAACGGTTATATTGGTGCATGAATCACAACGGATAACATATCTCACACAACTAATAAAACATACAAAAATTCACAAAGAGCGACGAGAAAAGTAACCCACAAAAATAAATATAACTCCCCCATATAACAACATGCAAATTGTTTGTTAACAATAATAAAACCGGTTCACTACAATTATTATAGTACCTTTGTAGAGCGTATTGTAATTTTGTCGTGAAGTTTGTAACGCATTAACGGAGATTTATCCGATCTCCGTAAAATATATATGTTCTGGATCAGTATTATGGCACCAAACGAGTCGATAATAAAACACATAAATACAATTATTTTACGACGTATAAAGTCATAATAATACATCGAAATTAGGACTACATTTTATATGTTAGCAGATTAACTCTGGTCTACAAGGGTATGTAATTTTCGGTACGCCAAAAAAGGCGTCTAGTTGCTTTTTTTTTTTTTTTTGTATACCCTATTTCTCTTCTGAACCAATTTGTGTTTGCACTCGATTAGGTTTTTTGCACAAACTCTGTACAAATAGAATACATCATAAATTAATATACATACATATATATATAAATATTTTTTTTTGTGTAAGGTACATTATTAAATATTTTTGACAGTAAATAATATTAATAATCAAATAATGGCAAGGGTATTAAATCGTCATTACCACAAACTTAAAATGTTTGATGTTTTGCTACTAATACCCTTTACTATCTATTAATAAAATAAACATATTTACTTATTAAGGTAGAAATTTTCTCTTGCCATATTTTTTATTTATTGAAGTAATTGCATTACAATATTAAAAAAAAATAATTGTAAATAATTTACGCAACTGCTCGCTGTTTTTTGATTTGCATACATAAGCATAAGCTTTAATTTTACTCTTATACCCGTGCATATTTTTGTAATCTAGAGTATTTTATAGCTTATACACAGAAGTCAGACTTTCTCGACTTTCTTTCTGTATTTAAAGTAAGAGTAAACAAATACGTAAATATACATAGGCATAGGTATGTAAGCAAACCTAACATGTCAGTCAATCTTTATGTCTGGATAAAACACTTTAATTTCAAAATGTTTGTTTCGTTATTATTCATTGTGCTATTGTCCGTTGCTGCTATTGCTGGAACACCAACAAATAAATGCAAAGGTATAAATTGCACAGAAGCTCTGCAAATAGCTTCACTTATTGAAGAGCAGTCCATCGCTAGAATTGTTCACAAGCCTCACCACAGAAACAGTGCGGAAGACCATAATCCGGAGGAACTCAGTAACTTACATCAAGCCGTAGAGGTCAAAGATATTGGTGGTGTTAACTTTGAAGATACGCATTATGGCCCTATGCTGACAATTTCATCAGCTGAACCCGACATTTATTATCAATCAAAACCAACTTACTCACCCGTTCTATCACCATCTACCGCTATGCTGCATCATTATCCAACTGAAAGTAGTCAAACGACTTTTGGTAACATAATTACAGCCCAAAAGATTCATTTTGTAGCGAATTCGGAATCAACTTTTCCCATAGCACACAATTTGCATATTCATCACCATCACCACCATTTAATTTTTAAAGACAAAAAACCAACCTCAATAACGCAATACATGCAGCCAGCGGAGTCTGAGGTACCAGAAAACTCATACTATCAACCTTTAGTTGCAACAGTTAGGCCAATCGTATTGGCTCCTAAAATTGTAAGCGTATCTTCTAAAGTCAATGATTTGAATTCTGATGCAAAACCCCATATCATTAATGGAACTCACAGCACAACACCATTAATAGACGAAGAATTATCTGAAAGTAATGAATTTACTGTGAACGTGCGCCTGGAAAGCAAAATTGATCCTATTTCTGTGGTAACGATACCAGAACTCCCATCAGATACGATTAATAATCAAACAAGTGTAAAAATAACATCATTAGATTACCATAAGATAAGAGAGATTAACGATCTGCAGCAGAACACCGTTAAAGCTTCAAATAACGCAAGCGACAGTAAAGAAAGCTCTTCAGACTATTCAATATTCACCTCAACTACTTCAAATAATAAACATTCTGCATATGATGTACCACTAAATTAAGAAGATGATCATAAGCTTGAAACACAAAATTTTATGAATGAATATTTTAACAAATTTAAAAAGATATCTTCAACAATATACGTTATAAGTCAACTTTAAAAAATTTGGAATATGTCTTGTTTTTGTTTCAAATTATTTATGTTTCGGAATTACTCGTGTTGAAAGACTATATAAAAAAAATGTCTTTCATGTGGACAATCGGTCGAGAATGGAATTATATTTTACTTATACTTATTTTTTGATAGAACGGTGATATCTTTTTGCTGTTATATTTAAAATCGATCGAGTTAGTGATCCATGCCTATGTATGCTTTTGCATACGAATACTCAACTGACGTTACCATTGATATATATTTTAAATTTTTGTAATCAAGGAACAAATGTGTATGGTTTTTTGACATTATATAAAATAAATGTAAACGTAAAAATTAAATAAGAAGATTTAAAAAAAAATTGAATGTAGCCAGTTTACAGTGGTTGGACCCACAGGTATGGGGGTAGAGATGAGGGCAGCGATGATCAATCGAGTTTGGATCTTCTGGAATCTATTTCGAAAGGTTTTCCAGTTGGCATCGAAACCTATGATAAGATGAATTTTGTGTTTCATGAGTCGCGTCTCCAGCTCATCGGGTGCCTTATTTTCACCCCCTCCAACAATGGGTTGAGAAAGATGAGTTACATCTTTACAGCATCATGATGACTTTTGTAATGCCTGGGTACCACCCAAAATCCTCACATGTGGTCCAGGCTCCTTAGTCATTCCATTGCTATCGTCAAGTTTATAGGGATCCTTCCCTCCTTATTGCCCTGGTGAAGAACCCCAATTAAAATGCTTTCTTTTGTAATCTGGGCGAAAGACTGCCCAGGTTGGAACTGTGCCCTTTTGGCCGCTGGTCCTTATTGGGCGGTGGCCGACGTTGTTTACGTTCCTCCTCTTAGGATACCAAAAATTTCAGGCCTGGGCGTTAGTTGTTTTCATATCACTTTTCACACTCACTCGTGTACACGATGGCTCGGCATCCCTCTTAAGTAGATGGGTGTGATAGGGTCCTTTCCAAGTGCCCAAGCGCAGCTGGCTCGGCAAACGGATTTGCTGACCGCTTTCTTGCTGGTGTGGAGCTTTGACCACGCCTTGAAGCCACTGTCTCCGATGTATTGTCGGGATTGCTGCCTTCCGGTTTTGGGCGAATACCGAATACCGGTCTCCTTCGATATGATTGTTCGTTTTTTTAAATTTAAGTGAATCCTACGAGATGAGAAAGGGAGTCCAAATGCATAAAGATTTGCGTTAAACACGTAAGACTACATTATACCGGAGACCTCAAGAGAGCATCAGTACCTAGCGGAGCACTGTAATGCTATTTCCAGTTGGCACCCTTGTGGAGGGTTCAGTGGTGGACTTTGCCTACCCAATCTGGGCTTTATAATTCACAGGTCGATGGGTACTAAAAAAGTATATAGACAGATAAGAGAGATCAGATAAGGAACAATTAACTAGAGCACGCATTTTAAAATATATAGTTCTTGGAAGTTCGATAATTCTCTATCTCAGTGACTGTCGAGTGAAGGGCATTATCCGTGGATCTGTGTTTACGGTGTGCGTTTTAACCAAAGATAAGTTTGGAGTTTGAAGAGATTTTTAGTTGTAGGCTTACAAGACGTTCAAGTGCAGGCTAATACGTCCGTAATCTATTGGTCTGATATTAGATGGGGATAATTTGTCCCTTCCTTAGGACTTTCTGAATGGATTTTCAGATTTGCTAGTGAGTTTTGGAAAGAGTCAGAGAGAGTGAGAGAGAGAGAGAGAGAACCAGAGATAGAGTTTAAGTTAGGTTAGTTTAGACGGATGCCGACCATAAGGTCGACACATTGGACAGTTGTGATACCTTATGGATCTCACTTCGTTTCTATGGTATTCATGTGAGTATAGATCAGGGGTAATCTAATTAGTTTAATTTATAAATTTTGGAATTATGGTCGGTCGTTATCGATAACATTGTTAAAAGCACGTTCGATATCTAGGAAAGCTATTAAGGTGTACTCCTTGGAGTATACAGATGCATCAATTATATTAATGAAGAGCAGTACCTGTAGATCTGCCTTCGTGTGGACATGTTGGGACCTCTAGTGTTGGGGTCTATCGTTCTATTTAGGTGTAGGCTTACGACTCTTTCTAGATAAGCTGGTGGGTCTAAAGTCCTTTGCGCTGGTATGTGATGGCCTCCCAGCTTTGGGAATTAAGGTAATTTTTGTCTGAATCCAAGCGGGCTGAATTTAGCCAGTCTTGAATACTTTCTCAAAAACTTTATACTGCCAATTGACTGTACATAATGGCTGTTGCGCCCGTTTATTGTAGTTGGGCTGAACTTATGTTGTCTGGGCCTGGGGACTTAAACGGCTATTTATTACCCATTTTAAATTTTCTTTGCATAGAAAAGGTTTCATTGATGTAATCTCTTCAGATCTCATATAATTTTGGGTCGTATTTAGCTTAGAGCATCCGGGGAAATGAGTATTTAAGACTATATCCAGTGAGTCTTCACTGGAGTCAAATGTTTTCTTTTTTCAGATAACCTAGTGTAGGGGTGCTTTGGACAGAATTTTCCTCAGCTTCGCGACTTAATTGGTAAATCTCCGTCCAGAAGACTCTCCACGACCTCCTCTTAGCCCGACAAGACGTCTCATTCACCGAAGGTAATCATTCTGCGATTTCGCAGCGTTGAAGAGAGACATACAACTTTGGCGAAGAGCGACAAGTTGTGGTGTCCACCATGGAGGCTTATTGTAGGCGTGCGTCTGCTTATGAGACAGAGTTCACACAGGTGTTTTTGAGAGTCTGTGCTTATGGGGTGATGTTCGGGCAGGATTTAATATAGTCTTGGAAGTATCTTGTGTTAGTATCCCAGTTCGCCTTCCTTCGATTTAAGAAGTTGACCGGTTTTGATGGGCTTAGCGAAAGCTCAAATTCAATACCTGTGATCAGAGAAGGAGTGCCTGTCCGAGACTCTCCACCCTTTTAACTGATCGCTGATGATATCTGAAACAAGGGTCAGGTCTATGACCTCTCTACGATTTTTAGTAATGAAAATGGGATCATTTCCCATGTTACAGATCAGAAGATTTGTATTAAGGATGAATGCTAAGAGTGACTCACCCCTCAGATTTGTATCCGTGCTGCTCCACTGGGAGTGGTGAGCATCACATCCTACAACAAGGACGATTTTGCAATTTTCGTCTTCCGCGACGAGAGATTTTATGATCTCGTCTGGTGGTAATCCAAGGAAGTCATGGGCCATGTAAAACGAGTGTAGCCTTATTGAAGCTGGCTGTTGCTCAAGGTTTACTGTATTGATGTCACCGTAGCTAAAATTATTGAGCAGAAAAATACTAAGATTTTTGTCGGTAACAGGTTGTTATTTTACCTTCAGATTTAGCTCTTATGAGCTTATAATCCTTGCTGCCTAGTCCGCAAGCCTTGCCTCCGACTATCCAAGGTTCTTGGACTAGTGCAATATCGACTCCGCCTCTAGCCAAGCAGAGCCTGAGGGCAGCAGATGCTGCTTTACAGTGGAGGCTGATGTGCAGAAGTCGTAGCGACATTCGGAGACAACAAACCCATCACCGTTTTGTTGCTGCCCTCATCGTCGGACAGCAAGAAATCATCATCGTCGATATCCCGACACATAGCATCCGTCTCCAGCTCGTCGTCGGTTGCTTCCATCTCCGGAGAAGGATCGTGCTCGACTGAGCAGAAGCCGAAGTTCAGCTCATCTTTTTCGGCCTCGATAAGCGCCACTGATTCAGTGATTGTTCAGGATCTCAACCGCCTGATTCAAAGGGCCCTGTGAGGCCTCAATCTTCACCACCCTCCAATCTTTGGTGGGAAGGAAAGTATTACATCTCTGCAGCATTTTCAACACCTGGTCCGGTGGTGGTCTGACTCTTTAAATGATGCTGGGATCCAGATGCGAGCCCGACATCTAATGGGCACATAGCTCCAGTCAACTGCAACCAGCGTAGCTCCCAGAGAGGCCTTTCCAACGTTAGCTACGGCCGCCTTGCATAGCTCCACAGAGCGTACGTCTTCACAGGCAATGACCTTAGTGTTACCCTGATGCCAGCCAACATCTTTACATGCTGGTGGTGGTCCGCTAACATAGAAACTTGCCCCTTTATGATATGCCCCTTTACCAAAAACATGTCTATATGGAGACCATGTCCGAAGTTCAAGGAACAGATCTTAGCTAGCATCAGTACCTTGCGTACCACTGTGATGCTATTACCAGTCGGCACCCCGCGGAGGATTCAGTTGAGGAAATTTTAGCTTACCCTTATCCCATTAAGTATATACATATATTTTTGATTCAATGTGTAAGTTTGAATACCAATGTTATGCATAATTTATGGATGGTAAAGTAAAGGGTATCTCATAAAATAAATAACTATCACTAAAAAGTGAAGTAAATCGTTTTTCTAATATTGTTTTAGTTGAACAATCGACGATAATTAGGTCGTCCTTTCCTGGAAATTTTATCATACATTAATACCTTTAAGAGAAAGAGTGCCTTGGAAAATATGTCATAATTTTTTAATCTTCTTATACCGCTGGAGAGGGTATTAAAATTATGTCGTGAAGTTTCGAGCACACTTGCATAATATATAGTTGTGTGTTGGTAGAGTTGACTCGATTAGAGCTTTCTTACTTTTTATTCGCGTTAAGAGTTGCTTCATTCATTTCGTTTTCATTCATTCTTTCATCATTCATATTTGGTTTATTAATCTTGTGCAATGTCTGTCATGTTATTACAGGTAAAGTCACCAAATTTGCTTGGCATTTTGTTATTGGCTATAGAGATAGATAGAGTGACCAAAATTAGAAGTTAGTTTGCTGATCACATCCTAGAAGGATCTCCCATTATTTAAGAGCCAAAGTTACCAATTTTTTTGCGGCCACGAGCACTCGACCGACCCAATATTCATATAAGGTCATATTTACAGCAAGTTTAAAGCTAAACTTGGAGAGCAATTTACTAGGAACCCTCTTCAACCTCTTTCTTGGCCCTCTTTCTTGGCTATAATCACTTTTTTCTGCAGCATCTGTTTTCAAGTCACTAACTAGCTTTCTTGATGTAAATGATCATCAATAGGTATTATATTTTTTAGTGCGGAATGTGTAAATGACAAGTTGAAGCTCAGTTATGATTATATTGTTAGTTGATTTATATAAATCCATATGTACGAGTATTTCATATATCCAATCGTACTTTTACCCATCTAATGTAACGTTAATTTAACGCCAGTATTAAAGCACAATTTTTGATAGAACGATAATTTATTTTAATTTAGTTAATTAAATATATTTATATAGAAGACATACAGATCCAATAATACGTTTGATGATTTTAGTAACACTTTTGAGTGAGCAAAAAATGTTACAAATATCATCGTGAACGCATTACAAATTAAGACGTGATTTATACATTAAATTGATTAAAAAATAAGCTACATAAATATTAAATAGGATAAATGTGAATTATGTTTACTACAGAAATTAACAATCCTCCATTCATTCCCTTACAGCCTTTTTGCATCGTTAGTTAAACACATCCACATATGTATGTAAGTTTCTATGTTAGCTTTTTTTCGTTTAACGTACGAACTTGACTTTTTGTATTTGTTACTCACAATATTAATAAATTTGACTAAAAAAACGATTATTGTATTTATTAAAATATTAATATTCAATCTATATTCTAGATTTGAGCACTTCATATATATGTATGTATGTGCATGTGTGCATGTACTATGTATGTACATATATATGAAATTCTAGCCTGCTTGAGATCAGTAACAGCTCCCAAAAATTTTTAGAACTTTGCAGATTCGAAGAGATATAAACGTTAGCGTTCAGAGATAATAACATTCGAAACGGTTGTAATGGACAAGTTCAGTATTTTGACAGTAATAAACGAAAAACTACTTAACAAATGCGACGTTGCTAATATTCGTATGGTATGGATGCGCTATTATCACAAATATATAGGCATTTCAACTGAATCCTTTGGCATTTTCGCGTGTAAGTTGAATTCTCTGCCTCTTTGGTTTTTTTTTATATTGTTCGTAACACATACTGAGCTGTGTAATCGTTAAAATGTTCAATGAAGATTTATGCTTCACATTGTACTCAGGACTGTTCTAAAGCAAGAGGAAGAAAATAAATGAAAAATTATACACTTTACAATGTAAAGTTTACATACAGCATTTAGCTACGTTGCTCAAACAGACAGGTTAAAGTTAAACTTTCAATTTTGGAGAGGGAACAGCAGATTGCTTCATTTTGATTTTGTCTGACTAAACAATTGTTTGTGTGTTGTGTATGTGTATGTGCATGTGTATGTAAGTTCATTATGATTATGTGTGTGCATGTATGTATGAATGTATGTACATTTTGTGGTTGAATGATCAAAGTGTGAGCATTTGAGTTGGCAAATGTACATACACTCAGACATACAATTCGTATGCTTGATGATACTTAAAGCTTGCCAAACACGGCAGGATCTCGGTATTATAAAAACAAATGTATGTATGTACATAATTAAATAGTTCATATTTACAACTGTTGGAGCACTAAACAATTACACGAAACTATTACATTTATGAAAAACCCGAAATACGCTTCAATTGCAAATTTTTGTATGTACATGTTATCGTCTTTAGATCGCTTTATTTCAAAAGCTGGTGGGCTCTTTGATTTGCTACTGCTATTCTTGCTTCATTTGACTCGCCCTAGAATTAAAAGAAATTTCACATTAATCACAATTTTATTAAGAATATGATATTTGAAGATATTATAATATAATTTGAGAAAGAAACATAAAAAAATGCAAGCGCTGCTATTGTAATTATTCTTTCCTTCCGCACCTTGAACAATTTATTTTAATAACTTATCCGATTATTTATAGTGTCGTACATTTTACGATTTCAAAATGTCATTAAAATGTAAGAATATATTAAATCTCTACATAGACTTTATGATAACAGACAAACGGAAAGAAATGGCTAAATCTAACAATTCAATCGATCTCTATTCTTTCGGGTGAAATGTATTCAGGCACTCTGTTACCGCATCGGCAACTGGACTAAAGCGACTCCGTTTAGATGACTGCCTTCGAAGCATAAAAAATCGGTGGCCAAATCCATAAATTAATGTGGAATGGCTTGTTGATCACTCTGTCTGGGACAGCAGTTATGGTAACAAAAGAGAGTGAGAGAGATATCTAATGTGCGCTATTAGAAAAGTAGTTTTACTCCATACCCGACAGAGAAGTGTAAGCATCATATTAATATTATAAAAGTAAAGAATGATTATATCCTTAAAGGGGTAAATACCTTGCGATTAATTCGGTCTATTTGACGATTTTGATTTTCCAGCTCTGATCCCATATCCAATGCCATATTTCGAAGATTACCTATCATGGTATTAACTTGACCCATATTTTCTTCCATTTCATCCTCTCTTGCATCATTTGTAATTCTGAAAATAGTACAATATAATAAAGAATGAAATACGATGAATAGTTTAAAAATACATTTTTAATAACTTTTAGAAACTTGTAGTATAACTGTTAGTTAATTAAATCACACTTATACACGTAGGCAATGTTTTTTTTTATATCAAATTTCACACTGATCTTAAAAATTTGTCTGAGATCGATCGCAATGAGTGATTGCCTTGAAAAGTCTACTACAGCGCTAAAATAAATCACAGCCTGAATGTCCAGAGTTCATGTCTCTCTTCCTAATAACACTTATTCTAGACTATTTGCGACTCATAGGACTTAACAACTCCAATGGTACTTGATTGTCATCCGATAGACAACGTTTTTCTTACTGCAGCGAGTAAATAGACTATTTCTGAATTAGTCCCCTTGTTGAAATCCTTATCAGGGATTCTTCAGCGTCCTATTTATAATGTGAAATCGCTTCCTTAAGGACCTGGTCTTTCAGGTAAGATTTCTAAGATTAAGTTTTTGCGGTGTGAGCGGCTCATCCCAAATAACTTAGTCTTAGAAATATTTTAATGTAAAAGTTCGCTAATGATGTTTTATGCTTTTACATAATCCTAAGCCACCTTCCCTCTGTCTAAGTTAATAATGTTCTTTTTCGTCTGTCTGCTTATCTGAATAAGTAGATATAAAGGCATTCATTAGATCTTACATTCAAATTGATATGGATTTTAAAACATACGAGCATGTATAGCATGTTTCCGAAAATTGCAACTATTTGATACAACTCTCTCTGTAAAGTCTGCCTTCAACCTCTTACCTATAAAGCAGACGAATTCAAAAGTATTACCTGCCAATATATCCAGCTTGGGCCATCATTCCATTTCTATCATCCATAACCCTTTGTGGTTGATTGTTCACAACTTTCCCATCATCATTGCCTTTCCATGTGCCATCGTCCTCTTTAAATGATTGGCTCCTGAAAAGTTAGATACAAAGGTTTCTTAAAATGTTTTTTTTTTAAGTAAGTTAATTTATATGTTTAAAAGGTTCTATACACAATTTCCTTGGTTTCGTCAATGAATAATTTCCTTGTAAGAACTTACTGATGTAGTAAATAGTTTATTAATCCAAAACTCGAAATACGTAGGTTTTATTTTCTTTGTTTTACCAACAACCCAGGCGTACATAAAAGACGTAAATGTTTTCTTTTTGCTGGATACCTTCTCCTCTAAGACTTGGTGCTCACCGGTAAATCATTTGAAGGACTAAATTAAATAATAAAAACAAAATTTAACAAGCACCATATTGGCGAATTAAAGTGGCAACGAAATAGTAATTCATCTTCAATTTGAAAACAGTTCAAAAATAATAAAAATATAGAGTTAAAAAAATAAAACTTTAATAATTGGTAAAATTCTTCATACCATACTATTAGACTGTAAAGTAGTTTTGAGCCGAACCGATTCGGAAAGTGAACCCAATTATTATGGTCAGTTCCAACTATGGATGCGTCTATGCGTTGTAGCCTTTGACATTTTAGTACACAAATTCCCCAGAGTTAGTTATATTTAGTCAACAGATGATGGTCTTAAGTATCGTTAATGATCTTAGGTAAAGAAGTACCCATTAGCGAGGTAAGCACTGGTGACTTTATTCCCTCCGGAATTTGAATTCATTGAATTTCAACTCGACCCCTTGAGTTGACCAACCACCAACTGTATCACAAAAACATGCAAATCATTCTAATTTATATTATTACATCGCAATTTTTATCTTAATACTGTGTTTAAAAAGTAAATCATTTGTGGTTATTTAATTGTTAGTGTCATTTTAAGCTAAGTAATTTGTTTATATTTACTTATTGCAGGGTAGTACACAAATTCCGCAACATTTTTCCATTCCACTTAAGTTTTTTTCAGCTTCTCTCATATCTGCGTTAATTTGATCCATTCCTTCTTCAATTCGGTCAAGTTGCTCTAAAATCATAGATGACAAATTTAAAATGTAATATTTATATATCTTGATCAAATGGTTAACATTAAACTTGTTTGTTGTCTATTTATTAATACACCAGTTAAGACCCAGTTGCATAATAAATTATCAGCTAAAAACGTGTGACAAAGGCCATTCTGCAGGGTGGAAGACATGGGATTTCACCATTTTTGGAGTTGACAATATGTTAGTCTCTGTTTGAAGGAGGCTACCAGCTATCTTTACCAGAAACAGTTTGTCGAACAGAGACATCAACATGTATGCTATTATCGTAACATTACACAACATTAATGTTACAATTTATGTCATATAAAAATATATATATATATCATAACGATGGCAATGTTTACATTGTTTACCTTTCAAGAATTTTACAATTATCAAAAAATATGTTTCACATCTTCCGGCGTTACCTTATTTGTGATAAATGATTTGAGATCAACCCGGGAGACAGATAGTCAATCTGTATGTGGTAGGAGGTGTCCTTTTTACAATTGCGCAACTATGTATATAATAACAATTTTATATAGTTTAAAGGTCTATACAGTTTAAATACAAGGAATATAATTTTATATCTTGATATATAATATAACGAGTATATATTCGCTTATGTTGGCGTCAAGATTATCCGATCTTGATAAAAATGTACAGTTAATCACTATCATGTCAAGAAATATATGTATATTTACATTCAATTATATACATCTTTAAAATTGCTTTTATTGCAATCAAAAAATGAATTATTTCGATTTTAGAGAAACGGAGTGAGTTCTCGATAAAATGCACTTCATCTGCATGAGGTACGCAAGAACTTCGATTCCGAATTTCAAGTATAGTAGTATAGTAGGTCTTATAGTCTTTGATATCGACTAGTTCATACAGGCGGACGGACGGATAGACATGGACATGCTTAGATCGAATTGTCTGTTGATATTTTGATCTTATCGATATGTGATCTTATCGATTTGAAAATATCGATGTTATAGAATTCGTAGTCTCCCTGTGAGCGTAGTTTTTAGTTTTAAGGTTCTAGCTTTAACGGTTTCGATGAAAGATGCGCTTATACAGACACCGTTGTGATATTATACAATACAATACAATACTATAGAAAACTTACTATTAAAATACTTGTGTATTTAAAATCTAAAAATGCGTTACAAAATTTAACTTATCAAAATACGTTTTGTATAAACAGACAGTCGAACAGGATTTAGCTCTTCGTCCTAATCAATAATATATACATATAGTTTACGGAGGCAAAGATGTGCATTTTCCATAAATTTGGGCTTCCAGGTTATCAAATAGTTGAATCCAAATTATGAATTTATATTTTCGAATGGTCTTAATTTACAGACAATGTCTTAGAGATTTCTGTGCCAACCTTCTCAGCTTTTATTCATTGTATCAATTCGTCAATTTGGTGCTGCGAACTTAATTCGACTTTAGCCAATTAAAATTCATTGTAAAAGTGAAATTTCCTTTTAAATTAACAACTCCTTACTGCGTAAAAGGCAAACCAAATTTATAATAATATAAAATATCATTATGTTACAAATTTATCTTACCTCTCGGCAGACAATTACAGTTCAATCAAGTTGGTACATTTCCCGGTTGAGAGAGTTGAATACTTAAAGTTGGATATATATATTGAAAAATTAAGTTTCTTTCTGACACTAGAAGACTTTTCAAATTGTTGGAAGGAAGAACAAAGAATGGGCGCAACCAATAGGGTTATAGGTTCGCTCTACGAATCAACTAGACCAAAATAATAATAAAATAAATAAAAGAATACCACGGAACATAGTATTCTGACACAAATCGGCTTCCTTACGGAAAGTCATCGTCTAAAAGATCTTTCCCTTTCACAGACCACATGACTCTCTGAAAATATTTATATTGCCACTCTTGAAGATATTTTTGCAGCACAACGTAATGCTTAAAATGTCAGATAGAATGATACTGTTGCATGTGCATTCACGCTCTCGGAACAGGCTTTTAAATTCCCCGCAGAAAAATTAGATTGTTTTAAAATGTCCATGCCCAGAACATTATTAATAAAGTTAGCATCCAATTGAGTTTCATTCTCAGCGCCGCAGCAAAGTCCCTGTAATCAACAGGAAATCTGGGATGGGATAAGTGCACAGAGTACTTGTGAGTATTTCTAGCACATGCAGAAGTCGTATGAGCTGAAACGCCTGATTAATAATAGTCCTTGAGCCAAAGCCCCATTCTTTATCAAAGAAGCAACAACAGCTTCACGGGGCCTGTGATCATTAGTTTTAATGAAGTGGGTCTAGGTTAACTACTAAATAATTGATCAAAGTGTGATTTTCACGGTCAACTTACGGATGCTAAGTTCCTTGAGCTCCTCATCTTGGTAACCAGCATATCTGAGTTGAGTGCCCTTTGCAGCAGAATGAATGCAATCTAATTAATTGCTCAGTTGTGTTATGGGATTAATTTTCAGGAACTAGATCTCATCGATATGGAGACCGCCTTTCTCATAGAGATTAAGAGAAGCAACAATTTGATGGCAGGCCAATCCAAGGAGTGAAAATGTCTGCCGTCGAAGGGCTGCATCTCAAAACCTGTGGGAGATGAGATCTCTGAGACGAAGATTGTGACGTACGTATGACTGGAGAGGACGATAAGTGAGCAAAATAAGGACCTCCGACTGCAGACGTGAACGGCACTGAAATTCAACGAAAAACAAGGTCATCAAGCACTTTCTTCAGCAGAGTGATCTCGCTGTTGAAAACCGGCAGCGACGGCAGGCAAACACTCGACAGACCCTGCAGTGGCTGAGATAAGCTGGATCAAGGAGCGCTCACAGGTGAAGAGCAGGATAAGTCTGAAAATGGCGTAACGCCTTCCAATTAGTTGTCCGATAACATGTTAACAATTTTAGAGGAAAGCCAGATCTGTAAAAACACAAAAGGCGAAGATAACAACGATACCAACCGTATGGGTGAATACCTGCTAGACGACGAACTCAAAGTCTTTAATGCGGGCTGAGAATCCATTTTTGTGATAAAAAAAAAAAAACAGCCGGAGTCCTCGAAATAACTATCATAAACGCACAGACTCAGCCATAACTGCTTGCCATGCAGGCTAACTTGGGAAGGAGACATGGGGATATTACAAACAAGACATATTTAAAAATTTATTAAGTAGATTTTTTCCTATAACTAAGAGAAGCCAAGGCTTCATGGATCGTTATTTTGCAAAGCATAAATACGAATAAGAAAAGATCTCACTTTTGATGTTTCTGTAGCCACATAGCCAACGCCAGCAGCTAGAATGATTAGGGCGACACACAAACTCAAATGCATTCAAGAATTCAGAATGCTCCTTCCCATGTGCATAAGCAGAGAACGCATTGGGATCATATGAGTCTGTGTCCCTCGATTGTGCTAGATGACACTGTCTTCTTCTTTTTTGCGCTGATTTTCAAGCAATATTTTGAGTGTCTAATGCATGGGTCTTAAAAACTTATATGGCAGTAGTTGGAAGAGGTACACTAAACAGGCAGATCGATTTATTTGACATTACAATGGTTACTGATTTCTTATTAATTTCCAAAATATGCGATCTAGAACCATATTGAAACAAGAGAGAACATTGCAGTCGGGTGTAACCGATTGCGAAATACTTTGATTCCATAAGTTGTTCCAGCAGAAAACAAGTAACAAAGAACAGGGTGGGTGTAGCTAAGAAGTACTGTCCAAGTTTGCCATTCAAATTGCTGTAGATATAAGCTAGTAACGTTCCTCCGAAGTTTAGTAACTGTAGCTCTTAAATTACGGAGATATGGGATTTTGGAAATTTTGGAGACTGGAGTGGGCGTGGCCGAAAAAATTATTAGACAAGGTTCCTAGTAATATTCCTTCCAAGTTTGGTAACTGTAGCTATTAAATTGATGTATTTATAGGCATCTGGGAGTATTGGAGGCGGGAGTGAACGGGGCCAAAAAAATTTTGGAGTACGATCTTAGTAATCTACCTTGCAAGTTTAGTACTGTAGCTCCTAAATTGCGGGATATTTAAGCTTTTATCATTTTTGTGGGCGGGGGTGGGCGTGGTCCAACTTTTTTTCCGGTTTAGGGAGCGGGCGTGGCCATCCAATTGTCTATCGATCTCCTAGGCTTTGGCGATTTTGGGCGCAGGTGTGGGCATGGCCATAAAAAATTGTTATCGGTTTTTAAAGGCTGCGCCCAGTAATAAACCTACAAAAACTGGAGAAGATATAGCTATTTGCAATGTTTAGGGGCAAGGGACGTAGGGGCGACGTAGGTGAGCGCGGCATATACCGATCTTTGAAGGACATGGCCATCCTACCAACCAAATTTGGGAACTGTAGCCTTCAAATTGTGGGAGATATGTAGCTTTATCGATTTGCGAATATCGATTTTATCGATTTACTAACCCCTGGTGGACGTAGCATTCCAATTTTACACTTTGTCTGACGCGGGCACAGACCAGTATGTGTTCCAAGTTTCAAGTCTCTATCTCTAAGGGTGTCGAAATAAGTTGCGTTCATACAGACGGACAGACAGACAGCATGACGGATTTTGCACAAAACCAATGTACAATGATACCTTCAGTATCATAGCATAAACATGTATTGAAAGTGACAGGTACAAATAAGTGCTAAAGAGTATAAAAACGCGCTCAATCAATGTTCTTGATGTAAGTGGTAAACTTATATCCGCTCATGAATTGCAATTCCTTTCCGATCCCTTGGATGCAAATAAGTCAAATAAGCCATTCGTCAGGCAAAATTGCCGGCAATCGAGATGTTCTTTAAGTTAAGTAAAATAAAGTCAATGGAAAAAGTAGAGCTAGTAACATGGTTGTTTTTGGACTGTTGCTTTAAGTTTTATATATTATTATCTACATTGAATCACTTCTCTATTTCCTTTACTATGTATGTCTTACCTCCTTGCTCGTCCAACATAACAATGCTTCGCATCCCAACTTCCGCGCTCTAAATAGAAATACACGTTTATTTAAAAATTAGTACCATAGTGGGAGAATCTCTCAATAATGTTCATATTTCTAGTTCGTATTTTAGTTTGGGTAAATGTTCTATTTAAAATTGTTATACTCTGATACCGGAAGTAGAGAAGTATATTGGTGTTGTTCAATGTTTGTATAACCGTAACTTTATTCGAGACGCTATTGTACCTCGAAGCGTAAGCCAATTGACCCATTATGTTTCGCAAGGTTTGAGAGCTACAATATCCAAACTTGGAAGTTAGATTTCCTTCTGAAAAGATCGGTAAAACAATGTCCAAATCACGTCTACTCCAGTCACAAAAATGTGGAACCCCATATCTACCTCAGTCTTGGAGTTAGATTTAAAAACTTGCTAAAATAGATTATTGGTATATTCCTTCCAAGATCAATAAAATCCCCAAATCTACTACACTATTACAGATAGTCATCTGGTTTAAAGGGTATAGAGATTACTGATAACCTTCTTCAAGTCCACTCATTACACTCTCCGACCGGATATTGGGTAATATTAGAGCATCCGAGTTAGATCAAAAGCATAGATTGAAAAATAAGAGATTAGGATCAAACACTGAGCCCGAAGGATATATACGGCTATCATTCCATCGATTCTTCTATGTAAAGTATTACTGTCCGGTGACAACTCCAGGCGATGCCTTGGGCACCACCCAGCACATCCTTTCTATTGAATTTATAGGAAAATATACTGCAACTCGTTCAACAACGTGAATGCGGGACGCGGAAACGTAGAAGCCATAAAACTATTGCCACTTTAATGAATATCCCCAACTTCCAAAGGGAACCGACCACAAGTTCCTTTAGAATATCTAGCAATTTTCTAGCATGTTTCTATCCCCTCCAGTGTGGAAGAGAGAGTGGTGGAGTCTACTCTGAGCATTTATTTATGAATTATTACAGCATTGGCTAGGTGTTAATTTCAGTGTTTTTCAAGCGTTAAGCTGGGCAATCAAGAATGTAATGTTATTATTTAAAATCAGCAAATCTCTTGATGAGGTGACAGAAACCGTTGATATATAACTCAACTGGGTCACAAGGACATTGTTGGAAACTGTGATGCATTCGAATAAAGATAGAGCGTGTGGAAATGATTACGTGCAAGCTCTTAACATTTGGAAATTCCAAGCACAAAATAACATATTATCTGCTCCCTTTTCTGCGGACAACCGCACTAACCTTCTGCAGTTTGCTAACTTGCACGCACGAGCTTCATTCATTGACCGCTCCTATCTCATATTCTCGCAGGTCGCAACATTTTTCAGTTTCTTTTTCATTTTGAGACAGCAAAATTAACATCCACACTATTAACTTGTGGGGATTGTGAATAGCTCCTCGATAGTGTCAAAAGACGTAAATTTATATCTTTTAACGTCGGTTATCGGCAAACCACCCCAAAAGTACCTTAGAGGAGAGAAAATTATTTAAATAGTTTTTTGGATCTCAGGAGATCTTTTTGTTGTTATGTTCCACAATCGAAATGTATTGCAATTCCGTGAGTGAATTTTTTTTTCCATTTGAAAAAAAGGGGCACATTATAAATCGTGCAAATCGGGCAAAATCGGGTTAAAAAGCAGAGAGCTGTGCAAGACGAGCAATATTACGTGGAGAGGGTCAAAATAACCAATCATGGTCTTCACTTTTCTATTCGTCATATTTTTTTTAATAAAATAAAATTGTTCAAACTGTATAGATAGTTTTTGACGGCTGATTAAACTTTTTCAGTCTGTAAAAAAGATGAACTGTCCTCCTAAAAAGGTACTGATCTTCCTGCGATCGATCGCTATTTTCATAGTATTATCAAAAAGCACGTACATTTTTTTGATTTGGTTCTGTTTACCTCTTTTTCTCCAACTTTTAAAGATAAACAAAATTTTGTTAGTCATAAATATTTGAGACATCTAAATGTACCTAAATTTACCATATTCTGGTGAGGGGCACAGCACGAATCGTAAATTTCATCATCTTCATTTATTACACAAGACATGGATCTGTCAATAACTGCTTGTAATTCTGTTGAGATTCATTGTCTAGTTGTGACTTTAAATTCAACTGTAGGAAAGACAGTTATAGGCCCAATTCCGGTGAGTATACCTTGGAAACTGCTAAAATTCTAGGTCAAAATTAATTTTTTGAAACATCGTACTTGCAGGGTAAATGCAATTTTGGTAGATGGCAAAGATCTCTCAATGATTGTTAATGCGCAAATTGGGCGAGAGAGCCCAAGAAGCGAAAATTCAGAGAATTTTAAATTTCTTTATTCCTTCATTGTAAATGATTTGCTTATATTGCAATAAAAAAATCATAGATCCTCACTGCAATATTCTTTAAAAAATATACCAAACATCGTCTAAACTCAATGACACAATTATTTTTCCTCTAGACCTTAATTTACTCACGGCGTCCTATTGTCCTTATATCGATGTGTCCAAGCTAGACAAGGCTAGACGATGGTTGTAAGGGTTAAGCTTGATAGGAGGTTGTCTTCTCTGATCAACTGGCTATTGAACTAACAGACAGATCACAGTTCTGTGTTCCTTGTAAAATCAATAGATTGCTTTTATACAGAAAGTTCTTAATTGTCGAAAGAGATTATATTTAAAATCAAATCCGGAAATTGCTTGACTAATATTCATAGGTGAGCCATACTCAGAAAAGATTACAGAAATTGAGCTCAAGTCTGCAAGAGAATATAATCGTCAATCTGCCTTCGGCTGTAAAAATTTGAAAATGAATTTGAAACCCGAGTTTTTGTTGATTTTTTGTTTTAAATTGAATGAAAATTAAGTAATTCCGTCTAACCTTTAACAAAACAGACAATTTGCAGTATTGGTTGGCGATTGACAATCCATTCGAGCTACACATATAAAAATATCTAGGCCGAAAAATGGTGAGAACCGTTATAAGATACTTTTTTATTTGCATCCAACCCCTTCCTAAATGGAAAATGTGTTATCAAGTTTTTATGGGCGAAGTGTCAATATTCGTGCGAATGTTTTCCAACTTGTGATGTGAAAAGTGTTTTTCATTTGTTGGAACGCTAATAAGCTCCTGCATCTGTACCAACAAAAAAAAAAAAAAAAAAAATCGGTGTAAAAAAGGTTAACGGATTCGGTTGACTTTTTGATTTTTTTTCGGGTGACTTTTTTCCTTGCTCTTCTGTGGTTTTTTGTTCCCATCATTAAGTTGGACTTGGTTTGACCAACCGAACATTGAGCAATCAAGCCTTAGCATTAAGAACTCTCGAATACGGATCCAATTTCGATATTATCGTCCGATTGGTTTTTAAAAACTGATGTTGATGCATATTTCACATATGCATGTGTATTATAATATTGTTGTGCGTTATATTATGTAGTGCTGTAAATCTGGATATACATATTATGTTGGCAAAATATGAGTTTTATTATATGTAATATATACCCTATAAATATGTGATATATTGTTGTGTTAGTAGTGGACTCACCTCCTTGATCATCAAGGGCTACAAGTGTACGTATTCCTGCCTCCTTGCTCTGGTGTGCAGCAATGTATGCAATGTAAATAGTTTGTAAAAGTGTATAGATAAGTGTTAATATTGTTAAAGTATATATATAATTAATAATTTGTATGTTGGAATTAGTATATATATATCTCAGTATAAATTACATATATGAAATTAAGTAAGTATGATAAAAATAAAAAATAATTGTAAATTAAATCATCAAAATGTATATTTGAATAGAAATTTTTCAAGAACCAATAAACAAATTATATTTATGCTGGTCAGCCAATTTGTTTTAGTTTCCTCTTGGAGAGGGTATTATAATTTTGTTTGCGAAAGTCTTAAGTGTAAATGTGTATGTAATCATTTTTTGTTGGCGAAGATTTATATATGTATGATTTTGTTAGTTTAAGAAAAGTTCAAGGAAATCTACAAATCCATCGAAGTCACAGCGACTGAAAATATCTGTTTTACGGATACCTGCTTTTAATCAATTAAATTTAAATATATATTTATTTCTTTTTAACTATCCAACTATTAATATATTGGTGTTCAAGTTTTGAACTTATTTATTTTAGCATATAAGGAAAGTGTAAAAAAAAATCTGAAGCTTTAAATACTCTATAACTCCAAGTTTCTTTTCGAAAATTTGGTTATCCAATGCCTCATTTAATTATATTTCTTCATAAAATAATTACACACCTACTTTTTTGGGTTTTGATTATTTTTTGAAGTTTGTACTTTATCCCGATCTCATCTGGGGCGACCCTGATTTCTCGACTTTACCACAGTAATTTTCGAAATTTGGACTGAAAAATTAATTTAACCACTTAACCCACTTTAAGCAAATAGAACCACGTCAAAAATGTTAAAAAAAAAAAAAATAACGAAACATTATTTTGAACTTTTTTAACCTAGTCTAATATACGAGTAGAGCAAAAACAAGAAATAATGCACTGGTCGAGGGAGTTCGACTACGAGAGCTGTGTCTGCTTTTGTGTGCACATGTATACAGAATTATTTGATAAATAATAATATACTACTTCCAGTTGTGTTTCTGAAGATGTATTTGAATTAATACATTTCATCAAGTCATGACAGTGTATTTTGGCGTTTTGTTATCGTCAATCGTTTTTCATCTATATATCTAAAACGGAGGTAGGTATCGATCAAATAAAATAAACTTGATCCGTCAATAATTCTAAATCTTCAGTTTTTATGGTCTCTGAGATTACAGTCCGACATGGCTATACCGACTAATTAATCATATCGCCTTTTTTCTTAAAAACAAATTTTTCATAAATCATGTAATACTTAACATACTTGCTTCTTCTTGCCTAAAAATTAAAGACAAAGTAATTGCTATATCCACTACGTGACGAATAATTCAATAAAATAGAAAAAAATCTTCTATAATTTTAAAGATAGAGTCGAATTTTCTTAATAGTATTATCAACATTCTAGTTGCAAAAAAAAGCCTATATACTCTTTTACCTTCGTTATCACAGTTAAAAAGTTTTTAAGAAATCTCAAGAGATGTGAAGAGTGGTAAATATCGAATATTCGCCAATGTTGCCAGCGTGTGTAACCCCACCTAAACCAGCTGATCCATTTCTTTCTGAACTTGTTGCTTGTTCTTTACTCCACATTTTAAGATATGCACTTCGACCTTCCTCTAGCTGCAGCTGCATTTCTAACTATTTATCAATTATTCTATTTTTTTTATTATTTTATTTTTTTTATTGTATTTTAGATTGTAAGCTTTACGTTTTGCTTCTGTACATCAATTTAGTTATTATTCATTAATCAAAATAAGATAAAACATTTGGATATTTGCCTCACTTAATCAAATTATTCACGCAATATTTTATTGCGAGCTATGTCTACACTTTTTATTTTAAGCACAGTTTACTGATCAAAAACAAAAATATAGGTAATGAAAAACTCCATGTACATAAATAAAACGGTGTCAAACAGGTGATTTTGACGGCGGTTATCGGCAAACCAACATAAAAGCGGCAAGTGCATCGAAACGGAAATTAGAAATTGTGAGTGAAAAATGATTTGGATCTTTAAGTAAAAGTGTACTCATAAACAGCGTAAAGGCAAGAAAATTAATTAATTATATTAAATTTTTGCCTCTCAGTAGACCTTTTTGTTTTTCGGTTCCACAAAAGATATGCAAACTGGGCTTTATCCCCAGACTCAACTCACGTCAAACTGTTTACAGATCTTAGAGCTATGAAGAATATATTTGTTGGCGCTATCAGCTATTTCATAGCTTTTTTTAAACTAAAAAACACAAAGTTATTTCAGAAACGCTATAAGCTTAATAACAATAGATATTGAGGCTAGAAGCCAACGCTAAGCATATTTTACTGCACTTTGTTTTGTTTATATGAAGGTTTGAAACCATCGCTAACCCTTTTCACAAGATTTAAATTTACACTATCCGTTTATACGAAGGTTTGAAGCCACTGCTAAACCTCACAAAAATAGTAAATTATAAAGGTGATCGATTAGCGACAGTTATGCAAAACGACTGATTAGCTGCAGCCGTCGGCGGATCAGCGAGCACCTCTAATCGGGAGAGAGAGAGAGAGCGCTGTACAAAACGAGCGCTGCTAACGCTGGCTGCTGCAGCTCAAACTGCACTTAATATAGTGTGCATATGTAATAACAACTAACGGTAAGCTGTTCATATTATGCGTCGCAGAGCGCAAAATTTAAATATGTAATCAATTCACTAAGATTCAACGTTCTTTGCTGCTATATTTTTTATTGTATAATCGCTTATATTCGCTACCCTCTCTCTCTCTCTCTCTCTCTCTCTCTCTATTTTGTTTTCTTCTTTTATTACTTCCAGTTAATAACAAAATAAATTACTAACTTTTGATATTTCTTTGATCCGATTAGGTGTTGCAAAAAACTTAAATGTTATAAAGCTTGTCCGTCCGTTCACGTGCATTTCAGAAAATATAAGCGAAACAGATTTACAGATCAAGTTAACTTAATTTATTCGATAACATACCGCACGACTATTAAATCAAAAACACATCGATATACCTCTAAATGTATAAATTTTGAAGTTAGAAACACCAAATATTAAATGGAGCTTACAGGCTGATTATTCTGCCATAATCGAGATCTCGAGCACGAAAAGCGGGAAAACCTTCTTCTTCTACAATTTAAGAGCTGTGGTGACTTGGAACGTAGACCTCTAGTCTCATGGACCAATTTCCAAGATTAGAAAAAAAAAACTTTCGAAGATAGAGCCATGGCCTAACCACGCCCGCAACCCTACCCTCTCCCCAAACAACATTTCCACAAATAAAATGTATTTTTATCTCGTAGGTGTTTGTATTACCCTAGTATCAGAGTATTACGCAGTTGGTTATGTCCGACTGCAAGGTTCATGTGCGATAATTAATATTATTGTTTAAAACGTCCTTCCTTCACGTACAGACATTTGCAAATCAATATTACACTATATCTACGAATTTTTAATGCATGCAGCAATGAATATCATAATTTAACCATCGGACGTGAATACGTGTTTATCTGGGATTAAGATAATACTTACTTAAATCTTAGTATACTAGGTAAAATATTTTGAAACTATTTTAAATAAATCCAATCTTACCTCTTCACAGAGAGCAAGCATGCGCCGAGTGCTTTCCAACGACTGAAATTAAAGATATAAATTGCAGTTAGTAAATTTAAATTAATATGCTAGATCCGTGTCTACGCCTTTGCATAAATTATTTATATTGTGTGATTTTTCAAACTTTACTAAATAATTTGATTCTGATATTCGCTGTACTTTGATCACCATATTCGATTTCCGTTTTACTTTCAAGCTTGATGTCAAAAAGTAATTTTTAACGCATTACCTTCTAGACCTGACTGGCGTGTCAGATAAATTTATTATAAATAAATATTAACGATCTTCCACATATCTTATTGCAAAATATTAATCTAATCTTTTTTAACTTCGCACTCAAAAAGTTAGCTCCAGTTAAACTGTGCTAAGTCTTAAGTAATTATATTTCATCCTAGTGTAATCTATCTTTACTTCAAGTCAGTGTCAAAATGGGCATTCAATTTGCTTTTTATTAATTGTATGCGTCACGCAAGGAATCAAATGGGAATCCGAAAAGAGACGTTGATAACAATAGTCCAAGAATATTTACCTCATCTGCTGTCCCCTGTGCTTTTATCTGCAACTCCTCCAGTTCCGTCTTCGGAACCTGGGGACCAGGTGCTTCTTCAGTAGGTTCCTCTGGCATTCTGAAATTATTAAAATATACAAATATTAAATTGTTGAATAATTGCTTATACTCATAGTTCAATTAAATTGTTATTGTTTTTCATTATCCTTTATCACATCTAAAAGTACCTAAATCATTACCTAACCATCAAAAAGAGAAAAGCATAAACATTTGCGAATAAAAACTGCAAGGACTAAATACAAAAACATACCCTAGTTAATCAGCTTTAAATACTAAAACTGCAATTGAATAAAACTTTAATTACACACTACATTTGCACATTATTATTATTGATTTATTCAATTCACAATAGTCACAAAAGTCTATTTAAAATCTATATTAGTAAACAGTTTGTGCAGACTGACTGGATTATAGATGAACTACGTGGAGTCTAAATTTTGGGGCCTCAGAAGATAAACTAAGACAGGCTTTTGGAATTTTATACGTCTAATTGAAAATGTATTGGAGACTGCATACTGCTACCAATTATTGTTTAATTGATCATACAAGAATTTTCTCTTTTTTCACAGATGCTTCGTGTTGTTCTGATCTTCTCTTTAAAAGAATATAAATTTGTTTCTTATAAATTCAGAAAGCATGAGATTACTGAAATATATCTCGGTAGAGTAAACAATGTTACTGCAAAGAGACTATCAGCGTCAGGTTCTCTTCATCATCGACCCAATCTACTTAATGGAGGTCCAGTATATTGACCTAGATACAAAAAAAAATCAAAAGTCCATATAGCTTTATATAGCATGGAGCTTTACGCTCCACCCCCACGCAAGCCTAAATCATTTTAGTTCACTTTCTTGCTCAAGAATAACTATTACTCTTGAAAAACCCAATTGAGAGATTCCCACTTAAACTGATTAGAGTGTTCCCCGCACGACATTTAATCAATTCAGTTACAGACTATGCTTACAACATTCTATGCTTTCTCATTTTTACAAACTGTGCAAGTTTTTAGGGACGACTGTATATGGCAAGAAGACCAATCCTATCAAAGTGAGGTGTACTGGAAACTCACTCAGAAAATAAAAAACCTCCCATAGTCTATTAAGGGCATGCTATGAAATCAATGGAATTCGAAGAGTGAGATAATTATAAATATCCCGTCAGACTATGCAAGTAAGGTGCTCGCAGATAAGGTCAAGTCAGACTAATAGTTGACTTTAACATTATACCGGCCAAGTAAAGAGGCAGCGATAAACTCTCAGTGCTTAAAAAGAGATTCCAAAAAATCATTAGAAGTGGGTTGAAGAAGACTGGGCTGTCCGCTACTCCTAATTGCTGAACAAGAAACCAGGACCATCAAAGGTGTGTGTGTGAAGACGTCGAGTTTTACACACATTTTGACTTTTATTGATTTTTTTCTTTGCCAGTGCTACAAGCTGATGTTTATTATTTAATATATTTGCCACTAATGAATATTCAGTTTAACCAGATAGTATTAATAATATATTTGTATTAAATATTGACGATTATAATAATTCAAAAATGTCCATGTTAATATACAAATTTATTTAGTTTGGATTAATTTAATTTTTCTAATTTTTTTTTATGAATTTCCCTTAAAATTTGATTTTAACTTTAAATTGTGAGCCACTTCCAAAAGTTTTTAAGTTAAGAGAAACTTGGTATTAGAGTAGTTCATGGCATTGAAGAAGCCGTCTCCGATGAGCTGTATAGTCATATTGCTAAAATGAGTATGGAAAAATAATTCCAGGACAATAATACTTTTGAAAGCAGTAGCCCAAAGGCATCTGTTTTCAAACATTAAAAAGTTCTCGATTTCACAAATCGAAGCCCAAGACGTCCGCTTTAAAAATGGAACGGAAAGATTTTGCGCTTTCGCAGCACGCCTCTCTAGACATTTTTGATTTTTTTGCATTTTCATCAAGATAGTTTCAAAATTCAAAAGACTAGATTACAAGAGCCTATATGTATATAAAATTGCAATCCTCAAGTCTCCTATAGTCTCCGAGCTCCATAAAATGGACGAGTGGACGGGCAGTCGGATATGTCATATAACGGACATAACAGCCAAAAAAAAGTCATATATAACATATCATCATGCATTTATGCATCTGTACAACTATTCTTCTGTGCTAATAGGTAAACATTTTGGAAACTAAAAGATGAGAAAACCTGAAATGCCAATTTAGGGGTTGACAAAATGTGCAATAATTATGATATTGAACAAATAATGTAGCAAAAGACAAATACAAATAATAATACACTGTACACCTACATAAACTAATTTTAATTCGCATTTGTGACGGAGATTTATATAAACATTATGGCGAAAGTTAATGTTAATGTTTACGTTACTCTTAATATTAATGTAGGGGCAGGTCTAAATCCCGATTCTGCGCACTGCTAAACTACGTAAGTTGTGTAAAATCAATAGGCTCATGTCCGTAATCTGTGTAAAAATGTTGTTAATTTTACATACGTATCAGAATATGATAATATTCATTTTGTTATATATTTAAATATATTTAACTTCACATCATATATAGCGAATGGAATGCATTCAAATAGTAATACATAATTTTAATATACATACTTGGCTTGCTGTTTTTGTTGTTTTCACAATAGAGTTAAGTAAAATTTTCACTTATCCGTTAGTTTCTCCTTAAACAAGAGTGTAATATTGACCGAATAATTTTCTAAATTTTTTGTCTCGCGCACTGATAATAAACCACCTAGTTTTGCTTCACTTCTGTACTCAAATTGTTTTTATACCCTGTGATATCACAGTGCAAGTAAAAGTCTATCACAACCAACAGACACGCTCATATAAGGTATATATGCCACGTGTCCACATATATATTTTACAAATAAAACTAGTAATTTTAATCGTGAAAAAACGAACTTCTGTGGCAAATATAATATAATAATCAAATACTATAATAATTGATGTTATTATTAGATAAAATTATTATTAATTATTAAGAAACGATGAAAAGGGTATCTGGCGACTGTTCCGTTTCATTTCTGTCCCTGCAATATGACAAGCTTTTGCGCGCGCATTTTAAGGGACACTTCTCAAAGCTTTCGATTAGCAGGGAAGTCAAAGCTCGTATTAGGTAACCAATGAGCAGGGTTTACAACAAATACTAATGGGGCTTTTATATTGACTCTTAAACTCTTGATTAAATTAAGTTATCTTAATATTTTTTAAGCTTATTAGCAATATTAATTATACTTTAAAATACGTTTAAGATTAATAAAATTAACATTAAAGTATGATTAAATTAAATTATAATTATTAAGCTTAAAAACCACAATATAAGTACATTTTATAATAATAATTATAATATTAGATATGTATTTAAGATAACAAGATTTAACAAGATATAACTAGATTTAGATTTAACTATTTAGATCGTAACTCTACCCTATTTATCACATTTTGACAACGATTCTAGGTTTTTGTAACAATAAATTTCAAATTCTGTATAACATATTTAGTGCAACAGATGATACCAATTAGATAGCTTGGACATTGTTATTATTAGGAGCCAGTTTTTAATATCCGACTAAAATAAACATTGTCTTTTTATCTGATTCATTTCAAAGTGCTGGTAAGACTCCTCCTCAGTAAGAAACTCAGCGGACTTCGTAGAATAGAACCCTCTCCTACTATCACTTCCGATTTTGTATGAGATCCCACAACTATTTATTTCAGGTCTTAGGTTTTGACCACTTCTTGAAACTGGACGTCGCTTTTCAAAGTCAAAAGTGTTAACGAATACGCAAACCTTGAGTTGCCATTCCATGGTATCTTCTGAAAACATGCTACGATTAATAGCTGAGGAGATGTGACACTATCAACCTACATACGAGAAAAAACCCAAAATTGCACATAAATTTTCACGCCATGAGGGAGAGGTTCAAGTTTAATTTGATTAAGAATGTTAAAAGTCTTCTAGCAGCATTCACAATAGAAAAGTGTAAAACGTACACAAAATAAACCAGTCCCACCTAGACTGAAAAATTACTTACTGGTAGAAATTTCCTAATTTCCGTAAGCATGGCGTTCCCTATCTAACAGCCATGAAGGATCAACTCAAACAGCACAAAAGTGATAATAAAAGTATAAGACAATTTAATATTTGATACAGGTAAAAAGTATTACACGAGTTCTTAATTATTGCTAAAGATGTTTCTACTACAATTTTGCACCATAAATAGCAAAATAACTTTTTGTAATTATAAAACAACTAATGCGAATGCATGTGAATATGTGAATAGCCCAATAGTGAAAAAGAGCCAAATACCCGAAAATGCGTATCACTGTATGCACCGCTAAAAAATAATTTTCAGAAGACTTAAAAAAATAAATTGAAAACCCTTCGTGACCAATTCCGAAATGAGTGCAAAACGATTCAAAATAATACATTTTGCTTGAAAAAAAAAACGCCGAAACTAAACTTAATGAAAAATTACACAACACAATGAAAATTTAATAAATTGTTTAAAAAAAATCATCTGGCAATGTAAATAATCTTTCTGCTACTAATAAAAAAACGAACAAAAAAGTGCCTTAAAATAATTATTAATTTTTAACAGAGGAGTAAACGAATAATTACAAAATTATTAAAGCCTTTATATAATTTCCAACCAATTTTATTTAATATATAAATATGTAAATTACTTTCTGGATATATTTAAAAATTGTTTGTGGAAGTTTTCTAAGCTCCTTGAACAAATGTTTAAGTCAACATTTTAAAGCTGTAATGCCTAAATTAAAGCAAGAAATCTTTCGCTGAAATCTAAAATATGAATCTTAAAAAATTATTTTGTCTTCTTATTACATCTCTCCAAGTATTATCGCTTATTGAAATGATTTAATAAAGAATTAAGTTTCTTGCGGCATTTTCAACCAATTAATTAAATCAGCCATCGTAAAAACGTTTTTAAATCATTTTACAATTATAAAAAACAATATTATATTTCTGCATACATGGATATATCAAAATATACAATTAAATACAAATACAAATATACACAATTTGATAATTCAAAACACAATTAACAACAGTTGAAATTAGAATCATAGTTATCATCAAAGGGATTCGTTGAATCACGTGTTCCATGGGATGCTTCGGCCATGCGAAATTTATCCGAAATTCTCAGCTTAAATAACCCAGAAGCAAAATCATTTGAAATTGTCTTAATTGTGTTGCCAGACTTGGAACTAAAGTTCATACTTTCCGAATTCGAAAGAAAGTATTCAGTATTTTTGGCACACAGAACACAATCCGTATTATCATCGCCCTTGTTAGTGCTGTAATCGTAGCTGAGGCAATCTTTGTGGAATGAATGCTGACATAGAAAATACACTGAGGGCATGTGCAACGGTTGGCGGCAAATATCGCAGCCCCTGTTGCGGAACTCCATTGGATTTGACTTGAATTGCGATACTAATGCATCATTGACATCTATTTCATTTTTGAGATCATTGTTCAACTGCAGCTCTGCTTTGACATCATTTGCATTTTTCGTAAACGTTTCTATCAAAAATGGTTTTATATCGATTATTTTGATCTCAGAGTTACTGCATACTTTTTGCAAAATATTTAGCAATGATCGCTGATCAGTTGTCAACACAGGCGCAAGACTTGGATTCTTTTTAATTGTTTCCTCGATGCATTTTGAGTTTGTTTCATCGCCAGTAATTACTTCAGAATATCCAGCGGCTTCTGGATATCCATTTTCGTGGGTAAATTGATAAGCCTTGGATATTATTGCAATCTTCTGAGAACTAAGCGAAGTTTTCTTTAAAAAATCTCGAATATATTCCGAAGATATCTTATTCTCACGCCAAAGACCAAGGTAAAGAGTCAGCAAATAATAAGATAACTTTTCATCACAGTTGGAAGAACTTTCTATCAGATCAGCTATTAACTTCGCACAAAACTCCTCGTAATTGGAGAAGATAGTTAAAAATCGCAATACGTTTTTTATTTTATGTGTTTTCACCAGTGATTCTGCCGTTGTGAAAACCTTTTGGGAATCCAGCGATATAAGTTCCCGACCATATTCTTGGAAAAATTGATAAATTTCATCTTCGTCCATTTGCTGAAAGTCCGTCGTCTGCAAATATTCGCTGGCACTTTTTAAGCTGGAGATATTAAGAGATCTAAGCGATATATTCCTAAAGTCGCAAATGTGACCGGAATCGTTTCGAGTAATCCAAAACTCATCAATTTTCGAGCTGAGCTTTTCCCGATCCACGCAACATTCAAGCAGTTTCTTGTGCTCAATGCTGGCGTGTTTATTTTTCAACAATTCATTCATGTATTGCATCAGGTGACCATTGTGCCTGAGACTTAACAGTTTCGAAATGATGTTGTATGGCTTTATTTCACCAATAGTCTGAGCATATTCGGTGACTGCCTCAGATAATCTGCCTCTTTGCAATAAATTATTGCCGTGCTGCAAACGAACATTTGCAATATTTTCACTTTCGGCGGCGCTTGCCTCTTTTTCCAAAATGCTCAGCGCTTTATCGTGCAAACACTGAGCGATTAGGAGGCGAACTTTATAATTAGTATTGTGCTGTTGCAATTTGTATTGATGGTACGTAGACATATATTGCGAGTGTTCGCCTTTAGTGATAATATGATAAGCATTTGTCGCATTGAGAATGCAAAGCAAATTCGAAATTCGTTCGTTGAAAAGAATCAATTTGTTGTGCACGTCCACAACGATGAGTCTGGAGCCAAATTGAGCCTTAACCACGACGAGCAGATGATGACCAATCCACGACAGAAACTCCTTTTGACCAGCAATCACGGAGCAGCCTCCGCGACCATCCCGACTAAAACAGTAAATGGCATCATCTCGTCCAACGACGAAAAACGAGTTGGGCCCAAGTGGTTCGGACATTGTACAACACTGGTTATGCATATCCCTATCGCTGCCCAGTGGGTACGTGGCGATAATTGAAGATCTATCGTTCAATACAAGACTATAGACTCCATCGAGGGACATGACGAACACATTGCAAATTTGCGTCTCCGACTGCTGATAGCAAGTATTAAATTCTATTCCATTTATGGCACTTGTTGCAATGCTCTGCTGACAAATATTTGACGAAAGATCTCGGTTGATTTTACCAAAATAGAGGAGGATGTCACCCCGCTCGAACCCTATGCCTAAGGCATACGTCTTATCGGGTCCAATAATGGCGACCTGCATAAGTGTGACCCGACTCGTTGTGGGCAAAATTGCGGTGGCGAGGCATGAAAATCCCTCCTTTTTGAACTGGTTGAGATCGTAAATGTATATGCCCAGCGAACGATTTGTGTCATTTTGAGCCACTATTGTGAGCATATTGTTCGTGGTTAGTGCACACAGTTTAATTGGCTGCTTGATTTCGTGGCAATCAAATCGTAGAGGTATTTTATCATTCTCAAAGAAAACATGCACAAATCCATTTTTGTCGCATAGTACGAGAGAAGTGCTCGTTGTGCCATTGGATGCTTTGACTATGCTAAAGCAGCGCGCCGATATTTCTGTAATTGTGTTATCTGCTTTGATTGAGCGCAAAGTGATTAAATCAAATAGTTTGACTTTTTTCCATTCCAAGACACTCATCCTGATGATTTATATGTACAATACTATATAATAATAAACTGTTTTTGTGGGTGTAAGCTAGTGATGTGAGAAATCATCGACATATTCGTATATATCGATGTATCTGTCTTTTTAAGTTCATTGGTCATCGCGTCCACGGTTTTTCGGTAGAACTCGACTTCTGTTCAGCGCTCACTTCTATTTTCAACATGCTGATTGTGTTTATTATTCATTGCCTAATTTTATTTACATATATATATGTATTACTGTTCTTATTTTAATTCAGTTTAATTCTGGAATTTCATATTCTTGGTGTTAATAACCTTCTACATATATCGTAAAATATCGGTAGCTACTCTTCCCGTTGGAATCACTCGCAGGGAAAACTAGCTAATTAGGTATGCGAAAAATGCATAACTATCGGTTTGTTTTTCCATCTCTATTTCTGCCATCTATCAACATTGTGTTAGATCAACATCGGTGAAAGTAAGGATGTTTGGAAATATTAGAGCCCTTCGAAGGGTTTTGGTGACACAAAGAGCCATACAAGTTCTAAATGGCAACACAAATCTAATAAGCAGACAAAGTCATGTGTAAGTAGTACGACGTATTCATCAGGCGTACATAGAATATTGCTTTTGTTATATTACATAACGTTTTTATTTAGTGTCTCTTACCGAAATGCTCCACCGCCTCACTCAAAGGCAACTAAAATTGGAGCCGTTGCCGTTGGAGCAGCGATGTGGTGGTGGGTAATCTGGCACCTATGGCATGAACCCGATCACATAACTGTAAGTACCAGCACTTCCCCGTATTTATATTTGTATTCACCGAAATTAACCGGTATTTTTGTATTCCCAGGGAGAGTTCGACTACCCAGATCCGCTGAAGTGGAGCAATGCCCAACTGGGAATCCCTCGTGATGATGCATAATGTAATTTATAATTGAACAGAACTAATACAATGTTATGAATACAAAATGTTGCTGTTGCGATTCATGGGATAAAGCAAACAAACATCAGCCTTCTAATGATTAGCGCATCGCGATATTATATTTTAAATTGAAAATCAATTGTCCAAGTTTAGTTGTTCATAAATAATGACACACGCAATGGAGTGATTGATCAAATGGGGTTTTATTTTTGGCAGACTTTAAAGTGCATTCGAAATATTTCGGCTGCGAAATACACTCTCTTCTATTGTAGCAGATTAAAAATTAAATTTAATTCTCAATAAATAAAAAATAATAATCCATATTGATCACTTTAGAATTAGAAATACCTTTTATAAGGGTATAGATTTTTGCCTTAGTTTCATACCATCATTAGAAATCTGTAAAGTGTATTGTAGAGTTGTGCAAATTAATGTAAAACATTAAGACATCTCCGGCCCCATAAAGGATATAAAAATTAACCATAGACTACCCGCTTCCGCATTGGTTGGATTTCGCTGATGCACACTCGTGAGCAGCGTACTCAGCGTTGAGCGGCCCTTCGCCCTGAGTACCAAATACGCTGATACGATATTTCCCATGAGCAACGAACCCAGCTTATTTTGCACTTTCCGGGAATGGCCGCGAGAGCGAAAGCGTAACGGCTACTCTAGGTTAAGATGTTTTCTGATATGCATTTTGTGCTTAGTTCTAATCACACTGACGAAGATGCGAGATGCCCCTCGAATAATATAGTCATGATAACTCAAAAACTGTTCGATTCAATCAAGGCGATAATTAAATAAATAAAGTAATAACAAAATGCTTAATTTACATCACATTTGAGATGTGCACAGGACTAATTATGTGATGCCTTCAGTCACAACATTTTATGTTTTGTCCCGTCACGGCAAATGCCGAATATTTCAGATTTTGTTCCAATTTTCCAATCAAAAATTAATGTCAATTTCAATTTACTTAAGATCTTTTTTTCCAAAATTATTTCCTAGCATAGTCCTCTAAAATTCGGAGGGTGCATAATTCCGCTGACATAGCGACGGAGTAATAATCAACATTATTGTACGAACTCGAAAATATTTATTTTAGCTTTCATCATTCATTAATTGTTGGTTGTGCAATATGCAATCCTTAAATGATCTCAAAAATTTTAGTTTTTAGAAATGTGTAATCAATGTCAACTAATCTTTGTTTTTTCGTCTTTCAATTAAAATTTCAGACATTGTTTATATGGAATTTTATCGAAGTTCAAATTACGTCTATGAGAAGTCAGTTTCAGCTCAATATGCTTAAAATGCCTTATAAACTTCTATTGGGGATACTAATCCATAAAAAGTTCCTTTAAAAAAATTAATAAATAATCAGCACTTGGCATTTTTAGGGATTCTCGGATTTGATCGTTAATATTTTGTTTCCCGGTTCCTCCCACAATTTTGATATTCATTCCCAATCCCTCCCACTCAAAGGTTTTCGATTTTGTCCTATTTTCCATCTAAACGTGCATGATGAGCCAGGCACAGGACAAGTTGCAGTTCCACGAACTGGAGCTGGACATGCCCATACTCAAGGCAATTGCGCAGTTCCAAGCAGGTGCTGGTGCCCACAAAGGAGCTCCAACGATATGGCAACACCGGATATTGTGGTGGCGACACCCTTAAAAATTGCCACCTATGAGCATATGGTGGAGAAGCCAGCGGGCAAAGCACCTTTGGCTGGAACACGATACACAAAAAGGATAACGCTGCCGTCGTCGTCCAGCTTAGAGGATAACCAGAAGGCGGGCAAAAGTAAAACACTTGAGCGGCTTAACAGCCTGGAACGTCCGCAGAAGGAAGTCGTCTACCAATTCAAAATGGAGAAGGTGAAGGCGTTTCGATGTCGCGCTCAAGATTGCAGCCGTGCCGCTAACCCTATCGCTGTGCATGATACACGGATATGTGAAATCAAGACCTAGATTCTCAACTGTGAGGTGCTCAAGGGCTTTTTCGAGGAAAACAAACGCGATCTGCAGGCGTTGCGCCATGAGAAACCATCGCGCACCATTAAGGTGCATCCGCATCTCGCCCATGTCTCGGAATACATATTGCCAAGGCGGCCCTCTCAGTGCCAGAGGAATGCTCCCCTGATGGTCAGCAAAGTAGACTATGGTAAGCGACGTGGCGAGCCATAAGGCAGCGTCAACTGAATTGTTCATATGATTTAATAATTTATTGATGACATCCTTCGCTGTGCAATCATCGGTGAAAATCGAATACCAATAGCAATAAATGTCACTCAGAATTAAAAGCATTTCACAAGTTGTATTTGCCAAGTTATTCCTATAATTATATTAAGACTTCAGTTAGGTGTAACTACTAATCGAGCTATTTAATTTCGTGTCTAGTTCAGATAAATTGTAGGACTTTGACTTTCCAGCTGATATAGGCGATGCCGATATTGGGAAATAAATTCGCTTTGGGACGTATATCATCTCCAGATCTGATTTCAACGTGTCGAGTATGCTTTCTCTAAAAATTCTAAGGGGGAAACAGAGATCGAGGCTGATGGGAAGCTGGAACATGACAAGAATCAAAGATCGCGTATAGTTAAATTGGGTGTTGTATATAATAATGATATCTATATCATGATGCATTTTACAAAACAATTAATGCTGTCTGGAAAATTAACCAGTGCATTTATTTATTCAAATCCCAAAGTTTACTTTTTATGCATGAACGTCACGCTGAGCCTTCTCCCAGGCAGCCATTGGTCCGTGCTCTCGTCGGTATTTGACATTGCATCCATCGTGCTCGAGGCGATTGTCATCGCGCAGTTCCTCGTAGCGCTCCCGTTCGTACTTGGTGAAACCCCACTTCTTCGACACGTAGATCTAAGAAAGACAACAAATTTTATTATAAGTATTTCGAGATATAAATAAACATTTGCGCATTACCTTCTGGCGACCTGGGAACTTGAACTTGGCACGACGCAGGGCTTCGATGACTTGAGCCTTGTATCGGTCACTGGAACGCACAGACATAATGGGCTGTCCAATGCGAACGCGAGCAACGGTTCCCTGCGGCTTTCCAAAAGCACCTCTCATTCCAGTCTGAAGCCTAAAATATACACATAAATGTATGGGAAGTCAGCAATTGGAAGTTCCAAGACGCATACCTATCGGCTCCGGCGCACGACAACATTTTGTTGATGCGAATGACGTGGAATGGATGCAAACGCATTCGGATGTGGAACTGATCCTTGCCACAGAACTTCACCAGATACTTGTTGCAGCAAATGCGTCCAGCTTCCAAGGCTTCGCTGCTCAACTGTTCGTATTCATCGGACACCAAATGGACGCATAGCGGGAAATCCTCAACGGTCGCCTTCTTTCTGCCCAAATCGAAGATGCGAATCTTTGGGTCGGGTACACCACGACAGAAACGCGACTTTGGGTACGGCTTGTTCTTACAATAACGGTAACTTCAATTTGCAATAAGAAAATTAAATTTAAGTTGAGCATTTTCATTGCTTATCAAATAAACATAAATACTTACCACCTAGCTGGTCGGCGACCCATCTTCAATCTGAAACAAAATCGAGAACAAAGCAAAACAATAAGTAAAAAATATAATTATTGTTTATTACGTAGCAGTTATTGCGCTTTGACCATGTAAGCTGCCAATAATTTAAGCTAAAATCCGAACGGATGTTTATAGATATTTGTAATGCCCAATTTATGTACCTTTCACCGTACGGCTCAAAACAAAAGGAAGTAGATTCATTCAACGGAAATACACAACCAAAATTTGCAAAATCATCGTCGAATCGACAAGTTTGGCCTTATCGATAGCTAACGATGTGCCAAGTTAGCTACAAAATCTTAACGTCGTTATAGAACGTTGAAGTAATGGAATTTAACTTAGAGCATATCTTATTCAACATATATAAAATTAAGTTACTTATATCTATAACTAAATATTTATTTTTTGTTGTTTTTTCCTTGGTGTCATATGAGGGGATATAAACTTAACGATCCATGGAAATAAACACTTAAAACGATAAAACCTTGCGAAACTCATTGGAAATCAATTACAGGAAGAATATTAGTGCTGCTGGTTATTGACTCCGCCATCAGATTTGCATAAAGTATAATAAATCCGTTTGCATCTTTACTGACAGCGTCCACAGAGAAACTGGTATTTAATTATAAAACTAAAAAGAGTCACCTACAAGCGATGAGTTGCATAACATAAAAGCTTAACGAAAAGTTTATAATAATATATATAAAGTAAGCAATGTACAATTATGTGAATATAAAAATATCTATATATAAATAATAGCACAATTGGCTTTGCAAAATCTGTGAACTGTTAAGCGCCCGCAAAATGTTGTTATGTGCTTTTAGCCCGTAAAATCATTTCCACTGCATATTATTGTAAATTTATAGACCCGAAATTTGGTTTAATTTAATTTTTTTATCGCTGATTTATTTTTTTAATTAATTGTGTATCGAATTAAGGAGCACAAATATTTAGGAATTCAAAGTTAATATTGTCCGATTCCATGTTCCAACGTGGTCGATAAGCTTACAAATGTTTCATGTTTCATTTTCAAATTCCTTCTCACTGTAACGAGAGCCTGTACTGACAACTTGGCATATTTCCGTCTTTTGGATTTTGGTCGGCCACAAAGGTGGGTGCTAAAATATTTCTATGTGGATATTAATTTTTTCGTTTGCCCAGTAATCAATATATATTAATTTAATTTAATTTATTTCATTCTGACAGGTAATTACAACTGCAGGTCTTACAAAGAGTATTTTTCTATTCCAAACATACTGATGATACTTCCATGCACCACTCTGATGCTTTTTAAGCAACGTGCAGATTATGGATATTCTGAAAAATCCGTAGAGATCGATCTAGAGTAAATAAAGTGATTTAAATTGTATTTAAATGACACTTTCAATCTATTTTTAGGTTTTAATAATTATGAGAAAGAAAAAATGACAAAAAATAGACCAATGATGTGACAAGTTATGTATAAAAATAACAAATTCCGTTTGTTGCTAGGTCTATCAGCCGTTGAAAATGGGTGCCTACCGCTATATGCAGGAACTGTATCGGAAGAAGCAGAGCGATGTTATGCGCTATCTGCTCCGCATCCGTGTCTGGCAGTATCGCCAATTGACAAAATTGCATCGCTCGCCGAGACCCACTCGCCCGGATAAGGCTCGTCGTCTGGGTTATCGCGCCAAGCAGGGCTACGTCATCTATAGAATCCGTGTTCGCCGCGGAGGTCGCAAGCGTCCCGTGCCCAAGGGCTGCACCTACGGCAAACCCAAGAGTCACGGTGTCAACCAACTGAAACCGTACCGTGGATTGCAATCCATTGCTGAGGTAAGCATTGTTCTAAAAAAGAAAAATAAATACCTTTCTATTCTTAACTGATGATAAACACGTGCTTCCTGAAGACAAATATATGTGGCATTAACTTCCTTAGATGTCTGAACCTAATTCAATCTATATTCTCATATTCATAATACGCCGGATAGTAATTAAAGATTTTCTCCACATTTTTATAGGAGCGTGTTGGCCGCAGACTTGGTGGTCTACGTGTGATGAACTCTTACTGGGTGGCCCAGGATGCCTCCTACAAATACTTTGAGGTTATTCTGGTGGACATTCATCACAATGCCATCTGCCGTGACCCCAAGGTTAACTGGATTTGCAAGCATGTGCACAAGCACCGCGAGCTGCGTGGTCTGACCTCGGCCGGAAAGAGTTCCCGTGGTCTCGGCAAGGGTTACAGATATTCGCAGACCATCGGCGGATCCAGGCGTGCTGCCTGGAGACGCAAGAATCGCGAACATATGCACAGGAAGCGCTAAGCTGCAATTATGTTTCTGTGAAAACATTCTGAAAAAAACAAAAAACATTTTAAATACATATTTCAAATTGTGTATAAACGTGATTTGTATTGTGTACGATTTATTTGTAGTTTGTCAGATTAACGAAGATAAAAGAAGAGGCTTCGTTAAACTAAGCAATAATTATAGATGTGCTAGATATTTTTAATATTTATTTCATATTTTGGGAATAGCACAGAATTTGCGTTGTGCAATTTCTGACAATATTGAAGCTGGAGACTATATCTTATTCAATGTTAAGATGTTTAAAATAAATTGTGTAGTCCACAATGATTTTATTAATTTTTATTGATGAACATTTAATGTTATTAAAGAAACGTTCGGTCAATGGTTGGGATATGAGGCTGTTAACTCCCGTGTTGTCCTATAAATTCTATAGCTATTCAGTCATATTGTGTAAATGTGTAGCATGCAGATTGAAACATCTACAGCTGAGTTGTCTCCGTGTGAACCTTTAAGAGAATTTTGAAAATAAGTCGTTTTTATTTATTTTATCCATAACTCTCCGATACCCTAACATCAATTTCCGATTGCAAAGATAACAGAAACTAATTTACCTATTCACTTGGCATGATATTGATACTTTGCAATGATCATAATTTTCTCGTTCGGATTTTATTCACGTGTGGGTTTGAAAATTTGGTTCTATATTTGCGGAACTTTCAAAAGCAAAAGCGTTATATTTTTTTGTATTAAATTAAACGAAATCCGACAGATGACGGCAAACCAAACAAATTTTTTTTGTGGTCCTTGAATTTTTGTATCCTGAACCCTTTAAAAATGTGTAATAATTAAACAGCGAAGCTATTCCAATCAAAGTAACAGGTAAAAGACCTCATTTAATATATAAATATTTATATAATATACTAACCTTCTTTTCGTGTGTATTAGCAAACTAATATAAAAGCTACATAATGTAAGTTGTTTTAATATAAATTCTCGTATATCGCGCGCAAATCAATTAAATTAATCGGTAACTCCCCACGTGCTGCATATATCGATATATATATATATATATATATATATCGATTTGGAAAGCAATAAAAAGCCCTGTTCAACAGCATCCTTGCTTTATGATATATAATACACCTTAACATCTTATTTTGTCATTTTCTCTTTCACTGGGCACAATCTGAAGTATTCGGCTTTCCGATTATTCATAAATCGAAATTGTAAGCAACTGCAAAAAAACGAACAAACTCGCTCTTATTTGCGTTAGCTTCAATTTTCTCTCCAATAATTCTATTAAAAAATATAAACGGAACGAAAATTGTTACAGTTACGTATAAATATACCATATATATATATATATATAGTGGATCTCTTTTGGTTCGGCTGTGCGAAAGAGATAGTAGGGGTTTTTTTTTGCTTTGCATAATTTATTGGGTGTAAAAAGGGATGGGAAACGAGGCGGCTGACAAGTAAGCAAGAATGGGGCAGGAAGGCCCCTAACAGGACCAGATCCGTATTGTGGCATAGGGAGGCACACTATACGACTGAAACTTAGAAACTAGGAGAGGCAGAGACGGCAACAGAGCTGGTCGGAGGCAGTAGGACTCCGACAAGCCAGATGTCTCCTAGGTGGTTATAATCTTGTTCGATTTAAAAAGATTATAACCATGGGAACAGCCTTAGGATACTTATCGGTCTATTGACAGGACACTGTAGACTAAGGAGTCACCTGACAAAATTGGGTATATATAGTAGCGATCTCTGCAGGTTTTGTGAAAGGGAGGAGGAATCCTCGATGCACATCCTAGCAGAATGTGTCGCCTTAGCTAGAAGAAGAATCAGCATCCTAGAGGCGCATGTCTTGAATTGCAAAGACATAGAAGACCTCAACCCAACAAAGATCCTCACGTTCGTACGGGAGTTGGGGCTGATGGAAGAGTTATGAGCTCAGAAGGGGGCACAATAGATCAAATAGGTCGCGGTGCAGCTTCCCCAATAATAATAATAATAAAAGGGATGACAGTACTTGGCTGATACTAAATTCATAAAAGCAATAATTTGTTTCTATAAATTTCATTGCACGGCTAACAAAGAAAAATTATATGTGTCCATCAACTTCCACAATGCTCACTTTACGACTGTCGTAATTGGAGCATCCTGGATAATTATACCATGAACACGATCAAGCGATCCATCAAATTAAACGCCATCTATCCAAAAATGTTTCTATATTAGTAAGCAAACAGATGTTTTCTTTCTTCTTCTTTCATAAAATAAAAATAAATGTTATATCTGATCCCAAAATGGTATTTACAAAAATATGATTCAAGCATTTTTTAAATATTTAAAACCGAAGATTTGTAATAGTCGCCGAATAGATCGATAAGTTTTGTTAGCACCACCTTTCAGAGGGAAGAGTGGAGTACTCAACGCTACCTAGCGGTCAAACTATGGTAGTTGAGTCACGGCAGAAGTTGGGGCAATCTGCTTCAAAAGACCCAAATGATCTCTGGGAGAGAATTTGTTTAATAAATAGGTAACATTTGAAAATATAGAAAAAGGTCCAAATTGGAGGCCAGTTGAATGCGAAAGAGTCCAAATTGGATGCAAACAAAATGAAAAGTGCTTGCGTGGGGCAGAATTTATTTAAATACCGCCGCAAGAGGATAGTTAAATTTGTGCAGAAATACAAGTTAAACGACGCATAAAAAAAAGTTGTATATAAAGTTGTGGAAAACTAATAAAAATATCAAGTATCATAAATGCAATAAAAGCAAATACAATGCAACAAACAATATAATATTCGTAACTATTAAATAATATGTGCAACATATTACATTTATACTGATGAAAATGCACAAGAAGCAACCAGATTTTAAAAGCCTTATGGAAATAAAAATAATACATTAAATGTGTTAAACAAAAAGTATGACAGTACGCCAGTAGTAGCAGTATCTGTACACTAACGTAAATGAAGAGTTAATAAATTATAGGTTTAGTAAGAACATAAATTAAATAATTTTAAATAATTAAAAGAATGAATGATTAGTAGAAAATAAATTAGAATATAAGTATGAAAAGTTATGTATTAATTGGCTAAAATTAGTTTTGAATTTGTAATGAAGGCTTAATTTGACTAAATATTTCTTATTTTTAATTTATGTACATCATTTTAAATTTAATCTTACATTTAATTAAATTTAAATTTTTTTATACTTTTTGTATTTTTTGTGTCGATTGACTTTAGTTAGCATTAAATAAATATATATAAATCGGGTGAGATGAGGGTATTGTAACCGAGCGAAAATTGAATAAGAAATATGAAGAATGCCTCAAATAAATTATTTCGAGAAATTTATAAGAATGCAGGCTGTATAACATCCGCAGTAGCGAGTACAAAAATATACAAATTATTGTTAATTTGCCGCCCAATATATTGCGGTCGATCCCCACCTTAGCCGATAGCTAGCCGGCCGGGCGATATATTGGTGCTTCCGATAGGCAAGGAGTAACAGATGCATCTGATCAGGCTTGAGCGAATCTTAAAAGCGATACTTGTTCTACTCTTTTAGTATATACATTTTTAGTTCAGTATTTTCGTTGGTATTTTATAGGTACTTTGTTTCGTAACCACGTTTTGCTATTATCTTGATTCGCCTTTGATCCGAGATTAAACGCAGACGTGCTCGATTTTGTACAATTTGCACCTTCGCAACTGCATTTCTATATTGACTAAATGGATCGAATTTCGAAAGGCTGGTTCAGTGAAATCCAGGATGATTTATGGCCGGGACAATCTTTTTCTTTGAAAGTAAAAGAGGTTCTTCATGCAGAAAAATCTCAATTCCAAGATATTCAAATAGTTGAGACGTAAGTTATGCAAACACATACAAATAAAAATTCAATCATATATGATTATTTACTTATATTCATTTTCATAAGCATGTGTGTACCACCAGTTCTACGAATAAATATTTACTTGTTCTAAGAAGTACATCTGCATCTGTGTGTTTGTGTGCTGTATTCGAAATGCATTTGTGTACAAAAAGATTATTATTATTATTCCTATAAAAAATACTTCTCTATGCATGATCATTAAATCGTCATTCAATGAACAAAAAATGTTTCATCTTGTTACTGTTTACCCTATATAAAAGCGAAATCGTTGTAAGACAAGTTGGGCACGTCCTTGATCTACCTTCATATTTATATATGAAAGTACCCTTGGATAATATAGGATCTCAAGCGCATCCAACAGGTGGGCCTGCGATTGAGATCAAGAAAATTGTTTTTTTTTTTTGTTATCTTACATTAAAGCTAAGAATTTTTAAATACAAAAATTGAAACAATTAAAATTTTAACTAACACAAATCTTATGCAACTTATTAATTAATATTTTAAACAAGAATTTTGGAGCATTTTATCATAAGTTTTTGGCAATCACTTCTTCAGATAATCTTTTCATCATTTTTTGCCTCTGCTGTGGCCTGGGACTCCATTTTTGACTAGTCTTTCCTACATTCATGAAAAGGTAAATTACTGAATTAGTAATATAAATATTGATAAAATATGCATTTGATCTAAAAATATTGCTTTTTCTGCAAGAATTTGACAGAGATAGTTTAAGAATTTAACACATTTAATAATAATTATGTGCATTAATTTAATTTTAGTATTTAGCCAGATTAAAGTCATTTATTTTTGCCAGCATTTTCCTATTTAAATTTATTTTTACAGAGAAACCTATGGAAGGTGCCTCATTCTCGATGGAATCATTCAATGTACTTCCCGAGATGAGTTCTCTTATCAGGAAATGATATCTTTCTTGCCACTGTGTTGCCATCCAAATCCACAAAAGGTTTTAATTGTGGGCGGCGGGGATGGGGGTGTGGCACGGGAGGTTGTCAAGCATCCGTTGGTTAAAGAAGTCCACCAAGTAGAAATCGATGACAGAGTTGTGGAATTATCCAAAAAGTATCTACCTTCGATGGCGTGTGGCTTCGACAGCGAAAAGGTAAAGCTTACAATTGGCGATGGATTTGAGTACATGAAACAACACAAGAACGAATTCGATGTCATCATAACGGATAGCTCGGATCCAGTTGGTCCGGCAGTGAATTTGTTCCTCGAAAGCTATTTTGAGCTGCTGAAGAATGCACTGAAAGATGGCGGAATTATTTGCTCGCAGGCGGGCAGTTTTTGGCTGGACTTTGATCACGCCAAGAAAACAATGAAAGGATGTGGAATTCATTTTCCAAAAGTTGGATATGCCGTTACCTCAGTGCCGTCTTATCCATGCGGTCACATCGGATTTATTGTCGCATCTCTCAATGCAAGCCGGGATCTGAAGGAGCCTGTGAAAAAGTTTGAAAAATCCGAAATAGATGCGTTAAATTTAAAATACTATTCCAGTGAAGTTCATTCCGCTGCTTTTAGCCTACCCCGTTGGGTTGAGAAGCACTTTTACGAATAATAGTTTGTACAAAATAAAGTTCATGTTGTGCCTTCTCTACAAATGTAAATACCAAGTTTACAAATATACAGACTTAAACGATTAACTATTATTTAAATACATTCTTGTACGCAAATCGTATGGTAACAAAATGATCTATTTATTTACAGAATTACGATTGAGGCAGATATCTTAAAATCGCCATTAAGCGGAAGTTGTAAATTGAATTCAATAAATTTGTTCCCTGCAGTGTTGGCATTTTTGCGTTTCATGTGGCAGATCTGTTATTTTAGATTTCATTAGCCCGGAAAATTTAGAAATCCTTAAAAAATAATTGTAAATTTAATAAGAGTTAAGCAAAAAAGAAAACTCCCTCCCTCGCCGCTCGCGAAACTTTTCATTTTTATTTTTATTTTGAGATTCAGAATTAAGACCGGTGAGGCTTTTTTTGGACTGTGTCAAAATTCAAATGTTAATATATTTTGACACTGATTATCAGCAATGCTCATTTTTCAAATCGAAATGCATAAAGTTAGTTATGAGAGAACTAACAGATTAAAAATTAATTAATTAATCTTTTAGCTGTTAGCAAACAATTTGCTTTATAATTTCCACAAGCGAAATAAATTGGCAATTTCATGATGGAAATCGAGTTTGATCTGAAAACAGGGCTTTAGCAAAAAGAAGGTGTAGTATCCCAAGGAAAAGTCAAATCAGCATGCATGCTTACAGGCTAAAAAAAAAAAAAATGTTGAGTTCTTGAAAGCAGCGTTGATATTATTTATTTTGTTGTTTATAATTGTTGAAAATGCCTATTTTTGTCATACACTATAAAATACCAATTATTCAAAAGAAGTTTTATGCTTGTTTTTCGATCATCTCAGATAGCCCCGATAACATCGAAGTAACCAAAAGGAGAAAAATTGATGTGCAAATAAATTTTAAACAATTATGATTAAAAATTATTGGTTTAAAAAATAATCAAAAGCTAGTTTATAATAGTGATTATGGCATAATAACTTTAAAACAATACACAACAGAAAAGAATAATTGCAAACGCAAGTCTCGCTCATACAAAAAGTGATTGGTTGTTCTCAAAACAAGTTTTGTTTTTAAGTAACATATCGATAACTATCGCTGGATCGTGTCAACAATTGAATAATTATCGCACAGCCAAGCTACAAGAAACAAATGCAGATTGAAAGCCCGAGTTGCGTTAATGTTAAGTTTCCGATCTATTTGTTGAAGACTTATAGGCAATTCCTTTATTTATAAATTATATTATAAGTCTTGCAAATTGTAATTCTACATAAATATTATTATTAAGTTTGCTTGTCTCCACCATCATCAAACAACTTAAATACGGACAACAAAAATTGTTCGTATATTCAATTTGTAGATACTTAATTACAATTCATCGTGGCCATTGTCTTCGGATTCATTCTTTGATTCCATATTGTCCTCGTCCTCATCGTCATCGTCCTCGTCATCCTTGTCCTTGTTCTGCTTGGATTCCTCCTCATCTTTTTTCCGCTGCACCTCATCCTGCAACTCCTTCATTTTCTTCTCGCCAGCCTGTGTGGCTTTTACCCCCTCCGCCGTCTTCGATGCCAGCTCGATGTCATCGGTGATGAGGACATTGTCGAAGATGGTGCCCGATTTCACTTGCCACAAATCGAAGCCCAAAGTGCAGATCTCCTTGCGCAGATACAGTTTGTCATCGGGACTGTGCTCGGGATTATCGATTTCTGGATGCTCCCATGTGCCCTTATAGTTGGGGTTGTCCAATTGCTTGGGTTGCCACTCGCCCTTATATTCGGGATTATCGACCATTGGGGGTTCCCATTCCCCATCCATTTCATCGTCCCAATCCTCGGGCTTGGTCGCATCGGGGTCTGGAATGTGCTGTGGCTTATCCCAATCCTCGGGTTTCTTATCATCGGGATCCGGAATTGTGGCCTTAAAAAAATGAGTAATAATAATTAGTCACGGGAAATAGATAAGTACTTGTGCAAGTTGTTTGAAGAGAATAAAGTAGAACAAATAATACAAAAAAATTAATATGTTATAATAAAAGAATATATAAAACTATATATAAAAAAAATTAAAAATTCAAAAATAAAAATAATTTCACTTGATAATAGCGACAATCATTATCATCCCTATCATCCCCATCAATAATAATAATATAAACAATTTACCTTATCAGCCCAAACAATAATAACAACAATAAAAATAGTATTAGTAAAAATATGATGACAATAATAAAAACAAATTGTTACCTTATCATCCCAATCCTCTGGCTTCTTCGCATGCGGATCCTTGATTTTCTTGGGTGCCAAAAAGTCCCAATCATCCTCGAGATTTCCCGATTCTACCTTCTCGTTATCGATTAACACCTCATAAGTGTTATCCGGCTTAACGATGAGTGTGTAGAAATGTGTGAAGACATCGTCCTTGCACCTGATGTCCTTATTAATTAAGTGATTCTTGCCCTTGTAGCTCAAAATCACGTGCACCTTTTTGGTGCCAGGACCACAAATATCGGGACCAAACATAATCTCATACGGCGAGTCTCCGTGCATATCGGTTTGATCCAGCGAACAATCGAATAGTTTCACATAGCCGCCGCCACAATCGATATTCTGCTCGTGCTTCACCGAAAATTGGACAACAAGCGGTTTTCCCTCATTCGAAAAACCATCGAATTTCCTTGAAATGGCATAGAAACGTGCATCTTGGGAAGTTTGAATGCCTAAAGGGAAATTTTTTTATTGGTTAGAAATGAAAATGTAAATATATGTATATGTATGATTGTGTGAGTGTTTTCATGCAAATAAACATTAGCTCACTCACGTAACTGTTTGTATGTATGTGTGTATTTATATTTGTTTTATTACGCACCTTTGTCGGCTTCGGCATCGTTGAAAAAGGAGCCCGCTGAATGAACAAATTTGCCCAGCTCCTTGCCAGGATGCTTGCTGTAGACCCACTCATCCTGCCAATTATCTACAGCAAAGAAAAATATTTATATAGTTCAGTATACATTTATATATATATATATATAAGTATTCAGTGCAAAATTTACCGTTTTGGAATTTGTCTTCAAAGAAAACGTCGGCGTTTACAAATCCTATTGTAAATAGCGCAAGAATCGCTCTCAGATACATGATGAGGCCGTGTTACTTCTTCAAACTTCAGCTACGAACTGTGGAGTCAGCAATTTGTGTGCTTCTAACTAAATGCCGGCTTGCTAGATGAATGCCGATATCAGAGAGAGATGAGCGTATGTGTGCTGTGTAAAATCGGTGGAGCGACTGGATTGGATACATGTGGACCAATCACAATTGTCAACGTATCAATAAGTGTTGGTAAATATCTCAAATTCGCTTCACATTCGATAGGTCCATCAGCACTTGCATAAGCCAAGTAGGCTGCTCCATCTAATTGATAAATAACTTTTGCACCTTACGCTGAATTGATATTGGACATATATTAATAAAATTAATTTTAATTAAAAACTTCAAGGGTTATTATATTTTTTTATATCATATTATTTTAAAAATGGCCTCCAGTATTTAAGAACAGCATAATTCGTGAGAATTTTAACTATTTTTGCTTATTTGCAAACTCACTCATTCACACGATACACAAACTATCAACGGAATGGCAACGCCAAAAAATGGATTTTCATTAAAAAACATTACTCTCGGTTTTAATCGAGTCTCACCTACTGAGAAGACTTTTAAAAAGGTCGGAGAATCAAACTGTCTTATCAAAGAAATTCCTTTTGCTGCTTTCCAGTTTCAAACCTCTATAACCATAATCATCGTGGCGAGTTAAATTATCTATGTGGTCTTCATTTATGGATTTTGTATTATTTTGTTTCTTATATTGATCATTTCCAATTCCACTTTTTCAATTGGAACAGATCTCATTTTTAGAAAAAAAAAACTTCTCTAAATTCAGAAACAAGTAATGAAATTTACTGGCTGGTCTTTTGTATTAGAGTTTAGCTCTCATCTGCCTTAGAGGCCGAGTATATCATTAAGGAGTCACTCAACTCGCGAACCAAATTGAAATCTTAAAATATTATTTTATATTAAAGTGCTTTATATTAATATGAAAACTTAGATAGAATTTTCATACATTTTTAGAAATATTTACCTTTAAATTTAGAAAAGCAAAACTGGTTTTTATGAATTTACTTTGTGAATAATAAGGTGAGTTACCCTTGGCCCCAAAATTTCACGAATTTCGAAAATGTTGTACGTATAAAAGGTCAACAGCGGCATCTCTCCTAGACGGCCTATATGGATATCGCATGTAGATAATTACGATCATTCCCATGCATCCACACAACCTATTGTGGAGGATGCTATGTTCAAAATCTGCCTTATTCGCCAGGAATGTCCTAGCCTCAACTCCAGAAAAATTATGACTCTAAAACCGGAAAATCATTGCATTTCTATGCAAAATGGAGTTAGACATACTAATTAGTATTATGCGAATTTTACGAGAGACACACAATTGACTTAAGTGGTCGTAGGACCCAAACTCCAACAAATAATGATATATAACTGATGAACATTCAGTAAATAGTGAAGGTGAACCAGAAGTAACCAGCAATATGGAGCAAGGAAGAAGTTTACTTTTATAATTTTATTCATTTCATTATTTATCCTTGCAGATTTGAAACAAAATTCTATGCCGGAATGGAGTTGTTATATTTAGAATATTTTCCAATGCAATGGAGTGAATGGTTTGTCCTTGAATAACGCGAAATAAATTGAGGAAGTGTCCAGATCAAGTTTCGAGCAATAAGCAGGCAGGATGTGGAAATGACTTAAATTCAGATCTCGGTAGAAGACCACAGTATTTGGGATCTTCCTTCGCAGACATATCGGATCTTGACAAGGCAACTGGCGATGTTCCTCCAGTGTACTGGATGGAACATGTTGCCCAAATTTAGTTCTAGTGAGTGGAGCATTAGAAAGGTAACTAATCATCGTTGCATTGTTGAGCAAACTCTATTTTGCTGTTCTTTCTAGACCTTCCCAATTACTTTTTTCCAGTTTCTCTTAAATTTGTATTACTGATCATTCCTTAGATGAACCGTTTCGGGTACTAAAAAAAATGTCATGATTACTATAGAATTCATTGTGTTTGTTATTCAATCAATTCAGAGTCTTCTATTTCTATCGTTAAGAACCCAATTTTAAACAGAATAACATTTTTGCATGCATTTTAACTAATTCATACTAACAATTTTGTGGTCCGATTGGGATTTTCTGTGCTATCCCCAATCCGTGCAAAAAATGTTGGGCGATTTGCATTTTTAATTTTATTTTTCTTTTCTTTTTATATTTTATGACATTATGAGTTATTTTTCTTCTGTTAACAATTAATAACTAACTAAATACTCTACAACCTATAATTTTTTGAGCACTTTTTGAATTATTTTAAATCACACCCTTAAAATAACATAAATTTATACTTATAAAAATCATTTGTTGAGCTCATCTCAAAGTGGCATACAATTTTCGATATTATCAAATTTTTCCGTTTTTAAAACGGATTCCTTGGTGTTCTACAATGCGTAAAACAAGTGAATGATGACTTTTAGAATCACACGCTGCATAGCAACCGCTTCGGAAAATAAATGAATAATTTTCATACGAAATTGAAGCATATGCATTTATAATTATTTTACATATGTAATGTATATTTTTAGAATTATTTCCCTGTACTCATTAGCGCAATCTATATTTCTAACTAAATATTCATTGAGTACACCTCAAATGGTACTTGATTAAAATTGTTCTGGACAATAACTTAATCCTTTTAGTTCAGTGTGATAACCATGGATTCCGTGGTACACCGAGGAACGATAAGAAAATATGGAACACTATGGAATGCATTTATTTTGTATGTATAAATATATAATAAATAAATCTTTAAGCAATAACTTTTTTTGTTATAAAGTATTTAAATGTGACTGAATTTTATATTATTGTATACAACATAATAATTTCAAATGCATGTAGTAGAAAAACTTAATAGGCCTAAAATATTATATACGGAGATCGCAAATCGATGTCTTTATGAATGTTGAGGTACATTCGTAGATGTGACTGGATCGAAGCATTTGAGACATTAATAAATCGATTACTAGCCACATTGAGTTTTTTGTAGGGAAAACAACATCGATATAAACTAGAAATAAATTAAATACAAATATATAAGAAAAAGTTTATATATAAATAATAAGGTAATAAAATTTAATATACCATTTATATTCAAATGTCTAATCGTCAAAGTGAATTAATGAACTAGAAGTAGAGATGCTGAATTTTTAATGACAAACGTCAATAATGGTATAAAATACGAGATGTTTTCGCACAAAATATCGAGTTAAATATCGATAGGAGAAATGAATATATTGTATTTCTATCATCCCTATGTGTGTCAGTAGATAGCTACACATATAACTTCTCTTCAAAATTTAAATTTGTTTGGATTTTTCGTCAAGATGGCTTCTGCAGGTTTGATTTAGAATTATTTTTATAATGCATACATCATCCATCCACCCAAAATACTCAACTCATTGAGCACCTAATATGTGTGCTAAAATGCCAATATGTTTCTCGTTCAATTTTCCTCGTGGCTTTTGGCTTTCGACACGTAATGTACACTATGTGCATATGTTTGTATGTATGTATGCATGTATGTGTGTGTGTGTGTGTGTGTACATGTATATGTTACCAGCATTCCAAAATATGTATGTAAATTCATTAACCGATATATGTGCTTATATGTGTTAATTGAATGCATTTATACATTTTATTAATATCCCGACTTAAGACTTCTTTGTTTTAATAATTATATCTAAAGTTGTTGTAATAATTAATTAAAAATGTAGATACATCCGATGATTATTATTTCGATTATTTTATCAGCAGGCAAGAAAGGCAAAAAGAATAAAGGCACCGTAATTTCGCTGCAATCGTTCCTTTCCAATGGCGATACACCTTCTGGAACAACACAGGTTTCCAAGAAGGTACGAAATCTAGATGGCGACGATAGTGATGACGGTAGCCACTCGTTACCGTTAGTCTATCAATTACCGACCGCCCCGCGAGCGAATCGGATATTCGACGACGATTCGATTCCACACAGGCCGCCCTTCATAGCTTATATTAATAATTTACCGTTCGATGCCGGAGAGGATGATATATACGAATTCTTTGGATCAATTAATTTAGCTTCCCTGCGCTTGCCACGGGAAGATGGTGAAACGGGCCGTTCCCGTGGATTTGGCTATGTTGAACTGGAGAGTCGGGAAGATCTGATTCACGTGCTTAGTCTGCCAGATCCCTCGATAAAGGGGCGACGCATTCGCATCGAACTCTCCAATGAGAACGATCAACAGAATCGCCAGAAGGGCAATCGTCGCTTCGAAGGATTCGGCAATAGTAATGAGAACCGTGATTTCGGCAATTGGCGGCGTGATAGTCAAAATAATGGAAGTAACTTTGGCGGATATTCGGGGAATTTCGATCGTGGTTTCAATCGCGAACGAAAACCGATCGCAGAACGAGAGGAAAATAATACTCCGGGCTCATGGCGTACAAATAGCCGTCAGCAATCGTCGGATTTCTCTCCGCCGAGAAGGGGAGGGGATCGCAATGACATGGAGAAATATCGGTCACGAAACATGGATTCCAATGTTCGAGACGATGGGGCGGGATCTGCTTCGACGGAGGAGAGGCCAAAGCTAAATCTGAAGCCTCGAACGTTACCTTTGCCGGAGATGGTGCATAAACCCGAAATGGAACAACAACAGCAACAACATGACAACGACAGCGACACAAAAGTGGTCAATGTTAAGCAGAGTTCCGTAAATGTCTTTGGATCGGCGAAGCCCGTAGATACTGCCACAAGAGAGCTTGAGATTGAGGAGCGCTTGGCGGAGGCACGTCGCCAGGAGAAGGTGCGCTACGATGAGGACGAGGCGGCTGCTGTCAACGAGAAGCTGTCTGAGGTGCAACTGGACAAGCAACACGATAGTGAAAATGCCAATGCGGCAACAGTCAGCTGGCGCCGCATCCACGATCCCTCGACCAGTGATGATACCAAAGTTAGTCCAGGAGTGAAGGGTAAATAATTATTTCATTGAATTTAATCTAATCTAATCTTTCGTTATCATTTAACATTCATTTATTATTTTCAGGTGAAAGACGTAACGAAGATCATGATCATAATAATAAATTTAATAAACCGCGGGACCGAAATGACAGGTAAAGTTTTATTTTTCGGCTAAAGAGAACATCTCTGATTGCAGTGACACAGCAATTTGTATGCAGCGCTCTCTCGCGCTCTCTCTTTTGTAAACTACACAGATTCTCGCAATTCTTTTTGTCCTCCATCAAGAACAACTTTGCGCCTCTCTCTCACACTCAGGCCACGCTCGCTTAGCAAACATGAAACAGTGTGGAAATCATAAGGAATTTGCTAACGGAACTCCACCATTGTGTAGTACATTGGTTGCCTTTATTTTCATTTGCGAATGCTCAATTAGTTTTTAAACTCTTGAGTACAAAAAAATTGACCCTATTGAAATAGCTGTATTTTTAGGTAGAAACAATGCTTTCACCATTTTATTACTCAGTTTCGTCACTCACAACGCGCTTGATAGAGACATGTGCGAAAAGTAGAGATAACGAATAATGGTTATCAACATTTTAATTGGTTTTAGCACTTCTGTCCATATTTTTGTTTTAGCATGCATAATAAATAATGAAAAAATTAAGATCACTTGATTTGCAAACTAAGAGACTGTGATTTTATGTTCTGAAGAGATTTTGTATGTCAATTGGTGAGATATCTTTATTAATTTTTTTTCTTAATATTTTTAAATTAACTTAATAGGGCGATTCATTTGTTTTACGAGTCTTGACTTTTAATGGGTTAAGGTGTAATCCGCTTTCCTTGCTCTTGTCAACTTCAAATTCTTTATTTGTAATTATCTGCTCTTTTTACCTTTTGGTTAGTCTCAGACTGGCTTATGAAAAATCTGAAGAACTCGAAAATTCTATTGACGCAAGCTTATAAGCTATTGAAAATTAGTTGTCGATGAGATGGTGTTGGGGGCAGATTATAATCGTCGGCAGATTAAAAATGTACAGATTCCGAACGAAGGAAATATAGGAACAGTGGTTCATCTGGAGAACACCAAGCAAAAGGGTCATTTCCTACCTATTATTAGGGTGTTAAACAGTCACCTTTGACTGTTTTAATTGAGTATATTAATAATATAAGCCGGTGAACGACGGCCTTACTGTCAGGGTATTCATTCGCGGCTTGCCTAAGATAGCTGCCGATAGCTGAATACATTAAAATATTATTAAACAATTTTCTGAACAATTTATTTGTAGATCTGAGAATGCTAAAGCAAAAAATAACCAGAACCATGAAGCAAAAACTAGGGAAGAAAATAAAAATAAACGAGATCCTCGAAGTGAACAATTTCAGGCCAAGCATGCAGCCCAGCAGGATGAACCTGTAAGTACAATTAATAAGTAACTATTTAATTTATAATATTAAATTAAATTGTATTTATTTTTAAATTAATTTAAAATTATTTATAATTATTTTTCAAATAAAAAAGGACTTTTTGTTCCTTGTCAGTCAGGAGCAAATGGCCTTCCTGACTATCGTCATTGTAGAGAGTCACGTTAGTAACCATATTGTAACCCCAATTTACATACTCTGTTACTGAGGGTTGGGGAGTATATTGTTTACGTGTAATGCTGTTTGTCCGTTCGTATAAGCTAGAGACTTGAAACTTGGAACATGTGTTCGTCTGCCGAAGTTTTAGTGTTAGAGATACCAAATTAAAAATGTATCATAGTTAATTAAAGCAAGGTATCATTAGTATTCAGCAGTCGGCTATGCTTGACAGCAAAGTTTTCAGTTGTTTATCATATCATTAAACAGATGATTGCTTTGTTTTGCAAAAATTTGCGAAAATAATGTCTGGATGTCATTTCTAACATTCTTTCGGGCTACCGAATATTGATGCTTATTTTCAGACATTCATTTTAAATGTATTTATTTATTTGTGTATAGGTTATTCAACATTTCAGCATTCAGTATTTTTCCGTTATATTTAGTCCCTTCGTGATTCAATTTTCATAATTTATTAAAAATTAAACTGTAATGTTTTCAAATTGCTTGTTAGTTACTAAAAAACACTTAGAGCATAAAATTGCATGTAAAAATATTTACCTGACACACTCAATAAAAAAATATTAACAAATTTATTTTTAGGTCTTTCAGTCTTCCAACAAATATTCTGGACTTGGATATTCATCCGAATAAAAACTATTTCTATATTTGTAATAAATGATTAAAAGAAAATAATTAACAAATACATTTTACAACAAGTTTAAAATAAAATCACATTACTGAAACAAAAACAAAAATAATTACAAATTCGAAAAATTGTTTAAACGGCTTACCAGCAAACTGCATAATTATTGGTTGAGCAAAGGGTCAATCCTCAAAATTTGGTTACCAGATTCAAAATTGCGGGATTAATGTTGGGACTGCCATTCAAATTTGATGACTGCTTTAAAATTATGGGAAATATATATATTTTATCGGGGTATATCGATAGCTTATTGATTTGCTAGCTATTCAGTTGCCGTTGTCACCAAGCTTTAAGATATACTCGGCTACCTTTGGGGTCTGAGTTCACAAATATATGCAACTGTATTAAAGATTTATCGAGGAAAATGATATTTCCCAGCAGCAAAATATAATATTATAAAAGTATACAGATAAACAATATAAATATATATTCATTTTTATTTAGCTTATCTTCAGCTATTAAGAATTCAGCACAGTTCGTGGGGAAATGTGATGTTACCTTGACATATCGATAAGTAAGAATATATCGGTCATATCTTCCATCCCTAACTCAAACACCGAAAAGCGGAGTTGTAAATTGCAAATTGCATTGATATATTTTTGTGAAAGGAACGCTTATTTAATATGGGAAGAAGGAAGTCAAAAAGAAAGCCACCTCCTAAGAGGAAAAATATCGAACCCTTGGACCAGCAGTTTAATTGTCCATTTTGTAACCATGAAAAGTCTTGTGAAGTAAAAATGTAATTAGTATGTATGTTTTCATTATTGTTCCAACTTTTTATCCCTTCATAACCACATTTCAGGGATAAAGGAAGAAACACAGCCAAAATAACGTGTCGCGTTTGCTTAGAGGACTTCCAAACGGGAATTAACTTTTTGTCAGAACCAATTGATGTATATAACGATTGGGTGGATGCGTGTGAAACAGCAAATTAAGTTTAGTATTTTAATGAACAATAATATCCTGTTTTTACAGACCCCTTTTTAATATTAATATATATATATATATATAATTATACCCTATTATAATTGTGTCACGAAATGAATACGAAATGTAAATGTCTCAAAAGTTGAGTCCCAGTCAATTCTTGCCGGTTGCCCTCTTGTCTTTATTTATAAAAACAAGCATAATTTTCTGCTACAGGTGGCACATACAGTATGTCAAGAAAGTATTTTGACATAAAAATATATATTACAGCAAAGCGTAATTAAGATTTATGTTATAAGTCAAAACAAAGCCATATCATTTTTGTTGCAGTGATTTTTATTTCCTTTCAGTGCATTGCTGCAGTACTCTGTTAATATAATTAACCTGTGTATAACGAATATATGGTAATTGTTTGGCTTTCTTACAACAGTAAGAAACTATAACTGCGGACACTCCATCGCAATTTGAGGAGATATGGACCTAAAGGACTACTTAATAAAAGGATATTTTCGGATTTCAATAATCTTAAAATTTTAAATCAATGGAATCTTATATTAACTGAATCACACTCAACTAATATACAGAACAGAATGATTTGGTTTTTCACTGTGGGTGAGCCACAAGAAATATCTTTATATCGCCGATATGACTAAAGATAGACTCTATTGTGGATTAAATTGAACAGCGAAATGGAGTACGAGCTTTTGCAGTTTAAATTAAAGATATAAAATTTCTTTCACAATAATACTCAAGGCCTTATGCAAAATGCAGGCTCTCGTAATAATATCTGCGATGTATTCTGTTTTTTTTAGGTAAAATTAGGCAATGTATGTTATCCTAAAAGTGTTCCTCTCGCAAATATAATTATAGATTGTGTCATTCATGCTCAATATCGGTCATCATTAGACTTTGATGTAAAAATAAAGAATGACTGTAGATAGAACTAAGTTTAATTAAAAAATCGAATTTTGCATCCTTCAGATTTCAGAAATGTAATAATTTTTGTTGCTTTCTAATACCAAATTAACAAACGACAAGGATTTACTCGGCTTCATTCAGCGTTGGTCGAAATAATTTAATGATCCATTCACCGCCAACCTTCTCCATGTCTCCGTTCTATTCTTGAATACTGTTCTTATACTGACTCAGTGTAAATCAAATTGAGCTTGTTCTGAAGCAATTCTTTCTCCTTTCCTTTGCCTGGCTTTCGTGGCCTTCGTAATCCAGTTGACTTCTTCGACTCAGGTTAAGGCTTGGCACAGTGTGGTTATCTAACATGAGCTAAGAAATTACGAAATATACTCCTTAATATGATGTAGCCTTAGTTTCTCGGCTCCTAGTACACCTACTTTTCATTGCCTTCATGCATGACTGATTACGTTTGTAAAATCCTATTCGTGACATCTGTAAATCTTGCAATGCATTCATTTTATTAAATTTTTATTCAAATACTAACTCACGGGAACTCTCTTGACGTGCTTAACTCAACTTTATTTTATTCTTTTCATATTTATACGTTAAATATACATATATATATACTATATATTGGTTTTCTGCAATGTCCGTCAAGCTGTCTGTCTGTCTGTCCGTCTTTCTGTATGACTTTTTTCGACACTCTTAGAGATAGAGACTTGAAACGCGTCAGACGAAGTGTAAAAAATAGAGTGCTACGTCCACTAGGAGGCTAGGAAATCGAAATAATCGATAATCGCGAATCGATAAAGCCACATATGTTAAGGCTACATCAAATTTGGTTTTTGGGTTGTTGGCGATATCCTTCAAGGATCGGTTTATGCCCCGCACACCTCCGCAGCCCCCAACTAGTTCCTAAAACATTTAAATGATTATATCTTCCGCAGTTTTTGGTAGCCGCCCTTAAGAATCGCCCACTTCTTCGTCCATAATCGCCAAAGCCAATTTTTGGAAAGTGTAAGTCGATAAGTCCGCATATCTCTCACAATTTTAAATATAGAGTCTCCAAACTTGGATGGTAACTTGCTGGTAACCTCCTTCAGAGCACACCCACATCGCCCAAGGTATTTTGGCCCTAGAAATCTGAAATGCGCATATCCTCTACAATTTGTAAGATGGAGTCACCCCTCAGGATCTCAATGAGGTTGGTACGAGGAGCGCTAAGACTCTGTACCTCTGCTTTTCGAGATTTACCCGTGAATATGTTCTTGCATACGTATACATTTTATACCATAAAACGAGGATAATAAAGGAGTCAACTGATAATATTAATGCATCGAAAAAGTGTAACGTTTATATAATAACTTATTTATAACTTAAGGCGCTCAAATGACACACATATTCCATTCAGAGGCCACCAGACTGGAGTGTCCATCAGACGCATACTTCAAAACTTTAATTTTGTTACAGAAGCCCCATCATTTAAAAAGCTGAATGCCACGGATGTGGATGTGGAATCCAATACATAGATGGATTCGGGAGATGTGGAAGGAAATTATTAAATGACCCCGAAAATTCATATATAAAACAAAAGGCTAATCACCATTGCAAACTTTGTTTTCTTCGTGATAAACGACTGCCGAAGTCAGTGTTCGACCATCGGATAATTGGGACTGGATCGTCGAAGTTAAATTACTGGTAACCTGCGGATTAACTTTCTCGTCTCATGATCACTCATTTCCTCTAATAACATCATTTCAAAATTGGTAATACAAAAGTCCAGACACGTTGTGTATCTTTGTATGATTTTAGATATGTAGTACGTTAATAGATCTGTAGCACGACTTAAATCATTTATACAACGTGATTGTCTCTGAATCAATAGAATATTGTCACTTTTTAATTTGTAAGCAATAAGACATGTGGTGAAAATATTGAAAAACGAATTAAGTTAAGTTTATCAACACAGTAAGATAATGAATTTAGGTATGGGTTACGTGCTATTTAGGTAGATATTGGGAAAGCTTATCCAAATCGTAATGATTTTTTTCTAGGCTTCATCTAAATTTGACTATTATTATTGAATTTATTGCAAAAGGGTTATCGATTGACTGTGAATGTGTGCGGGACTGTATCTTTTCAAAGTCACTTTCAAGTTGTAAGACTGGCATCGCTTACATCTACTATATGCAATACGTATATTAATTTTAATTTGCTTGAGGACTATTAATGGTTGCTACCCGGTGATAAAATCGTTTGTTATTTTAAAGCTAATTTTAAATGAGCGTGACTTGACTTTAGTCGAGCTGTAAATCTTTATTATTTTTTGGTTTAAATTTAGTTTTTAATTTAATTTATTTATATTATATAAATCTCTAAAAATAAATTCAGCGATCAGCTATTCATTCGCTTCGTGTTTGTGTCGAGGCAAATGATCGAACAAAAGGGAAAGACCTAAACGATCCTAACTGGAATATATGAATTGATCGCCGATTTTCGTTGCCTAGAAAGTCAAATTAGCATTTAAGTAAATCGTCCTAAAATGAAATAATAAATAATATGAAGAAATTTCTATAATTTTAAAAGGCTTGGTCTAAATTCACAATACGACGACTATTTCTAATTTTTTTTTTAAATATTTAGCTTAGTCGAAATTCTTTCAACTCGTAACGAACCAAGGGTTGGGGGTTCATATCCTCGTGTAATAATAACTTCTTTCGAGTCAAGGATAAACTTGCGATCTAGGGACCATCTACCTGAAAATCCGACATGAATGGGTTCGGGAACTTATATTATTTTATCTATTCAGTCGAAGAGCAACATTGCGGCTAGCAACATTGTGTATAGCAACATATTACTTAACAGAGGTCAGTGAATTCTACATATGTATCTGCCCACACTCAAGCTTTGTAACGGAGCTGTAATTGCATAAGCATGACATTGTATTCGATATTTAGTGGTGTGGGTAAACTTAAAAGCAAAAGCGCCATCTATCTGAACTTCCTCCACGTAAATTATGTGACATATATATATATTATTTAACACAAAGTCGATGTGCAACATTCTAGCTATCCTTAGCAACATTTTAAATGCTTAACAGAGTTGGTTAATTTGTAAGGGAGTAGCTGTAGGTGCAGACATAGAGGTTACTTGCTTACAGTAGATATGCGTACAACATTCTTATGTATGTATTCCCATTGTTTACATCAAATCTCGACAGAGGCGCATGCGCCAGTTAACAGTTAGCGTTTTCGCAACATTTGACCATTTGACAGGTGTAGTTGTCTGGAATTTTTGCTCGGTTTCGGGAGTGCAGAAAATTAATATTGAAAGCTCGTTTTGGCAATTAAAACTGCACTTTTGTGACTCTACAACCAAAAAAATTATTTTATAAATGTTCTTTTATGAAAGCAATTAGCATTGTTGCTAAAGTGAAGTGTTGCAATTATAAGCTAAAACATCAGACATAGTAAAACCCAATTAAAATATATATGTATGTGTGCCAAAAATAGTTATACACACGCTTAAAATAAAGGAAAAAAACAATGAAAGTGCAGTCTATATACATACCTATGCTTGTATGTATATTCATTTATTATATCTATGCAATTTGAATATTTCGTAGGTGGTGTGAAAAAATATGTATATGCTTGCATAAATGTAGGTGTGCGCATTTTACCGGTGTAATCAGTGTTGATAAACTTTAAAGTTAAACTTTTGCGCAACTACAACTACAATGATAAATCAGTTATGAATTTCGCATAGCATCGCCAGCTTCCAACTCGTCTACTTACATAGAATACATGTATATAGACTATATGTACATACATACATACATACATATATGACTAAAGAAGAGAATATTTTTTGCATGTATTCGGATAATTAATACACTTTGCATAATACTACTAAAATCATAAAATCAATATGTTTTAAGTGTGTTATTGTGAAGCAAAACGTTACAAATTAATTGCTATGTACATACATATATATATACATACAAACATACGTATATACGCATATACTGCTATACATACACATGTGAGCTCCAATGACCAGATCTGTTCGATAACATAAAAACACTTTGCCAGATTTTGGGCATTGATAACAACCTAACAATCCTGTTTACTGGATGTACAATAAAATAGTACACACATACAACCAAAAACTACAAAATGGCAGTCTCAGTCCGGTTTTTATTACTCGTAATTTTCGTCAGAGCAATTGCCGGATTGAAAGATGGTAAGCAAAAAAAGAATTAATATTTAATTTATATATCCTTGCTGAGGGTTTTCTTTTTTCTTTGTTTCATTATCAAAAGTCCCAACTGGGCTCTCAGCATTACAGCTAATATATTATTTTCTTATTACCTAAGCGAAGACATCACGGAAAACTCGGGCGCTTGCCCATTGGGCATTTAAATGACAAAAGGACTAAATTAAGCTTTACTTGCTTTTACTCTTGCATGTCAATTTGTAGAAATGCAGGTCAAGTAAATATTCAAGAGATACATTTGCAAAAACTTGCAATGAGAATTTGTTGGCAGTAAAATTAAAAATATTGCATCTTAATTCTATCATGCAATTGACATTATAGCAGTCCTTTAAGATTGAGAGTGAAAACGTTGCCAAGTTAATAGGTACAAAGTTTACAGCTACATAAGCCCGACGAGAAAATCAACTTGATTATCATATATTTTTTTTTATTTAAATATCAGCAAAATACAAAGAGGAAAAATAATATTAATAAAATATAAAAAGCAACAATTAAATTTAAATTTAAAAAATTTTAATTGTGTATTAAACAAGAATAGCCAAACCAAATATTAATAGAATTGGTGAATGATTCCAGAAGTTTTGTAAACTATCAGTTTAAATCGCTGAAATTGGCCATTTAATTTTGCGACGTTTTAGTTTCTGGGCTCCATCGCATGCCCAATGTTTTATGCGAATTGGACTAATTGTTGTTGTGCTTGTGGTTTGTAAAACATTTCCACAATTAAGACAAACATGAGTTCAGATTGTATCGACAGCCATTTCCGGAAACGCCCACCACCTTGTCCCCAGACAGTCGCCGTTCCTTGAAGCTGGAAATGCCTCCATCTTCCACAGCGTTTGAGTTTGAATCGCCAATTTAGGTACATTACCGGTAGCCACTTTTAAGGATAGTTACAATTATAAAGAGTCACGCCCACTTCCACCACCCAATACCTATCTATATTATTTATTTATTTAAGGTGGATTAAAAAAAGTCAAAAAATTTAAAAACAAAATTAATGAAAGAAAACTCTTAAATTAAATTTTGAATTAAAATTAGAGTTATACATTTAACGAAATAAAATTAAAACAAAAAAAATCTTAAATTAAATTTTATAATAAAATTAAAGTAAAAAATTAATCGATATATAATTAAAACTAAATAACTAAGCTTAAGTAAAAACATATACTAAAATAATGGACATAATAAGTCTGGAAGTATTAAAATATGAAATTAAATAATAAAATAAATGATATAATAAATCTGAGATAATTAAAATATAAAATGGTTCAATATTTGATGCGAATATTGGCGAAACCAGAAAAGTCCCAATTAGACCAATAAATGAATACTTCACATGTAGAGTCAACAAATTTGTAAACTTATTTTACTGTAACACCCAACCATCTTGGTCGCAAATATCGAGAAAGCCAATATTTCCTGCAATTTTTAAGCTAAAGTTACCAATCTTGAAAAGTAGATTACTAGGAAGAGCGTCCTAAGAGTGACAACAAAATTTGTAATAAGCTCAATTACAGTTTAGAAACCTTTCTACTTCCTTAAAATTCCTGGCTGGGCACTGCGTGACTAGTGGACTAAGCGATTAGACTAATGCTGCCCTGTTGACAACCTGCTTCTTTGGGGGCCTATACTGCTCCGCATCTGCGGCGATTCTTTCCTGCAGTCTATTCTCTACTACCAATTCCTATTCCTATTCTACTGCCTATACTCTACTACCGATTTACTTCGAGGGTTCTGGTTTTCTTTTTTGCTCTTGTCGACGTTGTCGATGAGCCCAGTGAGGGGTTACTTCCACAATTGGGACGAGGTTGCATGGCTTGTAGCACTGTGTCCTCAGCTTTCGCTCTTTTGCAAAGGTGTCTTGAGATTTCCTGCTGTATTCCAAATATAAAAATAGATTTTTGATTCGCTTTAGTTAGTGTGCGATTTTTTTTGTTAAGTTTTAATATTTATATATTTTTGTTAAATCTTTATCTAAATCTTTCGATGTCTTAAAATGTAAATACAATTATTAATGAAAAATTTCTATATTTTTAGCTTTCGTTCATACGGTAGATTCTTTAATTGGCGAAAATGTTTACCTGCCATGTAATGTTACAACCAATGATGGAGATGAGGCAGTCTTAATTTTGTGGTACCGTGATGATAAGGGAACACCAATTTACAGGTAAATGTGAATCAAAATATAAATTTAAACATTCCCGAAACCTTCATCTAAATTATTTCCAACCTCTTATGCGCTCTCTTTTCTGTTTATAACAATTATTTTTCCTATACTCTATCTCGAGGTAATTGGGCTTAACGAAATTGTCTCCAATTCCATCTTTGTGAAACTATATCGTCATATATAAAAATGTCCTTGAACATTACTCAGGCTAAAAGTAAAGTGTTGATCATTTATTAAATTTGGGGAACAAAGTTTTATGAAATGGCCATATAAACAGAACAAATGGTAAAATATTGGGCCAAATTCGACAATTGTCATAGTAAAATAACTGCACCAAAAATAATATGTATTCTTGATCAGTAATAATAGACAAGTTGATATAGTTGTGTCAGTCGATCTTATTGAAGAGCTAGAGATACAAAATTTGGAAAATAAGTTTTCGTAACTCCCCTTTTTACAAATGTTGACACAAATCGATTTTCAATAGCAATAAAAAGACCAATTTCATATACCTCCGAATTAATATGAAATATTAATATCGCAGTTCCTATTACAGTAAAGAATAATAGTATATAATATAATAATATAATATATATAATATATATAATATTATTGTGTATATTTCAAAATAATATAGTGGAAGCACTCAACTATCTTTGCGAAATGTGTTTTCATCACAAACGCAAGTTGCCTCCGATTAATGTTTGCGTGGATCGTAAGATGAAAGAGTGGATTGGTTGAATAATATCACTAAGCAGACATACATATTACGACATCAATTATTATCAAAGGATGAAATGAGATTGTCAAGAAACCCGACAGGTTGTCACCGATTCGCAGAACGATGAATCGTAGTTGATATAAAGTTTTTTGTGAAGTGGTCTAACCTAATTGTGCACAATTATCCCATACTATTGGACAAACAGGATTCCTTCGAAATGTTGGCAATCTATCAGAGAACATACAGGAAAACGAATCTGTGTCTGCAGTTCTTCACTGAATGCGGACGCCTTACCGACGCCGATATTGGCGTGATTTCTGATGCCATAACTGGGTTTCAGTGTTGTGACAAATCCGCAGTTCGATGGTAGCAAACATGACATTTCTCCACGCCTATGAAGTTAAATAGTATAACGGACTAAAGCCAAACTGAATGAGGGTTAAATGGGAAGTCCAACTAAAGGCTTTTAGCTATTAAATTATTTTCTTGATCAACTATTTAGCAAGGGCCTGAATTTGAAATTGAAACTTGTGTGATTAACTAATTAATTAATTCTGAAAATGGTTTACGCTTTTGAATATACTTTAGCAACATTTGCTTCAGGGTGTTCCTAATCATTGTAGTTGGATATGAGACTTACAAACTTATTTTTCTGATTTTATCACAGTTGGCGTTTTATTATCGATAACCCACAGGGTTATCATAAATGCGTTTCTCGAGGAATGTTAAATACAAATATGTCCTGGCTATGGTGTAACCTAGCCTAGATTTCTCGTCTGATTTGACTTATAAAATATAAAATTTTATCTGTTTTTTTTTTTAATATAGTGTGGATATGCGTGCTGGAACATCAAAAGCTCCAAAAAGATGGTCTGATGACGTTGTCTTTGGAGAAAGAGCTTTTTTTGGTTTTGAAAATGAGCCTGGAAAACTCTCCATTGAGAAAGTCCATGCAAACGACTCTGGAGTGTACAGGTGCCGCGTGGATTTCTTAAAGGCGCAAACATATAATACCCGGATAATGCTAAATGTCATTAGTAAGTTTAAGTAATTAAAAGAATTGGTTAAGATAATGAATTCTTTTTCACAGCGAAAAAAAATTAAATTCTTACACGGACTAATTGTTTGACTTTTATGTTTGAAGAATACAGATTAAATACCTGTTACCAACTGTTATCTTTTGTTACCTGTCAGAAATTGGCTAGTCGGGCAATTGATGAAGAAGTTTAAATAAAGAAGGTTTTTAATTTAAAAGTAAATGAATTTTAGAAAGCTGGCGGGACCTAGGTGGCCATTAAATTTAATTTATTTCAGCTCCATAACCTTGTAAGTTTTTTGTAGCTCTAGTTTTAATACTGTGATAGATTTAAGCTTACACGAATTTTGTGGGCGTGGTCAGGAAATTTTCCCTCCGATTTTTCAAGGAGGTTTCTAGCAATCTACCTTTAAAATTAGCGAAGTTACGAACGGATGGACTACTCAGCTGACGTTGAAAAAAATCCAATATTCTCTTTTACCTTTGGTACCGTGTACATTCCCAGCCCCACATCGATATGCATTGTGAAAGCCTGAACTAAACCAATAGTGATATTCAATCTTAAAAATAAAGTGGAGTAGTGACATAGAGTTTACTCTAGTTATTTTAATTTTAAAGCTACCTTTCAGTTTCTGCTGAGCACACTCATTAGATAGATTTAAATGTTTGAATATATCTCATATATTTTAATTTCAGCTCCTCCCAAGCAAGTTGTTATTCGAGATGGTGCAAATGTGGAGCGTTCAACAGTGGTTGGTCCATACAGCGAAGGTGACGTTGTAGCGTTGAAATGCCAAGTTCTTGGAGGTAAGTATTTTGCTCATAAAATATTGTTATGCCTGCTAAATTTCAACAATATTATGTGTATTCAACTATTATTATGTTTTGAATATTAGTTATCTTGATTGAATATCAGAGAGCTCTGCTATGTCCGAGAAGAAAAAGGCGTGTGACCAGGAGTCCAAAATGAGTTCGATGTCCAACTGTCTTCATCTCGATCAATGACAGTTTCTTTTAGTTTTTTAATTTTCTTTGATATCGAATCAGCGATTTTATGACAGCTTGACTTCCATTGGACGTAACAGAGAGAATGCCTCCTCCTCCAGAGGTCCAGAGTAGACTTCCACTTCAAATTTGTCACGTGTATATGTATATGTGTAAACATCTGATTGGGTCCGGGGGTCCATTTAGCCATTCTTTTCTTGAGAGAATGGAACCAGGAAAGGGAGTTTTTGAGTATAGTGTAAGAGTGGCCAGTTCCATTGGAAAGTTATGGGCAGTTCATAATGGTGAGTTCCAGTTGGAAGTTTTGAGTAATTCATTAAGATTTCTGTTCAAGAGCCGGCCACCAAACTCATATTCCAGAAAAGAGGATCGGTCGAATGATGGGCTTATATAACTATCGGAAGGTATCCCCGTTTTTAGTCAACTGTATTTTCTGCAGGTGTAAAGTGCAACAATGACTCTGTGCTACCTCTAGATTGAGCATAGGTTCCAGTCAAGCTATCTATGTAAGATAACGCATTTTAGTGGTTCTCAGCAAAGTTTGGAAGGTACAAAGTGAGGAACTTCCAGTGTCTCTTTGACCGACCTTCGACGTAGTTTATGTTTAATAAAGCTCACTGTATGATTGTTGCCATCCAGACTCTTCAGCGCCTTGAAGAATGTTTTTGGAGGATTTTTTTTTGCAGAAAGTTTTTAAAGTTAGATCATAAAATAAAAGAATGCGGAATAATCTTAAAGCGAAAACCTATGACTAACTCCAAAGTTTTTATAAGGAAAGATGATAGACTTGTAGATCTGGAATCTGCCTTCGGAATGAAGACTACTTTAATTTTAGCGGGAAAGAAACCAAGTGCAAAAATATTCGTATAGTTTATTCTGGTTTGCCTGAGTGAAGAAGTTGAGCGGAAATAATACCGGCTAATCCTGGTGGCTTATTATTGTCAATAAGTATGTGTTGGATTGATCTCTATGAAGGACAGTGTAAAAAATATATACTTAGGCTAAGGTCGTGAGAATCTTTACTGGACGTTGTCCATGTGTGATCGGAGCTTCGTAGAGTCGGGGTTGTCTTAGAAAGCACTTTGTTACGCGAGATGCCGCTGATGTGCTTTCCATATGATATTTTAAGATTCTAGAGCTTTTCCCTAATCTCCCTAATTCTTAAGTGGTTTGTTTCCCACGTATTTACTATTGGATAATTTTTTATTACTTCTTTATTGGCATTCTTAAAACCATGTATGAAACGCAATTAGTTTTATTTATTTCATCATTTCGATATTTTTCATAAAGAATGCTCATTTTTTTCAGAGTTAGTTGCTGTTAGTTCTTTAAAAGAGATCTGACAGTTTGAAAATAGCGGTAGGCGAGAATGGGTGTTTCTCTAAGATGTTTCGAAGCAAGCATGACATCTAACACCTACTTGCGAGTTTTAATAATAAAAGTATGTTCATTATGAAAGAGAGCTGAGCCTTAGAAGGAAGCTTAAACATTCAAGGTTCATTAAGACTTGATTCATTGTTGAAATTGGGTAGCCGAAGAAGATTTATCAGTGTCCGAGAATGTGAGCTCGTTTATAATCATTAGTTTTGGCAGTGGATAGCCTAAAATAGGATGCTTTAAACCAAGATACCTTGTTTCTGGAGATCCAAGGTTTTTGAATGAGGGCGAAATCCGAATGCTGCGTTACTATGGTGGAGGTTGATTTGCAGCACTGTGGGAAAGATCTTGCGCCTTCAAATCCAACATCGGCATATAACTCTAATTGCGTCAACCGTCTCCATTTTGCGGTTGGATGCGAATGGTTGCAGACCTCGCCCATCCGCAGGATTAGCGCCAGGTCCTCAGGCTTCTCAAAGAGGCAAGCTCTGGTTCTTGGTTTATTTGAGATCCCAGCTTACAGCTTCCAACTTAGCAATGAGATCTATCTCAAGCGCACTTTGATCGTTCATCTTTCCAACCATTGACGGCTAACAGTCGGTCAAAATGCTCCACGCATCTCATTTCTGTTTGCTCTGGCGAAATTTCATTGGTTCAGCCAACATTTGCCTTGAAAAGATAACTTTCTTTTTGGCATTTTGTCAGCGGCTCGAGCAAAGCTGCCTTTGGACGTAGCGAGACAATTAAATGGTAGCTGAGGCTCTCCCCTTTCGAGCAGGGGTCGGTTGGCTGATTTTTGGGAATCCAGGTCCAGCTTGTTATTTGTTTGTTAGTGTTAGAGTTCATGGTCTGGATTCCATAGGTTTGCACGAAGGGGAATGTCACCCGTCGCATAACCTAATTATAACGGAAAGCCTAGTCAAGACTGATGGACCGCAGGTATCCTCAGTTCCCATTCTAGCGGCGAAACACCCCCAGCCACGAAACCTGTGAGTTTGGCTGGGTTTTTTTTTCCAATTATTCCAACCGGCCTCATGTGGAGTATATATGCCGCTACCAGCGGCATTCGAGTAATTCTTTTTCTACTTTCTGCCGTTTAAATTTGCAGACTTAGGCAATAAAATTATCGATGTGCGACATTTAAAAAAATGAAAGTTGTCAAGTATCCAGAGCTTTCTTCCAGCTTTCCACCGAAAGAATGTAATCCAGTCGTGGGCGTTCAGAACGGCACAGGCGACAATTTGTTCCATTCCCATGCCAGGATATATATATATATATCAACAAATGTACTTAAAATTAAAAACAATACAATATTAATTCAATTGAAATTAGTAGAAATAAATAATTTAAATTATTTGTATTCAAGCGTCTTTATTCTCTATTTTGCCCAGGCTACCCAACACCGTCAATAACTTGGTATCGAGATGGAGCAGAAATTCCGAGTGACACTACCTACTTGTCGGAAGGAAAAGTTCTGCAAAGTGAAATTTTACTCGGTCCACTTGGCAGAAGCGACTTAAATTCCAGACTTGTTTGCAGAGCCTTAAACCATCCCAGAGCTTCTGTTGTAGAGGCAGTTGTTCAAATCGACATGAATTGTAAGTATATAAAATACTTTGATTGTTAGTTACTCTTAAAGTACAACTTCTGGTTTGTTTATCATTTTATTATAATTTAAAAAATCATCATAATGAAGCAATGAAGCATTCATTTAAATACAAATGAAAATATTGCCCAAACCTGTTCTGATTGATCGGGATTGTGTTGCAAAAAATATTCCTTGCCACCTACTCTGGTGATGTCTGTATACCACAAGCGAATACCTTGTTCTCGCCGCAGATTGTAGTCGAAATCTTTAGGGCAATGAATATTCAAATGATTCAGGTGCTCGATGGTATTATGGTTGATGGTTGATCATCACTCACCTGACTTCCAGCTCCTTAACAAGACGGATCGTAGATCAGATACTGCAACAAAGGTCTGCAAAGACGATTCTGATTACGATGATTGCTATCATGCTCGTCCGTACAGGCACGCCACAAGGCCGAATGCTCTCACCCCTCCTATGGAAAATTAGACGGGGATGTTTGTCACGTTATTCCATATGCGGACGATGTTGCCATCGCCTTCTCGGCCACAAAATTCCGCAGACTCTCCGTGTTCGCATTACCAACATTGATTCTATCCAGCTATGTCAGAAGATTTGGACTCAGTTTTAGCCCAGCAAAAACGGAGCTGATATTCTTTACATCGCATGGCTGAGCTGTGAACTAATGGAAAACAGTTTGCAACTCTCACTGAATGTGAGACACGGTAGAGTGGAAGCCACTCCCCTCTGACCATGCCAACATAATTATGGCTTGCCCACAATTTTCAAGCGGGTCAGACTATTCAGTTCCGTCAGCATTCTCAATCATCCGTCCAATAACCAACTATCATTGAACGTCTGGCTTTAATGGGGGATTTCCTATTACAACGCCATTTCAATACACGAGGCTCGATTTCTGAGCATCATCAGCAGAGTCGATAATCCGATAAGATCTGGAGTATTTTAATTTAAAATATTCGTAAGGTCTTATATGCCATTTCAGATCAGGTATAATATTATTTGGGTTTTATCTTAGGATTTAATATCTATGACATGTATAATTTATGGTAGGTTAAGCCAGCTTAGTTGGGAATGCATGGTCTTCAAATATACACAAATCAACATTTAGCTTACCATATATTCCTTTCATTACCTTTAATTATTAAAATTTAAGTAGTTACCATTAAACTTAAAAATTAATTTATTGTTCTTAATTTACTTTAATTAAAGTTGCACCTTTGAATATAAGACTGCTGGGAGCTTATCAGCCCTTATCAGCTGGACGAAGATATGATCTCTTGTGCCAAAGTGCTGGATCCAGGCCGCCTGCTGTAATCACTTGGTGGCAAAATGGCGTTAGACTGGAAAAGACCACCGAAACTGTAAGTTGCCAACTCATGTTTATAATTTACATAAGCAATTGAATCCAAATATCTAACGCATTAAGAGTCAACAACAATGTAAAACTTAAAACAGTTACAATTTATAAAATGCGCTTAATTGGTTAGTTTAATCTGCTCAAAATTCGTTCGTTTACAACATTCGATGCTTTGCTGCTGAAGTCAATCTGCAAATATATATTACTCCGATTCATTACTCCGATACTTATTAATGTGGTCTCATTTCATATCCACAATTCTCTCTTCGCTACGAAGCAAAATAATTCGTTATTCTGGGCGTAGATTTCTTAAATGATTCATTCGTAATATTAAGATGGTTTGTAAGCCTTGTAGTCGGTATTACGATTTTGTCACTACATGTGTAACGCATTAAAGGAGATATCCTCGACCCCAAAAAGTATTTATACATTATTGATCAGCATCACTAGCCGAGTGGATATAGATACTTTCGTCTAACCGATTTTTTTCTTCCTTAAGTTTTCAAAACCTATATCTCTAACTTACGAAGGTATCTCAATAATTGTGGTATATATATATAAATATGAATATGTAGATTTACCAGATTATTTTATATTTTTTTTATTTTGAAACTAGTTTAACAAACTTGGAATGTGTATACGAAACCACATTTTCACAACATATTATACATTTAAACATTTCAAAGATCTACGTCTAGTAAATTATGCTTTGCAAATCTTTTTAATATTGCAGACTTCGAGTGACGGAAATCAGACAACCAGTACACTTTCAATAAATCTGAGCAAAAGCGATTCAGGAAAGTTTTTATCATGCAAAGCTTATAATCATGCTATTCAGTCTGATCCCCTTGAAGATGGCTGGAAATTGGATATTCAATGTGAGTATAAACAGGTAACGAGTAGTTACAGTGAGATTACAGTGCTGTTGTGTGGCAACGCTGGTTAACAGATCTAACAGCAGCATAAGCATTGATGGAAGAAGAAGAGTCGTAAAGCAACAGCCGAACGATATAGTTGAGTTCGTGAAGCGTTAAGTTGAGATTGTGAATAAGAAGTCGTGAAAGCTGTCGGTACTTTGAGGAAATAAGTCGTTACTTTATAGAGTCGAATATTACGTTGTAAATCCACTACTCATCTTTCACGAAAAATCTATATAGTTTAACATTACAAAGTGACATAAATCTAGCACAGGCACATATGCTATACTCGCATTTTAGCAGAGTTCAACAAAAACTTAATGCCAAATCGGATTTAGGGTAGGGAAGGTTTCCTATTAGTGAGGAACATAATTGTATAGTTAATTAAATCTTAAGCAAACACTTCGATAAGCTTCAAACCACTTGCTCAGCACATTCCATATAAGAATTCAGTTGCTAGCAGAAGATATTAAGAGCCACGTAGTTTTCAATTTGTTGATACTGGCTTGAAATTATTTTTTTCCGCCTATGGTATCAGATTATAGAAATGTTGTCCGTAATACCTAGTTCTAAAACTCTAGGAGATTAGTGGTGACGGAAGTGGGCGTCTATAGAAAATGTATAAATAAATCATTTTTTCATCAGTCTATCTAGTTAGTACATAGACTCAAATATATTACATATTACTAAGTCCAAATAATAACTTATTACTAATAAGTCATATACTATACCAATTACTAATAATAAATTAGTTAACTAGAAGCCTGCTAGCCCGCAATATATACAAATATTTAAATTGTTTGTAAGAATTCCAATGCAACTTTATATTATTAATCTTAATTGCAGATATCCCTGAAGTATTCGTTCGCTTAGGAACATCTCTAAATGCCAATGCATTGCGTGAAGGAACTGATGTCTACTTTGACTGTTTTGTTGTTGCTCACCCTCAGGTGTTTAGGATTGAATGGAGACACAACGTATGTATTTTTCGTCTTTTCGTCAAGTATTATAAGAAACATACCACTCGAATGCGACAATACTCAATGGATTGGAATTTGGTATTGACATAGTCAGGGAACTACTCAGCTTGCAAGGAACTCATCTTTTCGTATTCGCATTTGTCGAGCCAGTTTATGGTACATGCTGTTTATAAGCTGTGGGGACAATAAATCCCATTACTATTATTCCATAAGCCTCTTTTAATATGAGATCTTCCAATATTTAAAAAATAAGCTAAATATTTTAGTTATTTCTGTGTTCGTCCCTTTTATATAGGGCATCGATAAGTTTAATTAACAAAATTGGGAAAATTGTAAAGTTTGATAAAGTAATAAAATCGATATTATTAATCATATTATCATTTAGCGCACTTCAAATCAATATTTATTGATAACTAATTGAGTGGCGAAGTAGAAATACCTTTCAGTTATCAATAATTGGTTTTGTTAATAATTAATTTTCTTCTTTTTTTGAAGGATCAACCATTATTACATAATATATCGCAAGGAGTTATAATAAGTAACCATTCTTTGGTTTTACAAGGAGTTACAAAGGTCACCGCTGGTAATTATACATGTGTGGGTTTTAATGCAGAAGGCGAAGGTATCAGTGAACCATTCAACTTGAATATCTTATGTAAGTTTTTAAATGTACACAAATATAAAATTACCCATATTCATATACATATGTCTAATAAATATGCTATCTAATGTGTCTTACTAAACATTAGTTTCTTATTAATGTTGAGAGCCAATCACTTGTTATACTCTGATACTAAAGGTAGAGAATGCTCATGAAGCTAAATGCTAGACACCTATTTGAATACATAAATAAGGAATAACGTTTTAGTCAACTTTTAATTGGAATCGGAATAAATCAATAAATATTAAATATTTTCCTTCTACCGTTTTCATCAAATTGATAAGAATTTATTTTTGTCCCGGTCTTTTTACTGGTAAACCCCCAGCTAGCCCACTCTCAAATCTGAAATCACCCACCCATCTTATAATATAAAATATTAAGAATATTTCGCTGTACAACAATTTTATCAAAAAGTGAATTTAAAACTTGAGTAACATTTCGCTGTACGTATTGAGATCAAGATTGTAATATTCATATATGTCTGGGCACTAAAAAGTGTATTATTTTGTATTTAATTGCTAGGATTTATATATATTTTAAAATAATAATGTGCTCATTTTTTAAATAGATGCTCCCACGTGTGCTCAGAACCAGCCAAAAATTTATGGTGTTGCAAAACAGGAAGATGCCCATGTGAAGTGTATTGTTGATGCAAATCCTTTTGACGTTGACTTTAGTTGGACCTTTAACAATTCCGCGGAAAGCATTGATGTAGCAACAAATCACATTTCTCGTTTGGGTAATTGCTGCAAATTTGCTTGTATATATTTTTCCTTATATCAATTTGAAATATTTATAGGAACGACATCTGTGTTAACGTATACTCCAGTCACTGAACTGGACTATGGGACGCTCCTGTGTGTGGCAACTAATAAGATTGGCAGACAACGAACTCCATGCGTATTTCACATCATCGCAGCAGGTAAAATTTTAAATTACTAAATATTTTGTAGCAATAAATGGAATTCTAAAAAGAGATTGGTAGCTGCGTGGTTTTTATTACTACGCTATAGCATAGATTATTATGCCAAACAATATAACGAAAATATTATTATTTTTATTGCGATTCGAAATATATCGACTAAATAGAAAATGTAGAAAAACATTTCATGCCTGATTTCTTTAACAATTTAAAAAAAAGCAAAAGTCTTGTAATAACGTTTTTTGTTTTCGCAACTACCTGATAAAACTAAAAATGAAAACTTAAGTTTTGTAACAGAAGAGTCCATCTTCGTAGTGAGTATGTACTTCGTACAGCTAAAAATCGGGTGTTGTCAAAGTATTGTCACGATAACTTTAAAACTGAGACACTACTTTGCATACGAGAATAGAGAAGAGCAGAAATTGGTGCATTCCTTTGCTCTTTTAATATATGTATACCATATTGTATTGGATGTTTTGTCAAAAGATGAGTTAACTTTACTTTACTTTTTTTTATTACTTGAAAAGGACGTCCAGATCAAGTACACAATTGCACACTGCTAAATATTTCGATGACATCCCTAACGGCAACTTGTAGCGATGCTTTCAACGGTGGTTTGCCACAACTCTTCATTCTGGAGCTTCACGAAGCAAATAGCAAAGTAAGTATATGGGAGATACAGAAATTTTGTAATATTAACTATAAGCTAAAATCTAAATAAAATGTTTTTTTTTTTGTTCAATATAGCACAAAAGGTTTTTAAAACCAATTCTATAAATTTGCTACTTTACATTGGTTTCCATCCACTTTTAGTGATTGTTAACAGAGCAGTGTGAACTCTGAAACAGACAAGGCTAAAGTAATTTGTACTTTAAACTTGCGTTGTGGGTGTAATCCAATGCAAAGATAACAAATAGAGTTTTATACATTTGTAAGCTAAAAACTTTATTGTTTTTATAAAGAGTTAAAACCTAAAGAAAATGTGCACATAAGTGCAGAATATAAACGCATAATATAATATGAGTATTATATTCATATTTTGAGTACTAACTGAATTTTCCCCATTTTCCTAAACATAGGAAATAAAAGCAAATATTACATCCTCCGTGCCGAGGTTTACAGTTTCGGGGCTTGTGCCCGGCAACATGTATATATTATCAATATTTGCATACAATTCTAAAGGTCGATCGGATCCCACAATAGTTAATGCCGCAACGATGCGAATGCCTGAGAAGCAACTAACATTCGAACAAAGTAAGTATAAGCATATTCAAATATGATAGCTCTAAATAGGCGAATTATTAAGGCATCTTAAACCACATATGTAGATATTATATCAGAGATATGAGTCAACATTGGCGTCTATTTTTGCAGCAAGCATAAAAACTATTTGTCGAAAGTTATATCTGGATCCTAGAAGGTTTTTGTCACAGCGAAGCTTCTTCGCGAAGTAATAGTCGAGATACCTTTATAAACGTTAGACCTCCGTCTACTCTTACGTCTGTGGACATCGGTGAAACTGTCTCCTAATTTTGCTTAAAGTCAAAGACGTAAACTACAACACTCTCCGCTGTCAACATCTTAACTATGTCGTAATTTATAACATTTATTATATTTCTTATTTTTTAGCCCATAAACCGCGAGCAGAACTACTATTCTCACCTATGGTATCTTTAACTATTGGATTAGCTTTGGCAATGATTATAGCAACATTTGCCATAGTACTCGCTCTTCGAATTCCTTGCACAGCTTCTTCAAAAAGGCGACAAAAAGTGGTCACTAACGGTAATGATTCGAGAGATGTGTCTCCTGGTCCGAGCGATCAAAGTGCTAGTAAGGATGTGGACGAAAATGACGAAAGAAACCCGGATGTGGTCCCCGAAATTATTGATTTCGATGATCAAGTAAGTTAACATAGATAAGTTGTTTCAATAATTTTATCATCTACTACTTATAAGGTAGTACATCAAATTGGTGTTGGAACATTATAAAAACTGAAGAAGTGCTAGAGAATGCTATTTTGATGATCTTTCTCTGAAAATAATGATCAATAAGTATAGATTTAAATTGTAAAAATAAAGAAATAGCATTGGCCAACTGTTATTTATTAAATGTCTACAACTAATTTGGCAAATTAACCAAATAAGCAAGTGGTCCTGCGAGCTGGTATTGGTAGTGTTATCCTTGTGAGCAGGCGTGATTTTGCAGTTTGTGATTGGTAGGCATATAATAGTCTTTGCGAATATCAGAGATAGTACTGATGGAGCTCTTGTGTTGTAGAATTCATAAGAATATAACTAGAGCTTCCTTCAGAAGTGTATGTCTAGAGATCATTCCTCTTGGGAATTGTTTGTGTTCTCAATGTTTCGAACATCGTCGGAGCTTTGACTTGAGAGTAAACTTTGAACTTTAAGCAACAATATTGCTTTATTTTGCTGAAGACATGAATTGCAATGTTAAATAGCAAACTAATTCCGAAATATTTTAATGATCAATATCAATCAATATAAATTAACATGATTTCATACAAATTGTAGAGAGAATCGGCCCGAAAAACACAGCATATATCGACCATTGATACTACGACCTGCAACCCTCGAAGAAGTATTTTGGTTAATGCACCTCTGGGACAGAGCTTGGACACAGCAGATAGGGCGTTCTGTGCAGCTCATAGCATTGGTTATTGCACTTTGCGATTTGGAAGGCAGGTCCAAAACAAAAGACCGATTGGAACACTGCCAATGGTAAGTACACTGAAAAAAATCAAGTAAGAACCAAAGTAGCCGAATATTCTGATACCAGAATAAACCAGCTGAAAACGGGAGGAGAGAACCTTCTTGAGTGGGTGGGAATAGGGGCGGTTAAGGTTGTTGTTGTGTAAGATTCATAGTAGATTATTAGATTTCTAGCTTCCTTTCAAACTTTCGGAATTTAAGCTCTAAAATCACGGGAGTTACGAATTTGAGAGATTACCGAAAGTAATCCACTTTCAAAATGGTGTTACTCTTGACGGAAGCTTATGTGTCGTTCTAATTATGGTTTTATTGTATTTTATTTTATTATTATTTCACAATTTTGGTGACACTAACTTTAAAATTGTGGAAAATTACGGCTTAATAGGGTTTTCACTTCGTGTTGAGCTTCCCCATTTTAAAACGTGAACACTTCTTAAAATTTATACTTATAATCACTTGTTTTCCATTTGTGACGAAAAGTAATGAGTTGCTTAAGTCTTAAATAATGTTGTGTATTGTTTTAATATGCTAGCACTAAAAGTTATTGATGTTGATTGATTTATTGATGTTTAACATTGTTTTCAGAATGTGACTCCACATGTTTATTCAAATGCGATTGCCCAATGCACTCTTCCACGCCAGTCGTACCAAAATGAGTGGCCTCGATACGCAAGCAACGTTCCCGAAGCAAGCCATGCCGGATTAAATTCGACATTTCATCAAATATCAACGCCAGCTGAAAAGTGCGATTCACATTTAACTCGAGACACTACGGAAGACTATGCCAGCTCGTCGTCATCTGCATCGAATAGTTCAATGGTTTCAGCGCCCAACACCTTTGCTCAATCTCGCGGTCGAACTATAGCATTACACCACATGAACCAGGTGCAATCTGGCCGGGTATGTGTCGAAGCAGCCAGCAACGTGATCAGCTCTGTTGAACAAACCCAATCAGACGATGAGGCTACCGTCCAAACTCCTTTAATGATAAAGCGCGATAGCTCCGTATGACTATAGAATTGCCACGGGACTTACAATTCGGTCCTGTGATGTTAAAAACTAATTATGTAATTTTATTAGAAATAATACATTAATAGGAATATACGTACATTTTATATCAAGAAACTTTATAATACAATTTTAAGAATATTTCAACCGCCAAAATATCCCTAAGAGAGTATTAACAATTTTCTATTTGTATTTTCTTAAGCAATGAAAGCAATCGTATCAATTACAAATATACGAAATTTTCGTTCCTTATCTGTTTTAACAGAAAACAATATGCCAAATTTTTACAATTGCTTAAAACATTTTTGTTGACCGTTTATTTAACTGAAACATTAAATAAAACCGGATACTCAAATAATTAAAAGCTCTGAATATTTAAAATATGTATGGACTTTAGCAAAGTTAATAAACAAATAATATGCAACAAAAAATACAGCTCTGCTCAAGTTTCTACAAAGTTCATTAATTTCATAGCTAGATTTGCAATTTAGCTGGCGTTCTTTAACAATTCTCGATGAATTTGATCGTGGCTTCGACATGGGTACCAATAAATAATTACTGAGACAGCTACGATATACATATGATGCAAGCGAGGAACAATTTCTTGATTGGATATGATGGGTCCCTCTGGGCATATTTCGCCCTTGTAGCAACGAGTCAATCATACTGAACTTTGCAACAATAAAATCTGACAATTAAATTAGTCGCCCTATGATCCTTAGGCAATAAGATGACATGCCTCCAAGTGTAATTCTGATTTCTTTAGTAGATATTTGGATTAATTTTAAATTCATTCAGTAGTTCACTTTCTGCTGTAAGATCGATAAATGCAGACCAAATTAGCTCGAAAGCTCCATGAAACTTGTAAATCTGTCAGTGTACAGTATGCCAAATATTTCCAAGGTAAGCTTATGTATCTCTGATACTCGATTGGATAAAAAACATTAAGTTCGTGCCCTTTTCACCTTACATCCTAAAATACTTATATGTCATTGCAGCTAAAGATTTTGAATTGCACATTTTCTTTTTGTACTTAAAAGTAATTGTCAGACGCAGCATTTACATCATTTATTTAAATGAATCCCTCAGGTAGCATCCTGTCCAGCGTGTAATTGAAATGGTTAATATTATTGCACTGCTATCTTTACAACCTGTTGTGCCCCTTTTCTGAGCCTATAGCAGGAATGCAAGAACCTTTGAAGAATTGAGGGTTTGTATATCTTCTTAACTTATAACTTTCTTCCCTACCATACAATATTTTTCTGGCGACACATTCTGCTTTGATATGATCTGAGGAATCCTTCACGTTGTAACAAAATCGAACTACTGCCTATATCTAGCTTAGATAGATAACTCTTTAATCCACATTGTTCTGTTAAGAGGCCAGTAAGTATTCTAAGTCTGTTCTTCCCCATGAATATTGCTTGCTTGAATCGTTTTTGATTTTAGCTGCCAAAAAGATATTTAGCTTGTTTGAGAGCGGTGACTCTTGCCAGCGCGATTACCATTGCATTGGTGTGCCATTTAATGATGTGTGGTTACCTCAATAATAAATAAATGAAGTAGTATCTCTATGGCTAAGAATCTAGTTACTTTAAGTCCCTTTTCTCGGTATACTTAGCAGACTTGCTATTATGGCTTATTGTATAATCGAGTGGCGTGAGCTCCATTTGGATATCCATGACCGTTATCGGACAAGTACACATTGCTCGTCATCTCATAACCCTTGGTGATGTACTCTATGACCTCGCGATTAGGCTGAAGTTTCGTGAGTGCCAAAGTTTAATCTCTTGTCGAATGTGTCTCCGAGTCACTTTACTTTCCTAAATATATTTACAGAAGTACAGAAGATTCTTCATAAAATAGATTAAAAACCTGTAGACCAAGCAATCTCTGCCTGGAATGGCTACGTCAAATACGTAACAAACAGACAATAAAAAAAGTAAAGTTTAGGAGAGTTCTTTTTATACTCTGAATCCTTTGAAGCTATAGGTTTTAATCTTGGAATATATATTCGCCCGATGCCGGCATATTAGACAAAGTGTACAAATTGGGGTGTTAGGTACACTAAAGGAGGGCTATGCAATCGTTAACATCTATAAAACTATTTATGTGCAAATATTTATAAGCTGGTCAACAAATTATGATGGCAAAGATATATCTTAGAGCTGGGGGCACCAAATTAAGGTACATTAATCATTATTTAATAGTTTGGCAAATAATGAAGGATGAAGCTCTACTTAATGAAATCTCTAATCAAATATTATATGTTTGAAATCAGACGGAATTTTAGTGACACCTACAAATTGTAATAGGCTTGGATTTTGAATGGGTTGAGTTGAGTTGACAGCAACATTAACCACTTTACTAAGCAATAAATAAATAGTTGAACATTTATTTATATTCAAATAGCCTTTTATTGTTAAATTTGTTTTCTTTATATATATTAATGTTATAAATGTTGAAATGAACCACTTCATGCTTCCTGAATAACTAAATTACTACTACTAATTAACCGCCTCTCCTCGTTTGGCACCTTCCGAAAGTCCTCTTGTGTAATATTGTCACCTGGAAAACAAATTAGATAAACAGTGTTAAATAAAAATAATGAAATTAGATTATCACAAGTTTAAGCTGCGTTAGTAAGAAAGCATAGTATGAACAGCACAGTGAACGTCAGTCCGAACTTACCTAAAAAATTCGAATATTGCATATATCAAATAGAATATCTTTCACCAGCAAATTTGATGTGAACATTTTTTTCGACAATACAATGTATTGTTTGCGTGGTGGCTGAAGTCAGCAAATTTTAAAAGTATATTTCTGGTAACTCACCTAAGAGATCGATAAAAAATTGGATGGTCATGCCCACTCCGCGTCCCCAAACCGATACACCTCTTAGTGTCAATCTACAATTCCATAATTCTCACACAATTTGAAAGATATATCACCAAATTTGCTAGTAACTTGAAATAAAGATTACTTGGAATCTTTTCTATAATCCACTCCCGCCCCAAAATTCTGAAAAGCCTATATCTGCCCCCTTAAAAAATTCGAAAAACAATAAGAACCTATATCTCCCGAAATTTTAAAGACAAACTTTTAGATTACTGGGAATTTCCATCAATGATTGGTAATTCATGGCTACACCCACCTTGACCCTGTTATCAAATGGTATTATTTATTGGTAGTTAAAGTCGGTTAACCACGATTGTAACTTTCTCTTTTGTTTTTTTTTGGTTTTGAGACAGTAAAACTGAAATCTATTCTGACCATGGTTATTAGCCATCCTCCTGTTCCAAATTAAGTTATGATAGAAAAAGAAATTTATTTATTTTAATCGTCAAGAAAAATCAATTAGTTTTATAATTGCTCTTAGCAGGCCTTTTTGATTTTAGCTTCCACAAACGAAATATTTTGCAATTTCGTATTCAAAGCAAATGTCTCCAAGTTTTTTCTCTTTACTCTTTACTCTTGACTCTATAGTAGACATGCGTCGAGTGTGCTAACGATCGCTGCAGTGTGTTAATCAGAAAAGGGTCTCGGGTGTTTGCAAGAGCGTTGATACATTAGCAACACTCGAATTAACTAGTCTTCGCGCTCAAACGATGAAATTGACATGATCACATGAACTGTTGTTTCAATAAATGAAAACTATTGCTTGTTGTTGACGCTGTAAGTTTATTCGCCAGACAATGTAAATGGTTTTGTAAAATCGGGGTGTTGTACTCTTAAACTACTCATTAGCATGTTTTTAAGTTGCTCAAAGGATTCCCTATAATCTGTCATTAAAGCCAAATTTGTCGTTTGCTTTGTAACTCTGACATAGTCCTGAATAAACTTTCGATAATTACATGTTAAGCCAAGCTAGATATTAATTTCCTTCTGCTTCGATTGGTCCCAATTCCGTCCGACGAAAAGTTCTGGGTATTGGCAAAACTGAGCTTATTCAACGCTTGTTTTGTTGAGTTGTTGCATTTGAGTAAGAATTTTAGCGCAGAATAAATTCAATTAAAAAGTTATGTTTGTCTGGTGTTAATCAAACAAAGCACGCGATCACAAGTATGAACAACATATATGATCCTTTTGAGCCTATGAGCAAAATCATGAGAGCAGTTCGGGAGCCATCGTTGCAGCTCTCTGGTAGGGGATCTAATGACATTTAAGTGTCCGAAATTTAGAATTTCTATGAAAAGCGGGTGTCCGAATTAACACAATAATTGTCTACAAATTGCATTTATTAGTTAGAAAGTACGTATCGACTTACATATTCCAGGAATGCTGCTCTCCACATGTAATTTGTTATCTGTTTTATTATCATAGACGCTGCTATCGTCGAGTACGAAGTCATCATCCGTGTTATTGGTGCACTCGATTTCTCCGAGCTCAGCTTGTAGATCCTCGCGGCGTCTTTCGATGAGACACTCCAGATCGCATTTAGTTTTCATTAAGAGTTTTTCCGTCTGGGTCGTGTGGACGCGTGGTTGGTAAAATAAATAGGGTTTGGTTTTTGTTCGAATCTGGTTTTGTTGGCAAATCACTGAGGATTCCCATGTTTTGAAATCTTTTAGACGAGCCATTTTCTTCTCGAGGCATCTAATTTCAAGCTGCTTACGCTTTCTGTCTAAAAATAATGAGTCGCGTTCCTTTTGAACCAATGCTTTTTCTTGCAGCTCTTGCTTTTCCAATTTCTTTTCTATTTGAGCTTTCTTATCTTCATTTTTTCTCAATCTAGACTCTTCCTGGCAGAATTTCTGCAAAGTGCCCAGAAGGGAACCGAACATGCGACGATTCCGAGCCCTTGATTCGGAATCGACTCCCTGAGCTTCGACAATTTCCTCTCTCGAGGGCAATTCTCGAATTACCCGAGAATTAAGTCGAGGTGTTGGCAGCCACAATTCGTCCTTGTCTGAAAGCCGATTAAATACCATTTTTGGATCGTAAATACGCCGCTTTTGTTTCAAAATCTCATGGCGTTGGATGTTTTTGTCCTGGTTTTGCTCATTTTTCTTACATCCGGCATCGGGATTGTACTTCTCAATCCTAAAAAAAAAAAAGAATACGTACTAATACATACGTCGTCTGAGTGTTGTAAAATAAAAACCTGGGTTCCTTAAGTCCTCGACCGACAAATCGACGTATATTGTCATTTAATGAGATTAATGACCGTCTAGCAGAGTTAAGTTTTTTTTCTAAATCGCCGATGGAGGATAATGCAATATTGTCTTCCATTTCTGGATATTTTTCTTTTATTATTATTCGAAGGTAGAGTTGTTGAAAATATATTCATTCATCGATATATATTGTCATTTAAGAATAAATACTTCTATGAAATATTTTTGCATGACAACAAAATAAATATCGATATGTGTAAAGATATTTCATCGCATGCAAACAACAAAATATTTAAAAAGAATTTTCGGACTTTTTCCACCTAGAGCAAAATTTCGCTAACGTTAACTGCATTACAGATTTTTCTTTATCGAGTGCGCATTTAAAATGAATGTTTTATTGTGAATAAAAGTCCATAAAATGTTATAATTAGTTTATTATTTTGGGGGCAAGCATTTTAAAAATGTGTGTGAAACCGCGTTGCAAATTATAGATACCCGTTCGAAAAATATCTTTTTTTTGACATCTTCGAAAAATTTCAGATGTTTCATTAAATCTACTAAAAATATTAAAATCGGTATCAAAGTTGGCTATAATACTATAATTGTTTTAACATTCTGGCATAGATCATCTGTAAGCTAATATTCAAAATGATATAAATACATGGAAATTCACTTCTAATAACTTTCCAATGCAGAAGAACCAATACAATTCACAAATGAATGAGTCGTTGTCATAAATCTGACACTGTAGATGCGCCTTACAGTTTAACACTGACATGAACATTCGCCGCTATGCTTACACACAAATAACAGAACCAGTTCAAAAGAGGTAGTTCCGAAAATAATTCCACTAGTTAATTGCAACTTTTGTTATCTTACGGCAAAACATTCAGAATAAAGGTGCATTATTAATAGGGTATTCATTATACGGCATATTTCTTAACAATCTAATCATTTCAGGATGCAGGGGCTCGGATTACAAAGTTTAAAAAAGAATCCTGCGGTAAGTAATTGATTTTTTTCGGTTACGTAACCCAAGTGATGTGAGCATTCATATTAAAGTCATATGTTTTTAATTCCGTACGCCTGGCTCTTGTAGTTGATTCCGCTGTACGTTTGCGTTGCGGCCGGAGCAATTGGCGCAGTTTACTATATGGGTCGTCTGGCTACCAGAAATCCGGACGTCTCTTGGAATCGTTCAAATAACCCAGAACCATGGCAAGAGTATAAGGAGAAACAATACAAGGTGTGTACACTCATACTACTATATGCACATTAATATATATGTATATTTAAATTTATAAAGCGTAACGTTGTTGTAGATTTATAGATATACCACGTTTCCTTAAGAAATTATATAATAATTATTCATTTACTTGTTTATTTTCAGTTTTATTCCCCTATTAGGGATTATTCTAAAACAAAGAGTGCAGCTCCGACCTTCGAGGAATAATTTTATTCATATGGATATTGAATTAAACTAAGTTTGTTGTCCAAATAAATGCAATAACTTGCTGGCTACTACGATTCTCTATTGTCGATTTAATTTCAGCCATGCTCGAAATTTGCACAACAGCTATTCAAATAAAAAATCAGCCATCTTGAAGTAGCTGAATTTTTGCTTGTGGAGATCAGAGCATTTTTCAGCACACATTACACATAAAAGTATTGTGAATAATCTACCAAAATTTAAGGATAGTAATTATTTTGATCAATCATGTTTTCCCCTTTTCTATGCATATTTAGTGATTTACTATTTTATTATTAATATAAAAAGAGTAAATATGACCGCTCAATCTATCGTATTTTAACAGGCAAATGTGCGAAAAATAAATTTTTCCTGTCACAAATAAGTATATATCTACTGGTGTCACTCCTCGGGTTTGCAGCAACAACCAGCCGTGTATAAAATCATTCTTGTGTTGTGTCCTGTGCCAACTGCTAACGCCAGAGATGGAAACAAAGTTCTCTCAGTACGCACGAGCAATATGATACAGCGGTAAAAAAAAGCACCAAGGCAACACTACAGTCCTTTGCTGTCTATCGGCTTTTTTCTTTCAATGCAGCTCTGTTGCTAAAGCTCCGACATCAAATTGGTAATAAATAAAATAAATATTAACGTGTAGATTGATTTGATCGATTATGTGCATGTGCAATTCTTTTTTAAATTATTACAGGTAACCCTGAAAATCCTGAAACACGGTTTCAATTAATATATATATTAATATGATATTGATCTATCATGAACGAACTTTTGGGACACAAACAAAACAGAAAAAATTCAAGCTCATTGCTTATTTATATTGAAAAAATTGTAATACAAAATTACCTAAGCGAATAGTAATATCAGCTTAGGTAGCAACTCTGCAATGAACTTTGGTAGCAGCCACGTAACAGGTAACACGGAGCAAAACATATATGATATTACTATAACAGTAGCACAAGCTGCTGTTCTTTCTGATACTGCTATTGCTCTCACAGATGACAGAGCAGATCAGAGTGAAGCCGCATTAATTTCAGTTTTCTGATATATCTCTGTAAAAGTTTGTATCATTGGCAATAGTAAAACGAACCCGTGTACCTCTAAATCCAGTTAACCATTCTTTTCTATCAGATGCATGACAAATATTTATTGTATTATTTTATTCAAAGTAGTTTGTCGCCAAGTTTTATAATCTTTTTTGCGGTTTGACAATGATACTGATACTTTTAAGATTCTTACAGGTTGTCAAACAAGTACCGGAATCGTTAACCAAAAAAAAAAAAAAAATCAAAACCGGAACATTTATATTTCATAAGAGCCAACTGCCAAACGCGATATCAGAACAGTGGTCGATCCATTTACTGTATGTGTGAGTAAATATGAGTCTCTGTACAAGATATATATTGGCAGGCCTGCTTTTTAAATATAATCCCGTTACTTCTGGTGTACTTCAAGATCATCAATCTTCTGTTCTTGTATGGTATTCATATATCTGGACTTAGTGTAAGAACTATCAAGATAGATGGTGTTTGTTCAGATTTATTTTCTTTGTTATACGTAGCTTTAACTGGGATCCAATCCTCGCACTTCAGTGGGATTCTACCTATTAATCTTTCGTAGTTGATTAACCGTTGAACATTTCTATCCCCTAAATATTTTAATCAATGGATACATAGATTTCTTTACTGTAGTAGGTAGTCTTAACTTTTCTGCTCCCTACAGTTCCCCAATCCCTTTAATACGTTTCACTTTAGATATAATAAATAAATATAAATAAATATATTAAATAAAGGAATAATGGAATTAATATATACAAAACACAATATCATTTTGTATACTTTATATTTTAATTTGACTTTTCGTCTTTAATCTAATGAAATCTAATAAATTCATTTACAATTTAATATCAATTATTTAAAAGTATTCATAAAATGAATTTAAAAAATAAAAGTTAAAATTTTGTGAACTGTATTTAGTCTCTGTTTAATAAATAAATATCCAGTTTGTCTATATTCAGTGAAACTCGATATTTAAATAATACTTCAACATTAATTATGTCCTACTACAATTTTTTGAAATCAAAAGCTGATTTCATTTTGTTTATTGTGTGCCCAGGATTTGTCGATAACTTTTCATTGAGGGTCACTCTGACACTTTGTTTTGATTTTGCATAGAACAGCTGGATTTGTTTGTACACCAAAAGAGCAAATGAAATCAATAGAGATGAACGGAATCATTTATTAGTAAAGTTCAATATTATAATTTTAGTTAAATGGAAAGAAAAGTATGCAGTCAATTAAGGAAATGAGTAATAAATTTAAATAATTATTTTTACTACAAAAAATTTTTAGTTGGATTGAAGATCGCTTGGAAAGGATTATTGTTTCTCTTCCATGTATGGTGCAAAACTGGGTGTATAACTTTAATGCCTTTCAGAACGTGTATTTCGCTTTCAGAAAAGGTTTTTTAAAGGGTGTTAGCAGTAAAATTTCGTTAAAGATTTTCCAGTCAGGATATTTATTGGCCTTAAGATTACATTTTTAGAAAAAGGTTACCTAACTTCGTAATACTCGAAAAGATTACTGATTACCTTTTCCAAAGTTTCAGCTAAAAGCATTCCAGTCACGCTGGTCACATCCCGGGTGAAGGTCCTTTCCAACCTGATTTTAGCTGATTTTTTTGTTTTCTTGGATCAGAGTATTGCATTTGTTTATATCTAACAGAAACGCTTAAGGTCATTTAATTTACTTTAGATTGGTTAACAGTGCGTTCGACTTCGATAAAATGGACATACATATATACCTGAAGTGCCTTTCGTGCGAATTGCCGAAAGTAAGAAAAAGCTCTTACTTTGGAAAGCTTTGAGGGCAAGCTCTTAGAGCTTTTGTCAAATATTGTGAAAGTTAAGTAGGCATGTGAAAATAAATGAAAATATTATAATTAAATTCGGCAGTATTCTATTAATTGATTTTAAGTACTTTATAGCATGTAAATAGTATGAGTACATCTTCGTACATAAACATGTGCATTAGGGAATATATTCCGCTTTTGTTTTGTAAAGCAAAATATTGATTAAATACATTTTTAAATGATTGACACATGCGTTGTAAATGCTAGAATAATTCCAAAAACATTAAAGCTATAATTTTTGCACACTGGTGTCTTAAACGTGTACAATCGAAATACAAAGATGACAGCTGAGTTTAGCTCGCGTAACACTTTTCGGAAAACTGGACTCGGCAGCAATACCCGCAGTATTATTACTTCTGCAAATCCATGCGGTGGAAGCAGCGCATCTCTACTCCAAAAGCAGCTGTCATTCAAAACCCCCATTTGTTCTAATCAGTTTGGCAAAATTGATGAAGTAGAAATTATCGACAACTCAAACATAGATAATTTGGCTGGCCGATATAACAAGGTACATATCGTCATACTCCAGCTCTCGCATAGTACTCGTATGTTCCAAGAATACCAACCACTTCAATTTTCAGAACAATATTATTGGCTGGATATGCTGTGCTCCTTGCATATGGCTGCGCACCTCAGCTGCTGTTCACAAGGTGGCAATAACGTCCGCAACATTATTGGTGACAACATTACTGGTCGCTTCACCAATACTATTTTTAATTAGTACAGCACCTTCGCCGCTTCCCAGGGATTGCTATATGGAAGGCGATGGGTGCTCGCCAACAATGTCATCTCCATCGGAATGTACGGAAGCAATTTGTGAAACAGTGGCTGCCAACATTCAAGCAAGACTCAATTGGAATAAAGATCCTTGCTCGGAATTTAAAAAGTTCAGTTGTTGGCGCAGTAATTTTAATAAAAATATAACGAATCTGATCGAAATGGGCAATTCACAAAAATCGGTTGATACTCAAATGCAGTGTGAGTTGTACATCCATTCTCTAAAATGATTTAATAATAATTCGTCATATATTTTTTTAGTACTCTTGCAGAATTCTAGTATAAATGGAAATTTTAAGATACTCCAGAGTTTATTTGAGAGCTGTTTAAAACTCAAAACAAATTCAAGTGCTTTACACCGTGTATTTGATACTTTAGGAGGGTACTTAACAGTTGGCGTCATCGGTCCTTCGTCCATAGCATCTCTTGTAGCTAAAATATATGAGCTTGGGCCAAGCCCACTTGTTGATATATATTATGATCTTAGTTATGGTAGAAGACCGCATGTGCTTCTCATCATAAGTGGACCAAGTACATCATCGATTATTTTGGAGGTATGTACATTGCAATTGTAAATTTATTTTGGCACAAGAAAGAAATAATACCATTTTTGTATACAAATTGGAAAAATATGAACAGACATTTTTTTTCTCTGCTTTTCAATGTGATTTGGTTTTCTCTGCATAAAAATGATACACCATTTACATTTTAATACTCTTAGGTATATTGTATCCTTTAGTTATTTTACTTTTTAATTATAATTTAATTATCCATTTAATCATTTAATTTGTAACTGTAATTTTAAGAATGTTCACATTAATTCGCTTTAAAAATGAAAGTATTCACAACGACGGAATTTTTAAAAATTAGATCCACAAACTTAAAAAGCAACTGTTTTGAAAAATTTGTGAAATATATCCTCCACGTGGGCACAGGTCATATCTATAAAATGTTGTGTATTTCAATTTTCGGAGATTGCGGGAGGTTTACAAAAAGGATAATTTTAATGCGCAAAAGCAGATGTTGATCTATTGTTTGTAATAAAACATAGAGACCTGTCGATAAATAAAAGTAATTAACTTGAACTGTCTGAGGCTTATGGTAACCTATATTCCAATTTTAATGTCTCTAACTCAAACGGAGATGCTTCCTTTGCATAGCACATTTTTTAACCATTTTCATTTATTACAAGAAACGAAAAAAGAATTTTACCAAAAAATATATCATCAAAGCATCTGGTTGCAATCTCATTAATTTTATCATTAAATATTTCACTTATATGTGCTATTTATTGTATTATGTTATTTTATTATTTTATTACGTTATTTTTATTTTCAGAATAAAGTTCGTTGGATGAGCCCAAAAGCCCCTCCAAATCGATTAAAGCAAGGAGTACCAAAGCTTTTACCCGATTTGATTGACAATTTTCTACCAAGCTTCTTATCCTTTGCACAACGAGTATCTGAAAAAGATACCATCCTAGAATTTGTAAAGGATCTCAATAAGGTAAGGATTTTAAGATTTATGAAGCGGTTTTCAGACGATGCAATAGTTCCGTGAAAGTAAAATGTGTTACAGAACTTGCAAAGAATTATTTTACATGACTTTAATTAAATTCAATCCAAAAGGATATGTGAAATATGTCTTGCAATCAAGATAATTCTCTGCTCTGATGCAAAATTACTAAAAAAGCGTGAAGTGTCAAAAAATTTCATGTGTATTTTTCGACGTAAGTGAATGCAGATTAAGTACGAATGCTTTAGTCGAGATAACTCCACTAGGAGATATCTTGAACCCAAGTCTTTAATACATATTTAATTACGATTTTCTTCGGAGTTTCTTAACCTATTTTGCTAGAATTGTTAGAGTCAATCAATATTATTATTAGAGTCTATTAATAATATTATTTTTGAATTTAAGAGCTATTGTGGTAATCGACTAATATCGATATTGTGGAAAAGTTATCGATGAAATTATATAGACTTGATCTGCGCTCCTGTCTAGTTTGTGTAGTCTCAGATATCTCGGCTTTCAATGAGAATCAAGAATATATATAAATTATACGTTCGAAGACGATTTCTCTAACTGCTACGTACCTTAAACAACTTTATTATAACTTTTTTTTGCATTTCCAATAGGTATAAAAACTAATGGCTTTTAATTGAATGTAAAAATCATTTTAAGATAAAAGTTGCCTTACTTTTAATCGAGGTAATGCACATAACGGCTAGAAAGAGGGTATGTCCAAGTCGGGCACTTTCACTAGAGCATTCTTACTTCTTCTGATGAATTGGTAATTTTTGGACTATTCGCGACAATATTGCTAATTTGTAGAATATAAATATAATACATATAATTTTTAATATTTATTTTAGCTTCAAGTTGAACAATCACGCCGAGGCTTTTGGGATAGCTCTGTCTTGTATAATATATCGAGTTTGCAGGCTATGTATCCAATTGTAAGTTACTATTTCAATATTGTTAATATTTCCTGATTTATAATATGGATACATACATATAAAATAATGGTAACAACTAAAAGTAACTGCGAATACATTGTTAACAGCATTGCCATAGTTATGAACGCGTCCAAAAAACTTAAAATTGGCTAGAGACATTAGAATTGTGAAGTCATTTAGTTGAATCCTGATCTGCAACTAGATGATATGAATATAGATATAGATATAGATTTGCACGATATATAATTGTATTTATATCATTTGAGTAGTTATACAAATTATCTATTTGCCTGCCGACCGCAAGTTTCACCAACTTCCCAAAAAGTAGGCAACAATTTTAATGTAATATTTGAATTATAGCAATTAATGTCCTACGAAGCTTGTACATTTATCTTACGCTAAAGTATTACAATATTTGTACTTTGCGTACTGAGGTAATTAAAAATTGATAAATGCTAAAAGTATCCAAAACACAACATTTTAAATATTTTTCTCAGAATTGAAAAGCAAGAATCCCCAATTATTGCCTACAAATTGCTGTTAACATTTTTCTTGTTCCTAAAAGTAATTTACGAATGTAAAAAAAGAATTTCAGAATATTAACAGACTTTGTTCTTAGAAAGGTGTTCTATAATAAAAAAAAAACATTTCGAGCAAGTGTTCCGTGAAAAGTCACACGGCTTCCAACAAATGTTTGTATATGTAGGATCTGAAAATACTACTGTAAATACTACAATATAAATAACTACAAAGCTAATGTAAGAATTCTGTGTACTTTTATATCTTGGAATTTACAAAATTATTTTTATTTTATTTATATTTATTGAACTAAGAAAAGAAAGTCATCGATAACTTCGTAATAATTTAATGGCGCTAAGAGTATGATATTTTTCTAAATATCAGGACAATTTTTTCTGAGTGTAGTTTTTGCTACCACAGATATCTTCGTACTTCTGCAAATGAAGTCATTCAGCTGATAAAAGCTGATTTCATATCCATAAATAAATATATTTTCATGTGTGGTTTCAGCTAAATTGGACTCTTCTAATTCCAAAGGACTGGAGTGGGCCTATAGTTGTAAGGAATGCTGATTATCTCAGAGCGCTACAAGCCTTTCTCACAAAGTATCCGTCTCGAATTGCACATAACTCAATGATATTGCTAAGCGCACTTGAACTATTACCAAAAGATTATCCCAATGCGGAGGTTTGCACACGCTCTACAATGTGGGCCTTACCGGAATTAGCGTCAGCATTATATATTTCTCAGTACTCTTCAGTAGATTCAAAGGACATAATAAAGCGGGTAAAGCAAGTTATCAACAAAAAAAAAATGAACAATAATTTCATCATATATTCATATTTTCAGGCGGATATCATTTTCAAATCATTAAAAGCTCACTTGAAACGAGCTCCATCCTTGAAGGGCGCCGCACTTGTAAAACTTTCAGCTTTAAAAATACAGTCTCAGACTTGGGAAGGTTTTTCGAACGTGACACAAATAACTAATGCAATGGAACCTCTTCATATCAGCCCAGATAGTTGGCTGGAAAATATTTTACAAATATATAAGCGGAACAAACTAGTACCCAATTCAATTAATATGGATGGAAGCTCCCATGACGCGTAAGTTTTATTAACGATTAAAAAATATACAAAAAACTTATATCCATATATTATTTCAGATGGGCGTATCCAATTGTTTCGACCATATTTTATGATACATTAAGCCATTCAATAGGTGGGTATTTTCACTGTTACTCCAGGTATGATAGAAATAAATTATTTGTCTTTATAATTCGCAGTTGTTCCCCTGTCGGTCATATTAATACCATATTTCAATGCAAGTCTACCACCCTATTTGCATTACGCTTCAATTGGCGTTTCCATTGCCAAGGAGATTTTACGATCGATAACGAAAAACTTTGATGATAAGGCAATGCGTTGTGTCCCCCATTCTGTTAATATATTTTCAAACTTTAGCCGCATGGACATCTTAATTCATTCTGGAGGAATGCAGATTTCATATCATTCAATGCTTTCGCTGACTGGCCCTATCAAGGGAATGGCTCGACTTCCAGGATTGAATTTGACACCAACACAAATATTTTTTCTAGTTTCTGCTCAAGAACTTTGTTCTGAATCCAACTACTTGGGAATCGACACAAGCGCTTCAGAGTTTGACAACATGTAAGTAGACCAAGCAAATAATAACGATCAGACAAGTTTTGATCGATAACTGTGGATTGGTGCGGATTTTAGTGAAGCTGTTCTTCATCGGAAAAATTATTGACGATCTCTAATGCTTGTTACCGTTTAATTATATTCAAGTTTTGGTGACGATAGCTCTAAATCTGTATAGGAATCGCGATTTACCAAATATTTAATATATAAAAAATATTATTATTGAATAAGTATAATAAACTCAGTGTCTGCCTTTACTAACTAAATGATTTATTTTTAATTTCAGATTAGGTTGGCTCATTGCCCAAGGCGGTAGCGCGACTGAGGTTTTCAAATGTCCATCGGGATCTATGATTAATATTCAAAAAACCTGCAATGTTCTTTAAATGCGATTTGTGTATTAAATGCAAAATAAACCGTACTCTACTGAAGTACCTTGTTAAGATCTAGGATCTTTAATAATTTGAATCACAAGTTTTTGTCCTAATGGTCGGGAAATTTATTTTTTCAATATTCCATACATAAAGGCGTCAAATCGACTAAGAACTGATTGCATCAGAAATCACTCTCAGCTGGGGCTCAGCTGTGCTGAAATTGAGGACCGGAACACAACGCAACGAACAGCGAACGCAGGTCATTATTTGATTTGTCTTCGCTGCAATAAGTTCTCTCGTAGAATATGGATCAGATTCCCTTATGGCTATTCATTTTGGGCAAAATCGATATGGTTTTTTTTCCACTGACGTCCAACGATTCATTTGACGCCCATTTTTAAGCTCCGTTAACGATTTTCATATTATTTGCTATCTTTAATCGAAACCGGTTTCCTTGTCGCCATAACATCGACAGTTACTGGTTCTGTTAAGTCAGAAAGTTCTAATTCAGTCGACCTTAAGATAAATACCTGAATTTTAACTCACTTGTTTTATTTTGGCTAGCCTAACGCTACAAATATTTTAATACAACTTGCGCTCACTTATGTTATGTACATATATTAAGTATACGATACACCGACCAACATTTGCATTAAAATTTATATTAGCACATTTTCGATAATACAATTGTTTTAAATTAATGTTCTAATATTTAACTTCCCCATAGAAATACAATCTTACATATATTTCAAAACCATAGACATTTCAATTATTTAATAATTATTATTTCAGAAGTTATGCATTTTTGTGTACCGAAAACTTCAGATCCGTTTTTATTCAATGTTTTATCTAACTTACCAATCGCATAGAGCTATAAACAATTAAGAAATTGTCATTCTCAAATTAGATTATCAAAACCTAGTTTATTAACATTTGAAAAAGGAGTTCACAATTTAAATTCCTCATTTTAGATTCTGTCGCAAGGGTCCTTGCAAATCATCAGAGCTACTTTGATTGATGTCTAAACAATCATCCTTATAAAATATTGAGGTAACTCTGATTTATGAGCTGGCAACAAGCTTAAAAATCTTTATAGAGTTTCACTGTTAGTCCAATTCAGTTCCGTTTTCTGAGTACGTGATTTTTTTAACGAAGTTGTTTCTTTTTATTAACAGTGATCTGTAATCTAACTACAACATTTCTTGGCCAGGAATTTTCTTAAACGTGTTTTAAGAGAGGTTGCTAGCATCTCAAAAAAAAAAAAAACGATGAAAAAAAATTTGCAATTACATGCAAACTTTTTAATGTAATATATATTGGTTTACGTTTTTTATATTGACTTTTTCGAAGAACTTCGTACTCATGTCTGTGATTTTAGCTGTACTTAACTCTCGGTCTCTTTCCAATTTCACAGAAAGCCCATGGTGCTTTATGTTTACCAATTCCAAAGATCCAAACGTTACTTAATTCAATGTCGATAGCAACGCAAGTCGTTGTCAACATATCACCCCTACCTTCTTAAATCTACACTTCTGTGTCACGGAATTAATTAAATAATTTTAAAAAAATTCTACAGACCAAGTTCAAATTGGTTTCCATTCCATTGGAAAGAGACTGTCAGTGATAGAGATTAACCGATATATAAAAGAGCTTGACTTGTCTAGTGATAAGTTGATGATAAGAATAGCATACTAGTTTCCTTTTAATAAGCAACAACTTTTTTAACCTCGAAATGAAAAAAGAACCATTGTATGAAAAAATTTAATATTTTATCCGTTAATCTATTAAATCATTTTCCCACATCTCTGTGAAAATTCATAGAAGACTAATTTTTTGTTTGCATAATCATGGTTTATGGCTAAGAATGATCGGAAAGTTTTCAATTCAGTAAATTGGCGTAACTTTCCGAATGAATTTTAAAGTATTTACAGCAATAAAAATTAGACCCGAACACATTTTAGTTGACTAATATTTTGTGAATTTTCATCCAAAAACTTAGTTAATCATGTGACCGGATCGCCGTTAATATTTCAAATGTTATACATTCATATGTATGTAGACCTTTTACTCTGCTTAATTGTAACAAATTAATTTATATGTATATCAACAAATGTTAATAGCTTATAGATAATGATCCCATTTGTCCGATACAGCGGCCTTCTTCATCGAAGCTGGCTAAAGTCAATCGAGACAGCTTATTACACAATATTCCGTTCCCATTATTTTGAATCGGATTCGGCTCTGTAAATACAATTTAAAATTAACAATTATTAAGAATAAAATATATTTTAAGACTAAAATAATGTCCTTATCGAGATGCATTTTGTTAGTATAACTTTTTTTATAATTCAACAAACTTACCATCGTGAAATTGTTCGGCAGAGTTTCCCTCTTGTCTCTTTTTTCTCATTTGCTCTGTAAAGTGCGAAATGAGTGCATCAATCATTGCAGCTTGCTTAGAAAACACTTGTACTAGTTTCGATATTTGTATTCCATTTTCTACAGCATCAAACTAGAAATATACACAAATATATATTTAAAAATTATTGTGCTTATTTCGAATATATTTTCGATTGTTTTTTAAATACTAACCTGCAGGAATATGCATGTAAGACATTCTGAATCCTCACTATCACTTGGCTTAGCATAGTCCCATGACATATCTTCATATCGGAGCCCCAATAATAGAGTCTTCGTATTTAATACAAATTAAATCGTTAATACATAATTAATCAAATACAATTTAATATTAGTGGTAGTACATTTTTAAGCAGATATTAAATAAACAAAAAATGAAAATTTCATCTTTTAAATAAGGACTTACAGTAGCAAGGCGGAAAATATAACAACAAAACAAAGATCATTTCGACTAAATTCTGTTTATATTCATTAAAAATAAACTTCTTTTTTTTAATTTTTTAACAAAATAATTAACTTAAATATATTATTGGGAAATTAAAATAAAATAATATAATTTAAAAATAAATTTCGCTATTTTGTTTAAAAAAATTAGCTTTTTATTACATTTTAAGAGAATTAAAAGAATCTGCTAAATCCCAATTTAGGACCATTACGCCATTCGGTATTGTACTCTTAGCGATGGAACCTTTTTTATTTTATAATCTATACTTTTCAGATAGTACTTTGGAAACTGCGCCATAGTATATCCAAAGCATATATAATACTTACGTTTTCCACGCAGTCTATTATAAAAATTCCTCTCTCGTTTACAGCAAGTAAGACTTCCATATCCTTATGGTTGACTAAAGACATAATGCCTCTGACGGGTTGCTCCATTTGTCCGTGAAAAAATGCAGCGCTACATTTTGTAAATTATATATAAATATTAATTCAAATAAAGTTCAAAGAGCAAGATTACGCTTAAAAGTTACTGCTCCGATTCGGTGTAATTAATGCAAGAGCGATATTCTCATTTTATAACAAGCCACCTTTAACTACGATACTAGTCTCCATGGACGGTAGTCCACTCAACACTTCCCAACATTTTTGGGGTTAGAATTTGCTTTCGTTACTCTCGTTACCGCATGTACATTTTTTTTTAATTTGAAGGTAAAAATCAGCTCTATTTAGCTTTAAAGCCCAGACTCGAAATGCAATACAATTCAAAGCAAGGAATCGTGATTTCTTTTTTTACCACAATACCAAAGCAAATCCAAATTATTATACCTGTCGATTATTATATCTGTTATTATACCCTTAACGCACCTTATCAACTCACTATGGATGTCAACATTCTTGGACGAGAAGTCGCATGCTAATTAATAAAACTTTGTCTTCCTTTCAGACGATCAGATATTATATACGAGATATTCGATTTATCAACCAACTAGCCGAAGCAATGAAGATTTATATATAATTTTATTTATATATATGTAAAATATATAATTGGAACAATACTTTCGTTCAATATTATCAAAGATTTTATCAAAGAGAAACAGAAGGAATAATAAAAAGGAAAAAATACAATGATATACAAACTTACCCATAAAATGGTAGTGCCCAGCAAAACTCCAAATATTTGCGCATTAATTTCCGAGTTGTGGCTGTTTGCGGCACTCGCTTGAATTGTTCTAATAGTTTTATTTCTGCAGAGTTCTTTTTACTAATTGGCAACCACAACCAATTTGAACTCTTGGCAACATGTTTCGGTAAGAATCTTGACTGGTTTTCCCTATTAAAAAAAGAATTGTTTAGTAAACTCCTAAATTATTATATTCTGATAATCACCTGAAAAATCCGACTGTGTGCGTGTGAGAATTGTACGGACCCAGTTCAATTCTAGCTTGAATACCACCAAGCATGAGCGAATGAACCGGCTCCATAATATATCTTCCTGTTAATACGTAATGCTTTGCCTCCTCATACAGTAGCTCCACAATTCGATGGTCCCTAAAATGTGCCACGATTAACGTAAGTGAAGTGTTGATCGATGAGTACAACTTACTTGATTTTTTCTTCATCGCGCTTGGAAAAGAAAACATTTCGCTTGAGGACAATCATGGGCTCATCATATTTTCTTTCAATTGGCGTTCCGCTGCTAAACTTTTCAAGCAGATTCGGCCAGGCTACTCTGACAATGTATGGACAATGGTGAGCTTTCAGCTGCATTTCTAGCAAACTGCTGGTCATCCATAATCCAAAAATGCTTTGCGCCAGCAATTTGTTAGAAATTCCCAATTCTTCGCATCCCAGTGCAGCTGCAAGCATCACTTGGGAAGGACACTGAACTGTGCCCTCGATCTCCATGTGCACGGCAACTCTTGACATTAAGTACACACAAGTTGGTATGACCTATACGAAATGTACAAGAATTATATATTTAACTTTAAGCTTATCTGCTCAGAAAAAAAATTGCCCTGAGTTCTAGAAAATCGCCACACTTTTGCGCCAAAGATAACTCACCTTATTATTTCTTGTTCCTTAAATTGTTAATAAAAAATTGTTTTTTAAGATTTCGCATATACTCGTACAAACATTTTAGATAGTTCAAAAATTCGATTTGAAGACGTGACCCTAAACTCTAATACAAAAGCCGAGCCAATGAATTGCATTACTTTTTACTGCATTTTAGAAAGGTTTTCTTCTAAAAATGAGGATTTTACATTTATTCTTTTTGGAAATATGTTTCTTAATAACACATAATAATTCTAAATAATAAAAAATAAATACCATATTTTTAAGATTGTTGATGTAGGGCAAGCTTTCTAAAGATATAGAAATTTCTAATATTTAAGGGTTATTTTCTAAAACTGAGGGCGTTTTTTTTTTGAATGTATGGAGCTTACATTTTGTAGAGTACGGGTTACAATCGAATTGGGTTTTCCGGCGCTTGTGTAAGTGGAAGAGGAGTTGCCTGCAACAATTCGTTTTGTTACCACTGGATTCTGTTGAGCCTCACTGCTGCTGTTGCATTTTTGTTGAACTGGTAACAAATTTTGAAGAATACCTGAATATGCAGTAAGATTAAAATGCTACTAACTAAAATGTACAGTATACGCGACTCTAAAGCCATTCTTACCAGATGCACTTCGAACTCCAGTGAGAGGGCCAAGTGAGTTGCCGGTATTAATGATATTGCCGCTGAGCTCAGACAGATGAAGACAAGGATCCTTGGCTGAAATGGACATCGCTGAAGTCACCTGGGCCGACGATATGCAATCGTTCTCATTGCGACCGGCACTAACAACGCTCGAAACGCTCGCTGACGATGCAAATGTGCTTCCGACAGCTGTCTGGATCTGAGCTGTGGTCACTACACGATGCACTGTATACATCACAGGGGGAACAGGCACATTGACTGGCACCAGAGAGACTGGTGTTTGGTGTGACCCCAATTGGTCACATGATGCCACATTGGCATTGCTTAAATGCGTTTGAGTTGCGGCCCCAACGCGTCCACCACTTCCAGCATTTGCAGCATTTGAATACATTGTGCAGTCAACATCAATGGTATCCAAGGCCGAGTTGGGGCTGCATGCGGTCTTTTGTTGATTTTGATTTTGCATCCGTTGGCTGTGAGCATTTTGATTAATGTGTTGCAGTTGGTGTTGCACGTGGTGGTGATTTTGTGATGTTTGATGTTGTTGTATTTGATGATGCTGTATTTGTGCAGTAGTTTCGTTGCTGCGCTTAACATTGTTTCCTAAATAGTAATCGTCGCGACACTTCACATCCGTGGTATTGTAATATAAACGTGATCTGTCCATGGAAAGACTTGTCTTTAATTTTTCAAGTTTTTGAAGAGAACAAAGCGATTAAGGATGACTCTACTTACTGGTAGTCCTGCGATGTTGACTTCTTGCGATTATATTGTAGCGTGCTCAATGGAACTGACATTATATTAATGTAATTGCCGGTATTATTTGTGTTATTTGTGCAGTGACTGCTGTTATTGCAACTGGGAAATGCGTAAGGGTTTCCCATGCTCCGATTTCCAATAACAGCTTTATTATTCCCATTTCGAGGAGGCATATCGCTCGAGTTGTAGCCCGATTCTGAATGATTTGAGCTACATGCCACATATTCCTGACCACCATTGTTTACATAATTCATTTTGCTTAGCGGCGGCTGAGAAATTGATGGAGACGAATTCTGCTGCATTTCATTTCGGCAATAATATTGGTTTGCCTCCATATTGTCATCGGCTATTGTGAAATCGACTGAAATTTAAGGTGCATTATGATAATACGGTTAGTATTATTATTTTATTATTTGCGACCACTTGGGTATATTATGCCTCTCCCTAATAAGTCAGCTGTAAGACTCCTGAACGCATTCTGGAAGAATTCCAGACTTGGTGAATTTTGAATTTATTATTAGTTATACTATTTTAATTAATGTGGAGTAATCGTAAATTTTAAAAAATATGTGAAAGTCTTCGGGAAACCCAGAAAAAAAACCCGATCATACCAATTCAAACCAGAATTGAATACAATTGAAGCGATCTAAGCCTTGCCGAAATCCTTGACCGAATCGACTAGAAATGATAATCTATTGAATCTCAGCCAAGCGCGCTGATAAGTGCTATCATATATCATATCGAGAGAGTCTTAGCATTTTGCCTGCTCTATAGAATTTTACAAATGTGTTAAATTTAATATCGAAAGATACGCATCTTACCTGTACTCTATTGTTAGAAAATGACTTCACATGATTGACCGGCGTATATTTGTGCGTTCTGAAAATTAGATATTTAAAATTACAATTATATTTCATTTTCTGCTGTGTAAAAAACATCGATGTAAATAAAGTAAAATTTGTATTTGTATATGTATGTTTTCAATTCCCGCAAGAGTCCTGTGTGAATTAACCTACAACTACAACTACAAAGAAATTTTCATATGGTTTATTTAAGTTAAGCGTAAATAAATAAAATTAACCATATTCCTTTGAAAAAATGATTATTATTATTGGGGGGAATTGCACCATGCCCTATTTGATCTATTGTGCCCCCTTCTGAGCCTATAGCTCTTCCAGCAGAATGTAAAAATCTTTGTTGGGTTGAGGTCTTCTATGTCTCTAAAGTTCAAGGCATGCACCCCTAGGGTGCTGCGTCTTCTTCTAGTGAAGTCGACACATTCTGCTAGGATGTGCATCGATGATTCCTTCTCTCTCTCACAAAACCTGCACAGATCGCTACTATATATACCTAGTTTAGTTAGGTGACTTCTTAGTCTATTCTGTCTCTCCGTCTGTATGATCACTAGACTATGAAAGCTATAGGATATATAAGCTCCCGTGTACCACCTCGAAAACAGATACATTAACATATTTGTAACATAAATTAATGGGATCCACCTTTCTGATGTTCTGAAACGTTCTTTTCGGGACAAATATTATTAGCAATAATAATATTAATTAATATTATATAAATATTAATTTTAAATTGAAGTCAAAATTCCGATCCTGAATTTCATTCGATCTTCTTCAAAGCGTTGCAAAATTATGATAAATTCTACAAGAGTATCAAATTATATTAATTCGGGCCGGATATATCTCCTTATTATACTGGTTGTGTACAGGATATTAAGTCTCATTATGCTCCAACTGACTTACCTGCCTGTAATCAGGTGGAATTGAGCTTTAGAACTTTAGTTTAGGCGGGTGGTTTTCCACTGATCTGATTTATTTCTAAGCTTAATGTTTACTTAATTAATTCTTGAAGACTTGTGGTGAAACGTTTTTTTTTATTTTGATTCACGATACTGCCGACAATGTTCCGAGCATATCATTAGGCGAGACACTGAGGTTGTCATTAAAGTCCATGACCAAAACGCATGTCGTCATTGAGTGCCCGATTTCCATTTGTGTGCATTATGAAGTATTTGGGTTTGTGCGAAAACATGAAAATGTATTAATATTAATCCATAAATGATTTCATTCGAATGTACACACAATTCCTGGATTGAATCGATACCCTCATCGCAGCTCACAGCTCGCAGCTATTGCAAAATCATATACACATGCTGAAGGACTTTCAAGTATACATATGTATGTATTTGCATGTACATAAATGTGTATGTGCATGAGAACACTTCATCTTGTGGCAAAAAGTAATCCGTAAGTGTGGCTTGAAGGACGTTGCCAGAAACAATTTACACAAAACCCTTTTTTTCGTTTAGGCCACCTTTCTTAACACATGTTCCACAAATATAATGAAAATATATGAAAAAAAAAAATCGTTGTTCATATGTCTGGTATTATTGTACATCCAAAACAATTGCGTTTTTAAATACAATTTACTTTGTATGTTTTAACTTATTTACGCGATTTCTTTCGAACAATTTGATTTGTGATAACCGAGTGTTTGTTAAAAATACACAAATTTCAAAACAGGAATCTTAGCACCAAAACATACATAAATATAACACATTTCGTATACTAGAACTCCAGTAAACAAATACATGCATACTCGGGTTCCACATGCTCCACATAGCGCCTGCGCAGAACTTAATGCACGTATCTTTGCTCTCGTCAGTGTTGCCAACTATCGATAGCCAAAATAATAGACCAGCTTGCATAGAAACAGACAGACAGACTCTTTTCTCTGATTTAGAATATAATAGACTATATACAGTATCTGAGACATATTCATTTAATTCGTTAATATAATATTAATATAAAAAGTTTAATTTGTGTTGCGTGTAAATGGGTATTTCTTATGCGTATATTATTATTTATTTACTTATTTTCTTAATGTCAATTAAAGCCTGTCGACACAAAAAAAAAAAAAAAATACAAAAATTAATAAATTGAATTAAATTAAAATAAAATAATTAAAATAAAATTTATAATTAAAAAATAATAAATAGTTATAATATTTCTGGGGCAATGAAATACAAAATTGTCCAACATTTGTTGCATGAATTGGGGAAAACCCAGAAAAAACCCAAACGGACCAAAACCGAATTAGTATGAATTAGTTAGTTAGTGACAAAATTTTAAATTGAGTTCTTAATAATAGAAATGGAAGACTCTAAATTGATTAGATGATAGACACTATTATAATCATTGCACAGTACTCGAAACGGTTCGTTAAGAGAGGGTGGGAAGATCTAACGAGACGGTCTAAAGGGAACAGAAAAACTAATTTGGCTCATAAACGCAACGGAAATAGATTTCACCGTTTAGTAATTTAACTACAAACATAACTCGACGATTAGTTAAGGAGGGAAGATTAATATGGAGCAGTATATCCGTGTATGGAGGGAGCACACCCTAGTCATAGCAACGAAGAGCACAGATTCCAATCTACTTTGATAAATATGATATTGCGGAAACCACACACAAGATTCATATTCCAGAAGTGGACGTACAAAAGAAGTGAAAAGTATCTTGGTCGTATAAGGGACGACCAAAACTAATTAAACCGTGAACTTTAAAGGCTTTGTTGACAGTCAATTTAATATGACTTTGGAATTTTAACTTATGCTTAAGAAGTAAACCCAAATCATGTATTTCAATCAGTCTATCAAGTGGCATCCCATCGAGCGTGTAACTAACAAACTGAGGAGAGCTACGATAAAATGACATGACCCTACCCATAGAGCAGTTCAAATGGAGTAAATTCATTTTACACCATGGCAAAAATGAAAGTAAGTCCGCCTGCAGTAAACATTGAGCTTATTAGTTAGTAAAGAATTTAAACTCGGAATTCTTTTAACATTAATTCTTAATATAGGTTTATATTATATATCATAATCACATCATTAGTGGAACAAATATATATATAATATATAAAACTTCTGGCCTAAGTTTTCCACCATGTCCCATATCATTTCAATATTTGTTCTTCTATGCAGATCAATGGTACAATATTTCCAAGGACTATTTAAAATCAGTCAGTCAGTATTCCATTTCAAGTACAGAAGTTTATTAGCGTGACAACGAGAAATATCAGTCCACACAGGACATGCTTTAAAAATTATAAATTGAAATATACACCTAAGTGGATATAGCTTATTATAGATCGGACTATTATAAAGGGTTATTAAATTCTGATATGGGAAGTTACTCTATCAATAGTGTACGCATTATGGTCCCTGAAGAGGATTTTCTTGCTTAAGTAAAAGCTATAATAAGTAAGAAATTATATTAGTGCATAGATTTTTACACTTAACAGCATTATTTTAAAAAATTAACTTAATGTTTGAATTTGCAGCTTCAGCCTTAGATATGATCAGCCTTGATTCTTTGTAAAATGCTGTCTGCAGATAACAGAATTTATTTCAAAAGGCAAAACAATGACTAATAATACTGTACTTTATGAATACAATTCAATACAGTAATCAAATTTTTATAAATAATGTAGCTAACTCATAGACTTGGATATGATGTATTAAAAATTTCCAATAATAATAGAATTAATGAAAATAAAACCAAAATTATGAAATCTTGGCGTTAACGAGATTTAAAAGCCCGCCTAGTTTCAAATTCAACACATTAGGGAGATAGTCCCCCAGGTTTGGTTCCCCTTTGCAAAGGTTTGTACTTGTTAAGAACCTTTAAATATTAATTCATTAAATCCGTATTCAACACTAAATCGCCCGAGCCTAAGCTATAATCCCACAACATTTGAGTGTGTTCGCGAATGCTGATGAACGTTCCTGTCTATGTGATACTGTGATATTCATAAAACATCTTTTTACTCCGATGCTGAAGGTATTCTTGAAGGATCGGCTTATAAAATTCATGGCCTTCTAAGTAATGAAAGTAGTCTGGCACCTCTGTCAGCGCTGAGGCTATAGTTTAGTATATAAATGTCTAAATTTAATCCGTCTTCATCGCAAAGTAATGAAATGTAGAAAATCAGTATATATTTTAATCGCTGTTGTGGCGTTGACGTCACAAGAAATATTTCACGTTTTAATTTTTCTAATTTCATGATATTAGCCAGCACTAAACGCTAAACTAATCGATAAAAGTATCAATCTACATCAACTCGAATCACAACAGATCAGAGACTAAAGTGGCGGACAAGCAAGTAAAGGGACACAGAAACCCCTAAGAAGATAATATCCATATTATGGTGTTGAATATACACAAACACGTTAGGTGTAAGCAAAATGACTTTTAGGCAGCTACAATTAAAAACGTTTTAGGCAAGCCATATCCATGGGGAAGAATGTACTTAAGAATACTTACCCAACATTGCGGTCTAAAAAGTCACCCATCTGAAGATATAGTCTGGCTTTAGACAGAAAAATATGTATGTCAAATTTATTGAAAGATTTAATAAGTTTGTAGGACATTCTTGTATTCGTGCAAGCATTAGGGTTGATAAAACAGCTATAGGCTCAGAAGTGGCACAAAAATAATAGTAAAGAATAATAACCCGATAATTTTCTGGTTCTCAATTTTACAGGGCTCCACTTAATCTGGTTGGAACTACAAAAAGATTAAAAATCCAAATGTTTTTTTAGGTTTTAGAAGTTACCAGCAACACGACTACGTCATTTCCAATTTTTATGTTTACATATTGATGCATATTACCAAATATTTATTTTTACCTAATTTTGAGTTTTACATGTGGTTGACAGCTAACGGAAACGCCGTAAAACAAATATTTGGGGTTCAATAAAACGAACAGGTGCGCCATATAAACCTAGGCCGGTAAAGACGATCTTGGACACTAGAGAGTGATAGTTGGATTATTTCCTTGTAAGCACAATTAATTTCATTCAAAATCTTCAAGTGTCAACAGTAAGGCGTATTTTATTGTTTTAATTGTTTCTATAAACTGTTATATACAAGTTTTATATAATTTTGAATTGAGATGTAAGAACTATGGTCTAGTTATTTTCACTTTCTTAATTTCTGTAATTGAGGTGCCGAAACTTTAACTTTTCCAGGGATGTTTCTTGCAAGAGCTTCTTCTTTTATGCTTTTAAGTAAATCCTTTTCGCGATTATTACAGGCTTTGTCCTTTGAAAAAATACTTAGTGCCAGTTTAGCAGCTTTTCCTCGTTTTCCTGTTCCGGGAGTCAGCTTCACCTTAAACCTGAAAATATTTGAGGTTACAAAATTAAGTAAAACTATTAAAAAATATAATCGACAGTGTTTCAGTAATTAATAACCCAATTATTTTGGGAAAAACCTTCTAGTATAGATATTTCAAAATAAGTTTGAAGTTCATTATATGAGAGTTACATATGTACAAGAGTTTACCACAATTTACACCCTCTCCCTTCCCCCTTCATAAATAAATCACATCGTAAATATTTTCTTTGTTAGTGTTTCTCACTCCCTTTTTATGTTTCTTACTGGATTCTGTATAAATCGTCGCATGGCCCGAGTCCAGAAAAGTGAACTTGTCTCCTCTCCTGGCTAGATCGCCAAAAACGTTATTTCTCGGAATACTGACATAACCTGGTCCTCAATATATAAATACACTATTGATCTTTCCTAGTTTATTAAAGTAACAAAAATATACAAATAAAGCCGATGATTGCCACATACGCCAACATAATCATTGCAGAAATCCTCAATTTTTAACAACTTAACAGCTCGACAACTTTCTGATAGGCTTGATTTGGAATTTCCGCTAAATAACCTCATGTAGTTTATATAGATTTTTACTTGTTTTGACTTGATTTAATACTTACTTATACTGCTGCAATGATTGATAAGGAGCAACAACTGGAATAGCAAATAACAGTTCATCATCATCAAGGGGCACTCCAGTGAGGGTATCCAGCAAATCGGCGTCAACGATAACGGGCGCATCGTCGTTTTCATCTATTTCAATTTGATTTTTGGCAATGGGTGCGTCCAAAGTTTCGACCGGATTTACTTTTAGAGTATTGGGTTTCTCATCTTCGTTGTCATTACTGGTGATCACTTTATCTTTTCCTGAAGAATTTAGAATCAGCATTCGCATTTTGCGTTCCTCTTCGTCTTGATCCCTGTATTTTGATTTCATCTTCTTCAATTTTGCCTTCTGGCCTCGTTTTACTTTGGAAGCATTTATAGGCTCCAGCATTTCAGTCACGCTAGCTTGGGATCTCTCAATATCTGCTTTATCCGAACGTACTTTAGCTTCTCTACGTTTTTTGTTTGTCGTTTGAGTCTTCTTGCGGGATGGTCCTGCTTCTATTATGACTGTTTCCTCTTCGTTTATTATATTATTTTCTTGTGAAATTTCAACAGTTTTAGGTTTTGAATCCTCACGCAATAACTCTGTTTTGACAGTAATTCGGCCGGTATCATGTTCAACCTTAACTTCGGTGTCTGGAAAGGCATTTGCATTCGCACAAACATTATCTGCCTCGTTAGATTCGCTTATTTCATCGAGTTCCGTATATGTAATTTCTGCTTGCTGAGCTTTATCATCTTCATCAGCCACATCGTCTGTATTTCTAATTTTCCGTTCTCCTGCATGGCGTTGGACGAAGCCTTCTTCAAGTTTGAAAAGCAAACTAAGGCCCATTATCAGATGACACGATGGAAGAAAATTTTTCTTTCCACGAATCATAAAACTGCCCGTACCCAAATATTCTCCACTCGGGGCCGTTTTGCTAACTTGGTTACTATAGACCCAATAGGAATTTGTGACGACTTTTGCGTCCCATGCCACGCTGTATGAAATCGCCATTGTGCCAGCTTCTAACAATGTTTTGGGTGGAATATCCCCCCCCGTTGCATTGCGAATTATAACACTTGATGCGCCTTGAATATCGGCATGAACATATATATCTTTTGGCCGCATGTACCTGTTTTGGAATACAAATTAAAAATTGGAATGAAAATATACGGAAAAAATGGATTTACCTTTTAACAATAAGTTCATTCTGCTGCGCATCCCGCCCTCCAATGACAAGATAGTTCTCTGAACTAACAAACCAATAAAACTTTTCAAACCAAAAGACTTTGCGTGCCTTGGCTATATTTGATATAGTGCGCACTTCTTTAAGAGTTTGTTGTGTTTTACGTTCAGCTGATTTCAGTGCTTTCTGCGATGCGTCGATGGTTTTCTTTTCCTTTAGAGCCGCTGAACGCTTTTGGTCATAATATCGGCGAGCATTAGCCCAAGCGGATAATGCCAAATCGACATCAACTATAATCGAATCATCGTCATTACACTCGTATGGATCCGTAAGGAGTAACGATATGTGATTTATTTCTAACTTTAATTGCTTTATTGAGCTGGCAACAACATCGCCATTTGTTTGAGCCTCTTTTACCAGCTCTTGTATGTCTGGCCACGACAATTGACTGGCGATGGCTGACTGAATTGCCAAAATGGCCTTATCCACCAAACTTTGATTAGACGTTATTAATTCGGCTTTCCTTTTATCAATATCTTGTAATTTATTTAGTTCGTCCAATCGCTTTGTGTGATCATTTTTGACATTAGAAAGCTTCTTGAGAGCTTCTCTCTCTTGCTGCAACGTTTTAATATCGATTTTTTGCGATTCTTGTGTTGAAAAAAATTCATCGACTGCTTCCATAAAGGTTTCATATTTTTTGAATGGCTGATCTTTATTCTGGACAAACAAGTATGGATGGAACTCAACATTTCGATAAAAATGTTCAGTATTTTCAGTATCCAATGGTTTTTCTTCTTTAACTTGAATTATATAGCCATTAGAGTTACCACTTTGTCCAATTTCTATTATATCACGCGCGTCCTGCAAATAAAAATCTGTATTAGTATTGGTCCCGCACTATCTACACTGCAAGATGATATGACGGAAATTATTATCGGCAAGTTATATATGGGTGGAGATTTCAGATTTAGATTTTTACATGATAATACTTAATTAATTAGCAATATTTTATTATATTGTATGTAATGTTAATGCCTTCTGCCGTTTATCTTCTTGGATATATGAGTATGAAATGTGATTGGGAAACTCAGTTTAAGGTATTCGGATATCCGCAAAGGATATAAAATGTATATAATATGTGAACATTAAATGTAAAAGTTAACCAATAAGTGAAATGTTTCTAAAAACTGTTTACAAATGTTTTTGAAGATAACTTGGAGGTCAATTGGGTAAAAAACAAAAATGGTTTCATACCGATTGAAAATATAACATAATTACAAGAAACCCAGCATCTGCCACTAATAAGAGTATTGAATACTGGAGTATGTTTTGAGTTTACCATTCTGCAAAAGAAAAGTTCAGAAATTGAATGTGTTCAGATTCCACATAGGCGCATGAATAATAAAATTTAATTCACTCAACCATTAAAAAACAAGAGAGAACGTTGCTGCGAAATACTTTTATACCATAAGCACTACCAGCTGATATCAGGTAAGAAAAACAGTACAAAAATGTGAGTGTTGTCAAGAAATACCGAGGAAGGAGATTTTTAGCGATCTACCGTCAAAGTTTGCCTTTAAAATTCAGGTAGATATAGACTTTTGTGAATTTTGCGGGAGTGGGAGTGGCCCAAAAAAATGTTGGAATAGTTTCTCAGTTACATTCGGCGGAGTGAGCGTGGCCATCAAGTGTTTTAATCGATCTCTTAGGGCCGTTACCGGCAACCTACTTTCAAAATTCGGCGACTTTAGCCTACAAATTGTGGAAAATATGCGCATTTAAGATTTGCAGGTCGATGTTCCTGGGGGCGACTGGTGTGGGTGTGGTCTGAAAATGTGTATGCCGATCATTGAATGAGGTTACCAGTGTCACCTTCTACGTGGGGTGAATCTATCTTCAAAATTGTGGGAGATATGCGGTTTTGTAGAAAATCAAAAAAACCGACTGTCGATTATGGTCGAAGGTGTGGGCGTGGCTATACAACATTTATCGATTCTCAAAGGCAACTACCAGTAATATCCATATCAAAAGTGCGAGGTCTGGCGGCGGATGCAGATTTTTGAAGAACATCGCCAAGGGTGTTATTGCGTTCATACAGACGGACGGACGGACAGACATAATAACGGACACTGCACAAAACCAATATATCCTAAATTCCTTCGGTATTAGAGTACAACTATTAATGTATGATCAAAAATAGCCTCACCAGTCTTCGGAGCAGGTTCCTTATAATCTACCTTTAATATTTGGTAACTTTAGCTCCAAGATTGGCGGATGATATATGATTTAGCGAATCTTTCGCCATTCGCGCAGTGATACCGGTAATATACCCTTCCAATTTTAAGAATTTGTGGATCGATTATGATGCTATAACTAAAATTTAATTAATACAAACCTTTATTGCCATCATTAGTTTTTGCAGATCGGTCACCAAGTCAAATAACTTAGTCTTACAAGTTTTTTGATTACGCTTATTTTTTTTCGGATTTTGTGTCTTCGTCATTTCTTCTTTCGCTGGTTCGTCAGCATCAGGAGCAGAATTCACAATGCAATTTTCTATTCCGTGTTCGACAAGGACGTGTTCAATTACAGCTGGGCCACAGTCTAAGATTGGCATTAAAATACTCCTCAAACTTTCACCACCTTTCGAATTCTCTATTCTTTGACGCATTGCGTCTTCAGACATGGTTTCACAGTTTCCCTCTTTTGCCCGGTCAATTGGATATTTTTCACGCATGGCAAAGCGAACACTTTCTCCTTCAGTGTGCGGTCGCAGGATGTAAAGTATGGTTTGCTCATAATCAGTTAAAATGACGTTTCCACGGTCATACAGCTCCAACAGAACATGATAAGCAGCTTCCCCAGTGCCAAACTGAAAATCAACAATTCTGTCCGCACCCAGTTGACGTACATGCTGAAGTCGCTTATTTTTCAAATGTTTTCTTAGCTTCATGCTGAAGCCCGACGGCGCTACATTTTTGGGCCACTCAAAGGCAGTTGTGTGAAATCGAGTGCCAGACTCAAGTAACAATGTCGCCTTCTCCGATGCTCCACTTCCATGAAGTCGGAATAGATACGTCTTGTTGTCAATGTCATATATTTGATTTACGCGTAAGCCGACAAGCCTATAATTAAAGTTATAAAGAATTAGTTATGCATTAATTTCATTTGAATAAATTAACTCTTGTTAAGAAATTAAAACTTTACAGTCGAACTTCGTTGTACTCTAATTTCCAGTGAAACACCATGAAAAGTAACACCCTTCACAAATCCCTCCCTTAGCGCTTAGTTATCAAAATTGGAAGAAAGATTACTAAGAGACTCCTCTAATATTTTCTTCGGCCTCTTCCACTCGCGCCGCCAAAATTCACAAAAATCTATATCTACCACAATTTTAAAGGCAAATTTAGAGGATAAATTACTAGGAACCTCTTGCAAAGACCGGAATTTCTTGACTGCACCAACCGCCTTCTGAGGCACCTGTTACCAGATGGTATGACTTATTGGTATCAGAGTATTTCTCAGTCGATTGCGCCCAACTGCAACTTTCTCTCTAGTTTGTTAGAAATTGCGAAAAAAAAAAAACATTTGTTTTATCACTCCATTTCAGGTGGTTTGTAGGTATACAGCTGTTTATTACTCGATCTTATTGCAATTTCGAATTGTTGATATTTGATAATTGATTACTAGTTATATTAGAAGGCTATATCTTTCAAAATGTGATATTTATTATCAGAAATCGAAGATGTTTCAATCAGTCGAAAGAAGGTTGATCTGCGTATGACTTAAAATCAAAATATCAAGTATTTATGCTATTACAGACGGATGGACTGACAGATCTGTTGAAAAATATATTCTCCGCAAGGAAATCTTTAACTTATAGCGAAATACCAAAAAATATACATTTTTGCAAAGTAATTGTCGGTTCAGCTGATTGTTTTTTGCAACTTTATCAAAAACTTTCAACGAAAAGTTGTCTGCCTAATTTAATGCACAGACTGTAATTTATGTTGTAAAATCAAGTTAAATCAACCTATTTAACGTACCTTTGAAGCTCGGCAACACCACATATAATATCGTAAGAATTAAACCGTGTTTTCATGGTTTATTGTTGATTGATTTACACAGTCGTCTCTTTTACCTAAAATAAAGATTAAATTTTCTTCAAATAATAATAACAATAAACAATAATATAATATTTCTTATATCTGCAGTATCTGCGTATAAAAAGATAACAGAAAAATAACAATATAAAAATTTTATATTTCTATGCATTTTGCACGAGGCAAGTGAGTGAGATTATGTCGTCCTTATAGATCACACAAATTACAAACTTGAAATTGAAAAAAAAAACAAATTTTTCCATTCTTTTGCAAATAAAATATTATTTTTTTTAATGCCGTAATACTTGCAAAGAAGCACTTAATTGCCTAAAGATGTCCGAAATTAGTTCATGTAAAGTAAATATCATATAATATATTATATATATATATATATATATATATATATATATATATATATATATATATATATATATATATATATATATATATATATATATATATATATATATATATATATATATTATATTATATTATATTATATTATATTATATTATATTATATTATATTATATTATTATATAGCCAAGCGGCGATCTCTTAGCGCCATGTCCTCGAACTCGTTATCCCCAACAAGATGTCGCAAATCTCTACACGAGATGGCAAATCAGCAAATCAAAAATTTTATTAGCCTAATGTGGGTGCCTGGGCACCAGAATATACACGGCAGCTGCAAAGCTGATGAGCTACCCAGTAAAGGCACTCTATTATCCTCCTCGCGGATCAGGAAGCTATATGTATACCTCTGACTACCTGCAAGCTTAAAATCACAGAAAAGAATAGATTCAAGTCAAATGACAAATGCCTAAATGACAACTATTTTCGAATAGCACGCCAAACCTGGTCCAATTTAAATAGTAAACTGGTTAGTGGATATTCATGCAAATAGGCTTCGAACACTTTTCAATGATTTCTATAGAAGCTGTAGAGACGAAAAGAATCTCCGGAACATTTTCGCTGTTTCTTGCACTTCCGAGGAAAAGATGCACCGTCCTACAAAGTCACTTCTTATCAAATCTAACACACTTAGAGAATAAATGCAAATGGCATGTTTACCTCCTGACTCATGATCACACGTTTCGGCCATTCGACCACCGCCAAACCTAACCTAAGGTTTGCAAAAAATAAGGACTGTAGTAGCGTTTGTAATGTGTTATATATACGTTTAGTGGTCTTTTTTTACGTACATTTTAAATAATACTTTTCGTTTTTTGTATACAAATAAAATCTTTTTATACTCTTTAACTAAAGATAGTCACCAAATTTGTAACTTGCTGGTAATCTCATTCAGAGATCGGCATATACATTTTTAGACCACGTGCTCCAAAACAGAAGTCAAGACAGTATTGTGTCACGGCAGGTCTTGGAGAAACACTTTTTTTACCAATACCACTGCACACTGGCTGATAGGTATTCATTCAACAAGAGGAAGGAGAGCAATCGGTTCATCACTCGCTATGTCACAGTCCGACTCTAAGCAGGAGAATACAAATTTCTAGGATCTCCTTTCTTCTCGCACTTATCTAAGCTCTCCGATATACATTCAAGACCACTGCAAAGTTTTTACAATTCCCGAGATGGCACAGTGTCCGTAATTTAGTTTTTCAGCAGGAAATAGCGGATAAAAAGAGGAAATAACCCATCAGGGGGAATGAAATTAAATTGCAAAGGTAAGGAGCATATTTGACCCTTGAATCTCCATCTCTCCATTACTTTATTGAGAATTTCGGACTACCTTTTGCAACTTTTTTCTTTAGAAGATGCAGGTATTGGATTTATGTCAGGGCTCTGAGGTAGTGTCCAATACTTTCCCATATATATATAAAAGATAAATCCTTATCATATTAGCCTTATGCATATAGTTATTGCTGATTGTATTTCAAATTTGATATATTGCCATTGGAGAATTGAGTATTCCTCTTTTCTGTCGAATGTCTCTTCCGAATTTGTAAATATCAAGAAGTATGCATATTGCAATTGCTCGATTTGTGTATCAAAATTCAAAATGGATAGTTTTTTAAGCCTTACTTTAGTATAATGTATCAGGTCTGCCGCTAGACTATGAATGGCCTTCATACATGTGTTGTTTCGCCGGCGGCTATCGAGAAACCACCATAAGTCAAAATGAAAGAGGGAAGAGCATCGAAATGGAAAAAGTAAATTATGGGAGAAAAATAATTATAATCGCCAAGAAAAAAGTGCACTTGAATCTGAAAAAAGGGCTTGATTACCGAGAGCAGCGAAATCTTGCGAGCAACCCTGCAATGTGTCAAGGCTATTGACGAACAGCTGTAAAAAACGTAAACGATCAATTTTAACGGGATCTGCTAAAAAAATATTTAACAAACCATTTGCAGTAGTTGTCAAAACACGTGCTTAACAGCTTAAATTGTCAAAACTTTTGGTTTTCGTTTTGGTTGAAATCGCTGAACGTTGTCTTAAGAACGCTAAATTGATGAATACGAAGAAAAAAAAGAAGTCATAAAATTAGCACTCATTCTTCTTGTTTTGTCATAACATGGACACTTCGGTCAACACTAAGAAAACATTTGATTTGCTCGGAAGAAACAGGCTAACAAAAATATTACTTTCGAACTGCATTTCAACCAAATGTGCAGTGGAAATATAAAGGCAACAATTGAGTGTTTTGGTGGCTAAGCTTTTACTTTTTTCTCCTGCAGTTCTCCGACACACACACATATATGTATATGCATATGTACACAGCATGGTGAAATTGACTTATCTGTTAACTGCTCACTAAAAAATAAACGTGTGTGTATAAATACATGCTCTACTTACTATATAGTGCTTCCACGACTATTGTTATTTCGATTAGAAATGTTCTATGCACATTCCGGCAGGGCTGCGAAATTAATAACGATATATGTACATATATATCGATATATAGTCAAATGAAATTAGTTTGCGTGACAGCTATGTTTTAACATCGCATCGAATATTATTGTGCGATATTTCAAGCTACTTAGAATTTATTTTTAATTTTGTTTTTAACAATAATTGGAAAGCTAACGCTTCTAACATATGTATATTATAGTCTTTAATATTTAAAGATTTCGAATGAGAAACATAAAACGCGAATCATACTCGTTGCTCTGCTCGTTAAAACTAGTTCCAGTGCCTAAAGAGATCAAAGTGAAAAATCCTTTGCGCGAATTTTTTGCCGCGTGTGAAATCGGTAAAATTTTTTTTTATTCAATCTTAGCTACTTTGCTAGTTATTAATGCTGATTGAATTTGTTGTGCCAACAAACGAATCAATTTCTAAAATTGAAAATTGAGGCTGAATTAATTTATTTTCATTTTACTTCTGTTTTCACTTGGGCAAGTAAATATAAAGACTCAATTATTTTTAAGCAAACTACATTCTAAATGGCAAAACGGTTCACAAACAAGAACTCAATGTCAAATCGCAAAACATAATCGTTGTTTTTAATTTTGTCCTCTCACAATTCGCGAACAACGGTTCAAAAGGTGTTATGATGGTGAATTTTGTACTTAAGTATTAATTATTATAAAAAATATAATAAAAAAATATCGAATATTGTGGATAAGTCTCTTCGAAGTTTTCGCGGGTATTCCTATTTAATTTTCAAAATTGATAGTATTTTGTTTGGAAAACACCGATGAATTGAGCTGACCAAATCAAGGGATATTAATGCGTCATTAAGTTCTAATTTCGATACATCGATGTTTATTTACATAAATCACTATCTCCGGTCTTAGAAGCTTTTCTTTAGCACAACCATTAAAAAATTGTTGAAAGAAACGAAAACGGAAGCTTAGAATTTTTTAAGAATTCTAATCTTGTCAACATTCCTCGTATAGTGTAATTGAAGAGCTATAATTTAGCTCGGCTTGTTCAAAAATAATAATAATAATATATGAGCATATAGTAGTTTTAATAAATGTACAAGTAATTAATTAACTATAGATAAATTGTTCTAATTTCCTTATTACTTTATTTTATAGGCAATATGGATAATGACGAAATGGTCAAACTTACATATCTCAGTAAATATATTTTATTTATTGAATATATAATAGAAAATGGAGAGAAAAACATTAAATTAAAACAAATTATTAAATGGATTGAATCAAACGCAAGGTATTTTTACATTTAAATAACTACATATAATCACTAAGCAGACAATACAATAGAGGCGGAAAATCGTCAAAAAAGTGATTCAGGTTTTTTTCTGAGTCTCTGAGACTGAGTCAAAAATTTTGCGGGCGTGTCCAGCAGCGAACACAGGTCATTATTTCACTTGACTTTCCTGCGACAACATCGCGGGTAAATGAAAATCCCAACCTTTTATAAGCCTGCGCGTATGGGTGAGAACAGGTACTCATTTCTCTTAGAGTCCAAGCTTAAATTTTACAAGCATATTTCTTTTGCTGGAAATGGACCCTTAGCTCTCATGGGTTTCATTAAGCACTGGGCAGGAAATGTTGCCTCTCCAATTTGATTAAAAAGTTAAAAAATTCCGTAATTAAAGGATACAATAAGAATATTTATATTCCGCTCTAGCGAGATTGTAGTACGACAAGAAGGTATATTAGGCGTAACGTGCTGGGTGCAAAGTATGTACTATCGTGGCATAAAACAAGCAGCCTTGATTTTGTTAGTAGTAAGATCGGGTAAAATGTAGGGATAGGGATGATGCTCAAGAAGCATTCATCTGTTTCTCAAGCCGAGCAGAGAGACATAAAAACGGCTCAGATGACTTATACTGTGCATTCCTTGAGACTATGATGCTGATGTCCCTAATTTCGTGCGCAGAACTAATATGTTAATTTGGAACAGTACATATCATTAGGAACACTACATGTGATTAGTCGAGCACTCTCGACTAACGCAATCTGGCTCGTTTAATATCTTTAATCTACCTGCCCGCGTAAGCACTGTTTTTTTGTGATTTCTTATATTAAAAACAAATCGGAAAATAAAGTAAATACGAGGTTAATTAAAAGAATCTAAAAGCTCATATTGTATCCTTTTTATAAAATTCTTAGAAATATTTTATTTTTGTTTTTAGGTTAAAAAGAAAAATGGCTGAGCAAATTGACAGAATCCTCATAATGCAATATAAAAAACTGCTGCGGAAAAATAAGGTGCGTATAAAAATATTAATTTCGACTACAATTCATAAATATGTCTCTCTTTTTACAGCCTTTGCCAGGATGGCTTCATGAGCTCTTCAACGATCAAGTTATTCAAATAGATTTGCTCAGTTCGGAAAATGAGGATGATGACGTTGCTTGTAATATGGAAAGCACAACAGAAATATCCCATCCAAAAAGGGATATTTTGACGATTGATAAAGAATTACCAAATATAAGTCTGGGACATCAACTAGATATGAGCCCAGTTGTGTTATTAAAAAAACTGACGCCGTCGAATGTGGAGCAAATAACAAATAATTCCGAGGGACTTCAAGGAAATAGTGCTGAACTCCTAGATGTCGTTTTAGTAAAATCAAATAATCAGTATGCGCCTGAGAGTGTGAATTATCGACCACCACCTAAAAGAAACAAAATTGATACTGTCTGGGTGTGCAACACCGACTCAAAAATGATGGAACGAAACACAAAGATTTGTATTATATGCAATTCTAAGCCGCTGAATATCACAAGGCATTTTATACATATGCATAGGACGGAATCCTATGTTTCTCGCTTGAGCGAAGAAACTCTAACACGTCTGCGTAATACCATCTCATATATACCTCTTGACGAGGTAAATGGTGGAGATATTGATAGTTTTGAGGCTGTCAAATTTACGGTAATTTGTCCGTTTTGCGACACTCGTGTAACGGATGTTTTTACGAATTTCTACAACCACTTTTCGTCCCATACGGGTGAATACGCTTTTTGCTGTAAATATTGCAAACTGAAAAGACCGTATTGCCAGGATATAATGGCTCACCAAATGCGGTCAAAAAAATGCTGTGATACAGGTGCTTTAACAATCTATTCATACAGCTCGAATCAAGGGATTATTCATATTTTTCGATGCACCTTATGCAATTTTGTACAACTGAATTCAGCAAACGTGGCAAAGCATATTGTTGATCATCATGGTACCCATTACGGAGAAAGCTCTATTGAAAAACTAGTTATTGCAAGAATTGATGTTGAAAATACGGAAGCTATTTCAACATCGCCAACCACATAAAAAAAGACACGCACGAAAATGAATCCTAAGTTAATCATGTTAAATGTTTTTGAAACTTTGATATTATTATAAAGCATAAATAAATAGGAATTAAAAGCCTAAGTTCCCATATGATTTACATATGATTTTGTGTAAATAAGATAAGTAAATATGAAATTATTGATGTGTCTATAGAATGCAAAGTTGAGAGTTAAAGTATTTAACAGTGTTGACGCTTATTGATAGCTTTATTTTGAATTAAAGGTAATTCAGGAACATTGTAATGTTTAATAGTATTATATATTGAGGGCAACGGTTTGCCTTTTATTCACAACACTTGGTTTTGTTCATAAGAAGTTTTAAAATCACCGCTAAACAAACGCCCTTTATCGAGAGAGAGAAACAGCGCTGTACAATGGTAAGTCAAACTTGACTTAACAGAGTGTGCATATATAATTGCAACTGACAATAAGCTATTCATATTATCCCGCAGGGCGCGAAAGCATACCAGCATACTCGGCTCGATAGAAGACTATTTCAACAGAATCCTTAACAGGCAGCAGGCACATCTGTTGACGGCTTCTTGCTAGTCCGCATTACGAAACGGTTGTAGTTCAGCCTTGCTAGGTCTGCTTCTGCTGGAGAGTCGCCAACATTTAGATCACTAGGATTTTCTGAAATTGAAACTAACGGCCGAGAATTATTACTCGCCGCATTTGGACAGTAAAGTGCTCGGAATTGTTCAAAAGCGCTTCTTTAGGATTTGATGCATTTGAATCGTCGGATTTCTTCGCAGCTTTGCCATCAGCTAACTCCTCATCGGTAGGCTCTGGGGCGGGTGTGGGTGCCTCGTCAAAAACTCCAGGTGTCAACAACGAATTTTGTCGCAGACATTAACCACCACCTGTGACTACCCAGTTATGGCAATTCTCTCGCAACAGCGGCAGTCCAGTACGAGCCTGATCTGCCCAACACACAGCAAAAAGCAAAGGCGGGCTGACTATTCATAATAGTAGATGTGGCCAAAGGCAAAATGTCCACCTTTTCCACCTTCAGTGCGAATACTAGTGCCCCAAAAACCAGTCACTAAAACTATGCTAGATGTGACGCTCTACGAGGGCCGAGTTAGCCGATGTCTTGGCAGGCTGGCGCAAAGAGCCATCTTAACCTCCTTATGTCGCAAATAGGGATACAAATTTACAAACGTGCGTGACCCGCACAATTGCAAAATGAAGGTGAATTATTAGTTTGGAAGGCTACAATGGCTATTTTACTGGTGTTTGAGTTTTGACTGTTTAGTTTTTTTTATAGGAGCTGAGGATATTTCGTCCATCATGCTTGAGTCCAAATATCCAGCGTTTATAGCAGCACGTCCAACAATTTCCAACAATTTCCTGCGAGTTTCCCAATGATTCCAGTGAACGCATATGCAAGTTGACCGTACCCGAAAATTCTCGAAATAATTTCCTTGATATGCGATTGATACACAAAACGCTTGTTCTTAAAACGTTTGCTTAGGATGTCTAGCGATGTATGATGATTTGTAACGATCGAACCGAATCTAAGGCTGATGCACACTATCATCGGAAGCGACTGTGGTTGTGGTCCTGCTCAGACTTAACGCTCGCACAAAATTGCTGCTAAATGCACAAAGTAAACGAAATAGCAAATGTATGGAGAAAGAACGGCTTCTATTTATGGCCAAAACACAGCTGCTTATGTATCGACACACAAAGATTCAATCGAATGTTTTAATTAACAATATTAATTTTTTGGTTTTCGAAATAACTTAATCCTTTGAATCTTAATCCACTTAACTCTTAGAATACAGAAAGTTTACTTTAAGGGATTTGCCTCTGTTGGAAATAACTGTATTTGCCTATGTACATCGCAGCTTGTCTTGCATTCCCGTATTGTAGTCTTAATCTGTTGTTGCCGGCGAGCAACGGTAATTGTCAGTTCCTTATGATCAAGACCTTCTTCGATGGTATGTTTAAGCGACTTACATGAAGTAAGAGTCAGTCGCTTTTGGTCGCTTGTATCGCGTAGTATAAGTCGCATGAAGCGGACATATATTCTGTATTAAATACAAAACTCTCAATAAATATAAACCCCAAGTTATAACACGGACAATTCAGCTCGTAGAAAATACAATGAATTGTTCTGAGGATTTCTTGTAGACGGTGAATGAGAGCATTCTGGACTTTTTTGGACAAGTGTAATAACTGTGTGGTTAAAGAAAATGAATATCTCAATGAGTTCGATCGAGAAGTTGGACGACCAGAATTATAGTGCCTGGGTCGTTCAGAGCTATGTGCGGTCGTGTCGTGAAAAACGAAAATGACAGTGCTGAGCAAAAGGCAATATTTGATGCAAGAGACGAAAAGGCTCTGGCAAGCATAATGCTTTGCATAAAGGCATCCCAAATAAATAATGTGAAGAATTGCCAAATATCAGCAAGTTCCTGGAACACCCTGAAAGAAATAACTTTGGTAAAGCAGTTGTTACAGCTAAGATTGGTAGAGTTGGGTAGTATGGCAGAGCACATACATAAGTTTGCAGACTTAGTGGAAAGACTAAGCGAGATCGGCTTTATAATGGACGAAGAGTGTTAGTCTATATTGTTGTTGTCGAGTTTGTCGGATGGATACTCGTGACACGTTGCCGTCGCTAAGTGTGATAAAAATGAAGTTACTCGAAGAGAGTGAACGGCGTAGATATAATTAAGAGAGCACAAAGAGAAAATCGAATCGAACGCTGGTAGAAATGGCACGAAGTATGATTTTGCATGCTGGTCTCAAGGAGGATTTCTGGGCAGAAGCTATAAATACGGCGGCTTATCTGCGAAATCGCTCGGAGACATCTACGCTGGAGGATATGACACCATATGAGTCATGGTCAGGCAAAAAAACCGTCACCTAAAAGCTTTCGGTACAAAGGCTATCGTACTTAACAAAAAATACAATACGAAATTCCTACCAAAAGGTGAGATGAGAGTACTAGTTGGTTACTCTGCAACAGCTAAGGCATACCGAAAGTATAATCCCGATTCACGAAAAGTAATCGAAGCAAGAGATGTGATATTTCTTGAATGTGAAATGACAGATGACAGCGTAAAGGACAGAATCTCGTTGTGTAATAATGATGTTACACTGATCATGATGAATGCCGAAGATGAGCCTGTAAGTCTTCATACTGATGATCAAATTGAGGATCGCGAAAATTCCGAACGAGATGACGAGGTGCCATATCCATATCTACAGATGGAGACATTGGTGACGACGAGGAAATCGAGTCAAGCGAGGCACCGGGCAAAAGAGGTCCTGGAAGGCCAAAGAAAGTACGCACCGGGCAGTCAGGACGCCCTCGAAAGCACTGCAACATTTTGAATGTTATGACAACGGATGACGTAGCTGCACCTGCTAGCGTCAATGCAGCCTTGAGTTCTGATCATGCCAGTGAATGGAGGGCATCGATGCAGAAGGAGATGGACAGTCTACACGAAAACAAAACTTGGGAGTTGATTGATCTACCGAAGGGAGAGAAGGCAATTGGCTGTAAATGGGTATTTGCAGTGAAGCGTAACGAACATGGCAAAGTAGTACGCTTGAAGTCTCGACTAGTGGCAAAAGGATGCGCCCAACAATATGGCGTAAATTACAATGAGACGTTCTCCCTGTGGCCAGATATTCAACAATCAGATTACTTATTGCTCTAGCGGTAGAAAATGGTATGAATATGCATCAGATTGACGTGCCTTCTGCTTATCTCAGCAGTGAGCTGCGAGATGTGGTTTATATGCGACAACCAGAGGGATTTGCTAACCAAGATTTCCCTAACCGAGTTCTAAAACTCAAGAAGTCCCTGTACGGCTTTAAGCAGAGCGGCCGTGAGTGGAAGGAGAAACGAAACACCGTGCTAATTAGAATTGGTTGCACTCTCTGCCCCAGCGAGCCATGTTTGTACATACGTCGTGAAGCCAGCAAACTGAATGTGATAGTCGTATATGTCGACGATCTTTCTGTGGCCAGCACAAGCAAAGAAGATCTGAATTGAAGGAACGCATATCACAGGAGTTCGGCGTAGTCGATGGCGGGCAATTGAAGCATTTCCTAGGTATGGAAATTGATCGTGAAGGTGAAACAGGCAGCGTTACTGTGGGTCATAAGTACTACATTGAGAAGAAGTAGACAAACTGCGTTGAAGGAGTTTTGAAAATAACTGTATTTGCCTGTGTACACCGCAGCTTGTCTTGCATTCCCGTCTTGTAGTCTTAATCTGTTGTTGCCGGTGAGCAACGGTAATTGTCAGTTCCTTATGATCAAGACCTTCTTCGATGGTATGTTTAAGCGACTTACATGAAGTAAGAGTCAGTCGCATTTGGTTGCTTGAATCGCGTAGTATAAGTCGCAAGAAGCGGACATATATTCTGTATTACATACAAAACTCTGAATAAATATAAACCCCAAGTTATAATAGCCTCTAAGACTGTTCAAGTCACTTTCCAGGTACCCCAAGGAAGTTCCCTTGGTTCCTGAATATGAATCTTAATTGTAACTGTATCAAATGGTTAATGAATATGAACATTATTTTCTTAGTTTGAACTCATGGGCCTTAAGACTTAATTTGAGCCATGGTATACCAGCTTTTAAGACAACCAGCTGGTATACCATGGCAATTTTTTTTTCAATTACTGATCATGACTTTGTGTAATTTGCAGCAATAATACCCTAGTGGGGAGTTTCAATCCCATCTCAACCTATGCAAATCCTTGAGTTAGCCTCTTATATATTACGGATAAGTTTTGGTAACAAAGAATTCGCTAATGCTGGCCCATTGGTTACCTTGCCCATTTTGAACTTTGGACTCACCTTTTATAATTACACAATGGACTGTTTTAGAAATTGTCGTCGGAGAAACACTGACGAGCTCACCACATTGAGTTTCATTTTTGGAACGTGGAAATAGCTAGTAACCGTAATGGGCATTTCATACATGGAACGTATGGGATTTTTCCAACGATCTGAAGCACCGGCAACATTTATCACAGCTGTTAAAATTATTGCGCAAAATAATAAGTGATAAATGGACTTTATTGTCGATGTTCTTAATCTGTTGAATACATGACAAAAATACTAAATGCAATGAAATCAAATGGGAATATCTCCTGGATATGCTTCGAAAGTTTTTGTGTAAATCCAGACACAATTTTAATATAGCACTTCATTTAAAATAAACTGTTGTAGAAAATTCAATGTGATTTCAAAATATGTAACGTAAATTTGCGTCATAAATAAATAAATTATTAATAGTTGGTGGAGACCAAATTGTATTTAATTTTTCATCTATTCAATTCATTGCAATTAGAATTTACTAACATAGCACATTTGTTGGAATATAAGCAACAGTTAGTCGACTTCGATTAATAATCGTCGACGAAACTTGGCTCCGATATTTGTCGATAAGAAAAATCCGATGATAACTTGACGCACATGCTTGTTGCTGAAGTCCGCTCAATAAACCCAGTTCGAGAACTGGTTGCTGGGCAGATTCAAGTGAAGTGTGATAGGAAAATTTAATCTTTCTGTAAGATTGTCATCTTCAAGGCAACGTTTCTCATTTTATTTATTTGACAAAATGGAGAGTTCGGCCAATAATCGCTATGAACTATTATTTATGGACGATGACGCAGGTGGTGGTGCCCCAATTCTTCCCGACAAAAAGAAAACGGATCAGAGCGTAAAAAAGAGCGAAAAGGAAAACAAGTCGAACCCAGTTAGCAATAATAAGAATAAGAACAATGCTCAGACCAAAACAGCAAATGCGAATTCCGCCCATAAACGAAATGGCGCTTCGAATACCATCAAAGAAATGCGCCCACGAAATAATCGCGTTAATGTGACACAGAATAATTCTTCCTTTGCACCCGAATACAACACTGAACTTCCACAACGCCAATACAAAGATCGCGACAACAAGTTCCCAGCACGTTTTCGGGCCAACGAAAAATTCGGAAAACGGGAATTTGACCGGCAATCTGGCTCTGATAAAACAGGTAAATAAATAAATATTTAGTATATATATTTTATATTTAGTACATTATTGAAAGATTCCAGTTTTCTAAGATATTTGAAGTTGTTGCAAAAGGTTTATTTTAATAGTATCTTAAATGTTATTTTTTTCTTATATATTACACAAAGAAGAATTTTGATTTTATGCATCGATTTCGATACTTAGGAAAGTGTTGTAAAAGCACTTAGGCTGTTCACTCGGCATAGGCTTTGTTTCTTATGAGAGAAACACGTTTTCGTACCCTTTTTTTGTGCACATCTTCGGCTGATTATGAGAACGTTCAAGCACGAATAATACTCGAAAAGGGAACCATTTTGCATGATGACCGTCGCACTTGAGAGCCAAAGAATTATCTAAAAAATACCAAAAGGTCGTATTTTTAAATTAGGAAAACACTTGTGCTTTGTTTACAAATTATTTGGCTGGCTTTTATTTGCTGACAAAAAAAAAATAGTTGGCGGGATTAGATTGTGCACAAGAGAATTGTAATACAAAATTTACATTTGAATTTATTGATTTAAGCCAAGTTTACAGATTCCGCTGCGAAATATTTCTGTTTTTTTTTTTAATGGAGGTTTTTATTTTCGATGACTGAATTGCATTATTCATTATTTGGTCTGAAAATAGGTTTTGGAATGCAAAATTGAAAGGAAATCTGAATATTTTATTTTTATTAATTTTTTAATTAGAACTAATTTCGTATAAATACCTTTTAGGGTCTTCGAATGCAAAAATCGAAAAAAAAAAGTACCAACTTCACTCCGCTCTCCTGTAATTGAATAATAATGTTGCTTGATTTTCGGGAAATGTGAACGTTATTATTTAGAGTATGTATGAGAGTCGGAATTGATCTTGATTCATGACAAAAGTTGCAGAAAAAATATCGAAAATCCATCTCGAGTTCGACGCTAATATGTAAAATTGTTTTTTTTTTTATTATTATTATTTATTTAATGTCGACTAATGACAGTCGACACAAACAAATACAAAATGTAAAAAAAAAGATTAAATTAAATTAAAAATAATGGGGTATTTAAATGCAGAATCTTGAAACATTTGCTGCATTGATGGGGGAAACGCATTTTAATTTATGTGTTGAGCATTTAAAACATGGTTTTGGTTAGAATTGACTCATTGATAAACTTTTTTCTTTTTTGCTTTTGCAGGAATTAAACCAATCGATAAACGTGATGGCGCTGGCGCACACAACTGGGGCTCTGCCAAGCAGGACATCGAGGACCATAAGGCTGAGGGCGCCACCGTTCCTGGAACAGACAAAGAAGAGTCTGCGAATAATGAGCAATCTGGTGAAGCTACAAATAATTTGGTGGAAGATGAGGAGGCAAAGCAAATGACTCTGGATGAATGGAAGGCTCTTAAGGATCAGCGCGCCAAGCCCAATTACAATCTGCGAAAAGCCGGCGAAGGTGTAGACAACTCCGAATGGAAAAAGATGATCGTATTGAGCAAAAAGAAGGGCATTGGCACTGAAGATGATGACGAAGAACTCGAGTTCGACGCCTCAATGTATCCGCAGCGTGTTGGTCGTCTGCAGCGCATTGTCGATATCCAATTCAATTTCAATGATGGTCGCAAATCGGGATTCCGCAAAGGGATGCGTGGTCCTCCGGCTCGCGGTGACCACTATCATCGCCAGGAAACGGCGCCCAACAACAACAATGGATTTGAAAAGATGACTTCCTATAATAAATTCGGAGAGAAACATCGTTCGGGATTGAAAACACTCAAAGTCGATGATGAAATTCAATTTCCCACTTTGGCCTAAGGCACTTTTACAGCCAGATCAGATATTTTCACCTAAATATTTTAACATATAATCTTAAGAAATTCATGTTAAGGAGGGTTAATCACGCTGCTTGGCATTTATATATGTAACATGTTGTGCTTAGCCAACCAAAGTCCTTAGGATTATATGGATGACTTTTGAATTTTGTACTGAATTTACGCATTTAAATACGCAATTGAAAATAGTATAAAATGTTGAAATAAATATACTATATTTAAATACTGAAATCTATTCTCTTCTCCCTATCTGCAAACACTATAACATATTGTCTCAACTCTAACGGACAGTCTACAAAATTTCCTACCCGACGACCCCATAAGACATATACACTATATATATATATATATTCTTGACCAGTGTCACTAGCCGTGTCGATTATCATAGTCATAGTTCCTTTCATAATAGCTTCGATTCCTTTGAACCCCGTCAAATTAGTCAAAATATACGATATACCCCATACGAGCAAAACAAAAAAAAAACTGCAAAAAGCTTTCTGACTAAAAAAGAACATGTAAATTGACTATTGAAGAAATGAAGGAACATGACTTATATTTTATTTATTTCTAATGAGGTTTGTTCAACCAAATACTATACGTAGTGTAAACATATATATGTCTATATATAACAAAATGTTTAAATTGGAGTGCTAAGTCCGCCAGGGGACTAGAAAATCGATAAGGTCGACAATCGCAAATAGATAAGACCACATATCTCCCACAATTTTAACGCTTCAGTCACCAAATTTGGTTGGTAGGTTGTTGGCGATGTCCTTCAAAAATTGTCATATACCACGCCCACCTCCGCGGCCCCCGAGTCTCCCGCCCCTGAAAATTTGAAGTGGCTATATCTTCCACAGTTTTTGAGTTAGAGCCATCAAATTTGGTAAGTATATTATTGGTTGCCGCCTTTAAGAATGGATATAAAAATTGTATGGCCATGCCCATAATCGCCGAAGCTGATATTTCACAAAAATTACTAGGTAGATAGATTAGACTCTGAAGACCCTTGCAACACCTTAATAAACCTCAAAGTTATTTTCGGAGATAGAAGTACATTTTATTATTAGAGCTTATGCAATTCACTAGTCTTTTCTAAATAACGTGCTTGACATAAATATTGCTCCTAACATCTTTTATGAGATTTGCATTCCTAAATGGTTGTATTGCTTTGTCTACAGCGAAGTCAAACTTTTCTTCAAAATTGTTAATGCTCTTTGTGAGCGAAAGTTTACTCGGGATCTTACGCATTTCTATAATTCATTCAATTCAAAACGCAAATCGACAAGTTTGCCTTCTGCGTTCTCTCTTTTCTCCTGGGCTTCACAACACGGTGTACTTTGTACCTCATCCATTGCTGAAGCTTTTCAATCTATTCCTCTGCAGTCTTAATCTGTTTGGAAGGAATTATTTATTATTTCTTTTCACAAAATTGTGGGAAGTTTGGCAAGTTTTAACCAACAACCCAATATGAGTTCATTAAGAAACGATATATCCCTTCCAAATTGTTTGAATGATGCAAACTGATGTCATTTACACAGACTTCAGTAAAGCATTCGATTCCCTCAACCTTGACTTTCTGCTTTACAAGCTTGTTTAGGATTACACACATATTTTGTGCCCTGGATATCGACTTATTCCAAGAGTGTCACTTCAGTAGACTACCTCGAAAAGGGTTCCCGTTACTTCGGGTACCTCAAGGTGGTCACGTTGGCCCTTATTTTTTAACCCTTTTTTTTGACATCCCGTCAATCCTATCATATTCACATACACTGATGATGTGATACTTATCCTCTAGTACACCGATCATCTTACTCATCTCCAAGATGAGTATCTTAACTGTTCATAATTGATGTTTATGCATGTTGTTGCAACAGACCCCATATATCCACTTATACGATTGGCAATCTCAATGGAAAAATATGAATGACGTCAATGGTGTTTTCAGCTGACCAGTAAAAATACTCCGTCTGCTTAGTCTATCCAATCCATTGGATATCGTGCTCCAGCCGGCTTCTTCTTAATCATCTGTCAACACTTCTCAGTTTTGTGCGAGTGGGCTGCTTCTGGGTTTCCCCCAATTCTTGCAAGAAACATTGCACCATTTTACAACTGAATACTTAAAAATGTATTTATTATTTCCATATCTTAGTTCTTTTTTCCTTTATTTTATGTTTCAATTTAAATTTGTATTTATTAATTTTTTTTACATAAACTACGGATTGTTTTTAATCCACATTAACAAAATAATCAAATTCTAAATCAGAGTGCATTTTCAATTCAAATAATAATTATAATTTTATAATTTTTGTAAAACTAATTAACTTTTGTAAATTAATGTGATTTATTGTTCAATTTCCCTTTTAATCTTAGTTAAAAACTCATTTATCCTATCCGTCAAGTAAACTTCTTTTTTTGGCTTTTTAAGACAAGTTTTCTCCGAATCCGTGCCAAATTGTACCTATAAAATAAATTCAACAACTTATTAGAAATAATTATAATTTAAAAACATTAGTAGTACTCACAAAATGTTTATATTCTGGAGATGTGGATTCTATTAATAAAATTCTATCTTCTATGTTCTTAATGCGATTTAAAATATTGTCATCATCGGGGCTAACGCACATGTAAGCTTCTATATTTCGAAGACGTGAATTTCCCAGTTTGTATTCAATTAAATCGTCACAATCGGATTGCGGTGTCATTAGCTTATTTAATTGGAGTGAATAGTTCGGCCGCACTTGTGGCCCACAGCAGTTATTCGCGCGTCGTACTATTAAGTATAGAATTAGACACGTTTATTATTTATTAGCATTATTATTTATTATTTTACAGATTTACCTTTTAGGTGTCCACTTGATTGCTGTTGTTTTACAAGAAAACTTTGAGTACGGGCACATGAAAACGTTGTGGTTTCTTCGCAAGGGATTTGGCTTGACTGCTGCTTGAAATCATTTATATTGTGCAGATTTATTTCATCTCGTTTCCGTTTCAAGAAACATTTGACACGCTTATTCAAATCGCTGTCATTGACGCGGATTTGTACTAATTTATCTGGAATATTTTCTATTGTCTGTTTAATTTTGCAAGAGGAAAAATCGAATGTCCTCAAAGATGCTTTAGAATATTCTGCTGTATAATTGAAAGAAAAAAGTTAAAACGCAATCCACTTTTTGTTGTTGTTGTAATTATTTCACTATTTGTGTACATGGTAGAATTTTATAAGTTCTTACGCGGCCAGGGGCACTCCATATTTTCCTTCCACTCTCCAATTGTGTCGTTTTCATATATCTCCTTTTTCCAGATGGGGACGCGTGATTTCAGTTGCTCTACGGCAAAAGTAACGGATTCCAAGGCGGCTGCGCGATGTGGCGCAGATGTGGCAATAACAACGCTCGCTTCCTTGACAGGAACTGTTCCGAGACGATGGTATATAGCAATATGTTTAAGATCGGGCCAACGGGCTCGCAGCTGAGAGCAGATTTTACTCATCTCCTTGAGGGCCATTTTCTCATACGATTCGTATTCCAAGGATATAACCTATTGAAATACATAAATATGTTTATGTTTACAATTTGGAAGTATAAACCAATTTCACAAATAATAACTCGAAAAACTGAAATTAATATGTTCATAAATGTTTATATAGTAATGTTTACATTTACAATTTATAAGCATAAATCAATTTCACAAATAAACGTAATCAAAAATAATAATCTTACTTTTTTCCCATCGAAGTTGTCACGTGTTGTTCCCACAAAAACCGAAGAAGCGCCGCAACTCTCATCGATCAACAGGTTATGAATGTGATTGATGTCAATTTGGCTGTTAACTAATTGAATGTGATCCATTTTTGGTGGTTATCCGCCACTTATTGGTGGAATTACGGCAATCTCGTCTCCTTGTTGTAATATAATCTCAGCGTTTAGATCTTCAATGTAGGTTTCGTTGTGAGCTAGAATCAAGTTTTGACTTATTGAACTCAAGTTGAATTTATCTATCAATTGATTTAGTAAATTTCTTGCTTTAACGACACCTTCAACGGCAAATTCGGCGCGTGAAGTTTTTGCTAGCTCGCGACTTTTTGCAAAAAATAATATGTTAATATTGACAAACAACGATTTTCGTTCTACGCTCATTTTTTATGATGCGCCGTAGTGATCCGGATCGCTAAACGAAGTTCGTTTGAACTTATCTTCAACCAGACCGGCTGCAACCTATGCGTCCCTGGTTTTCGTTCATTTCAAAAGCACGACAAGCTAGCATCATTGAATTATAGTCTAGAAATTGAGTATAGAATTTGAATGCATAAAATATATTTTTAATTAAATAAGTTTAGAATTGTATTATTAATATATTAATATCTATAATATTAAATATTAAACAATGTATTAACTTATTTTTAATATCAAATATTTTGTTCAACTTCAATAATTTAATTCAGAGATAATGCGTCAATAAAATCAGAATATATAGTTACATTCAAAACATGAATTTAATGAAAAATTGTTAAAAAAAAAGAAAAAAACAATGCCGCTTCTAATATCAACTGTCATCTGTTTATATTAAAAAGCAGCTCAAAGAATAGTAAGAATTGTTTTTACCTTGTGCAATAGTTGCGCACTTACTCAGCATATCGCTTTCACTTATTAACATTTAATTACACTTAAAAATCCATTTTTTTTATCAGCGTTTCACATCGTTGAAAAAATCTCATGCATTCCGCTTGGTGATTACGCATTTCAGAGCAAAAACTTATCGATAAATTTAAGGAAAACATCGATAATGAATGAATGGCGAAAAACTATTGAAACTATTGTTTGTGTTGCTGCTAACAGCCCAGCTCTATTCTGTCGTTGTCATCGAAATTTTCAGTCTGTCTTCGTCCTAGTGCACATAGCAAATTTAAGTTATTGCAAATTTCTTTGGAAATTGAATTCTAAGCTGAACTGTTTTGCATACATTTTTAACAGTTACAACGCAAATAGAGAGAAAACAATTTTCTACGTACTTAATATATGTAAGGTATGTTTCTAATGCACACATGTGTAAACAGGCATATATATATGGATATATATATATACGAATGTATATTGAATGTATATATGCAATATTCATTGTTGGGAACTTCACCTTAGGAACATTAACTGCCTTATTGGACCGTGTACAGTGGTTGGAGTCTGCTAGTAGCAGAAAGTTAACATATATTACAACAAAAACATTGGTAAGTTGCCACAAAATTCCTATTGCAATCGCCGTTAATCGAATTGAAAACATAACTGTTTCAACTCTAACATGTGCACTTTTACTTATATGTACCCCATTTACACACATCACATATATGTCAGCGTACGTGTAAACAGGAAAAATCAATGCGTTTTGTATGACATCATGCTAAGTGCGTTCTGAACCGGCGCTTCAAAATTTTTTTTGTTTTTTTTTTTTGGTGCATAGCAACATTGTTAAATAGTTTATCGCAATTAATATTCAACATACATTTGTTTTTTTTTTGTAACTATGCAATTTCCTATAACGAATGTATTTTGAGAAAGGTGTGTGTATGAAATACATTTCTATGCAAGTGCTAAACCGGCATAAAGCATCTTCGACATATATATATATATATCTGCCACATATTTGCATCAACATCTATCTTTGGTGAAAATGTCAGTCCAGGATTTCCATCAGTTCTGTGCTGGAAACCTTTCAGTAGGGCTACCTTCGAATGGGTTTTCGATCGATACTTTCGATAACATCGAATAATTGGTAAAACATAGAATAGCCTTTTGCCAACCAACTGAAATGATATTAAGACGATCATCATTTAGTGAGTATTTACAGCTTTGATTGTTTGTAAATATATAAAATGCTTATTTTGAGATAAAATGTTCATAATTTTTAAATATTTATATAACAAATAAATTGAGTTTTAAAATGTATACAAATTGGGCCGGTCAAATTAATAGTAGTGAAGTTTTCTCAGCTTTCTTTCTGGAGCTGAATGTTTCGAAACTAGATATGGTATCATTAGTTTTAATGTTATTGTATCATAAGAGAATATGATGATGATGGCAAATGACGTTTATTTAGGTGCAGGCTTAATTTAGGCTTTTCGCAGCATGTTTTTTATTCTCTTACGATGTGTCCTTTTTTATATTGGACCTCTGCCTACTGGCTGATTGTTTTTAGAATGCCTGACATTCGTTTCAAATCTCAATACCACAATTCCACCAACATTTCAAACAGTTGCATTCCAGACTAGATTGCATCTTGCATTTTTCTAAATGACAAAATAAAACGATCGATATTTTTATTTTTTCTGATAAGGCACGAATATTTCATTTCGAATAATTTTCGTTAAGAAACCAACTTCATTTTATTTATTTACTTAATGTGGACTAAAAACTGTTCACAAATTCAACAAAAAAATTGGTAAAAATATAAATTTTCAAATTAAATTTAAAATTAAAATTAATATAACTGAAATAAAATGTAAAGTAAATAATTAAATAAAAATTAAAAAATAATATGATTTTCCTCCAGATTGAGGCAATTTAAAGCGGTGTCTCGCTTTACAGCAGTTCAATGTTTGCCACGCCCATTTTTATTCCCAATCAAGTTAATTTTTTATTGTTTACCTCAACTTGAAATTTTTCAGAAATTGTAGATCATTTTTTTTATTTTTATTTTAATAATACATTGAAATTAATGTAATTTATTTTTATATTTGTGTTCTTTTCTGTGTCCACTGATTTTGGTCGACATTAAATAAATTAAAAATAAAAATAAAAAGTAGTTGTTATGCTTATGCAGATATACATATGTGTACTTTCTGGTGTCGGAGGTGCTTCTATATAAAGCTGCGAAAAAATAGCACCACAATGACATATTTTATTGCTGATAAAAAAACAAAACATTTTACAATTTTTTCAAATAATTATTTTTTTTTAATATTGTTTAGTGTTCCCAATATACATTAAAAGTTGAACTGCTCCTTGAATTCTTTTCATATACATATATATATACAAATATATATATATATATATTTCTATATTGACATATTTTAATTTGAAGGGAAAAGCAGTAAAATGAAGCGAAAAAAATAATAACACCACTCCAAAATTATTCGTTGAAAAATTCCATATATAAGTTGGTTGATATTTAAAGAAAAAGCGGAATAAAATAACCGAAAACGATCCCAGGACCAGTTTTATGTCGAAAAGAGTAAAATGAATCTTATATACTATAACTAAGCTAAAAAATTACTTCATTATAAATGCGACAGCGCAAATAGTTCGCTTATACCTCAGAGAACTTCATTTAAAAGCGTGCAGCCCAAGAAATGTTCCATTCCTAAGCGCAAAACATATATGCCTGCACAGACACCTAAGCTCAATTAAATTGAAAATCTGTGGTCTGAGGTGAAAGGTGCATTTTCTACTTCTCAGCCAACCAACAACGCATAACTTTAGAGTGTCATTAGGAAATTTTAGAACGAAATTCCTCTATAGATATGTCAGGTCTTGTTTAACTCAATGCCAATCTAAGGCACGCAAATAAAAATCTAAATATAAATGTTAGCTGTAAGTAAATAAGTTGTTATTTATTTCTCATTTTCACAATTGTTAGAGCACATTTTAAAAGTGGTGCTATTTTTATTTTTCGTTCATTTTTCATAAATTTTTTCTTATACAGGTTGAAAACTGTGAATATTATTTTTCTTCTGTCTTTTTTTTAAGAGTCTTCCACTTTTAAAATCGTATTCATGAGTTCATTAAGCTTGCGAATGTAATAAATACACATTTGTAAAAATTTCTTGTGAGGGTGGTCCTGTTATTTTTTCCCAGCTGTATAATTATAATTTTTGATCATCATAAACAGCCGGTTCTGTCCGTCTGTAAGAGCTAGAAAAACAAATTTAAAATATAACTTATCTTACATCATAAGCATATAAAATATATTGAATCATTTTAAGGATTCCCGTGATAATCTACAATCAATTTAGCTCATATCTAAGACAAAAATTTGATAATGTTCAAATATATTTCACCTTGCCTACCCTCGATCCACCGAAATTGGAGGCACATATACATATCGGCGTGAGTCTCTTTGGTGATCAAGAATTTATACCTTATAGGGTCGGATATGATGTAGAATCTCTAGTAACAGTGGTTTTATGATAATAATATGTATATGGTCGCCTTTGCTTAAATTTTTCTCTAACTCGAATTTAATAAGTCCATTTAATTTGCTTGTGGCATTTCGAGACAGAGAAGTTGTGTGTGCTTTCTTTATTAATTGCTTTATTTGTTTTATAAAAGTATTTTTTCCTTCAATTTTATAGCAATACAAAAGCCACAATAAAAATCAATTTATGTGAACAAATGTAATTGATATATATTATTATATATATATATAATATATCAGCCGACCATATGAAGAAGTAAGAATAGTTTATTTTATGCTATGTACCGCTTAATGTTGAAAATGGCCACAAAAAATAAAAAAAATAAAGAAATGTTTGATAGAACTGAATTTTCAGCATTACTACCAACATTGTCATTAAAAGAGGTCATGAAACTGAAATTTAGAGTTGACATCACAAGCAAATGGGAAGCGATGGCTATTTCTGAAGACCAAATTAAAAAAAAGTATTTATGTAAAGTTTGCGAGGTGTTTCAATATGGCGATAAAAATCTGATTCAGCATCTTTCTGGAAAGAAACATTTTTGTATGATGGAATCGGTGACGCAAATTTATTTGCCAAAGGAAACTGGCAATAAAATTGCAACAAAAATTAGCAAACCTTTGAAAAAACAAACAAATACTCCAAGTGTGGATACAAAAGACAGAGAAAAACCAACAGAAATCGTCGGTGATTTAAAGAAAAAAACATTGCCTACTATTCAGCCAAATAAGACTCAAACTAAAGCAGCACCTACCAAGCCATTAACATTAACAAAACCAGTATCTAAAAAAGTAGCTGCTGCTAAATCCACTGTCCTTAATGTGGCCAAAACAGATTCTAATGAGAACACCGTCGCTACCAATAATATTTCTTCTAAGGAACTGGTTGCGATGACAAAATCAAAATTGCCTATTGATCAAAAAACACCGTTAGCTAAATGCGATAACGATAAGGAAAAACCAGATATTGAATTAGTTCAGACTACGAAAAATATATTGCAGAAATCTAAAGATAGTTTACTTCAATCTGCTCGCAATAAATCAAAGCCAACCAAAGAATGCGAAAATGAATTGGAGCAAAGCGAGATTTTCGAATCAATTGATTTAGATAAAATTTCGGATCAGAGTGATGTTGGTATCGTCGAAGAAGAAATGTCCGAAGACCCTGTAAAAAAACCAGCTTTGAAATCTTCAGCTCAAATAAATGTGGTAGTAAATCCACTCGCCTTGGTAAAGCCAAAGCCAACAAAAATTACTTGTGTTCCACTATCGAAATTGATAACTGTGAAATATCCGGAGAAAGTAAGTGAGAGCAATGATGAACACAAAAACGATGATATTGATACTGATGTCGTGTTAGTAGCTGCCTCAGAGCCTTTCAAAAAAGTCGACATTTGCAGCCAAAAAGAATACAAACTTCATAAAAATGACACAATTGCACCGAGCAGCAGCTCTGAAACGGAGAAGAAGGATAACAGAAATCGTTCCAACTATCTTCCAACATTGTCCGCAGCCGTAGCTCAGGGTTCCACATTTGAGTCGCCATCAAATGTTAGCGAAATCCTGGGACTTTTGGGAGTTGAGTACGTTATCAAAATTGTCAAATTTATGAAAGATAAAGCACCAAGATTTCAGTGCAGCTTATGTGACATTACTACCGATGAGATCTCAATGCAAAACCATCTGATTGGCTACAATCACCGCCTAAAGTATTGCGAAAAACATTTCCCAACCGCTATGCGCCAGAATAAACAATATATTGCACATATTCCGGAGGATATGGTCTTCAAAGTGTTATCGCCAATATTAGAAAAGCTGGCGATGGCAATTGAAAAACACCACGGCCGAGAAAAGTCCTACCTTTGCTATGAAAACTCTTTTAGTAAAAATCGACAAAGCATTGTTTCAACAGTTTTTCATCGCAGACACGCATCCGAGGTGGTTGGTCCCTCATTTACCCATGTTGTCGATTCAAAGGATGTGGATATCTTGATTGCAAATGCTAGCAAGAGCAACGCTAACACGACAAACGACAAAACGACAAATGTAATTACATTTAACAGCCATATTAATTTAATTGCGAATCAAAATCCCAAAGTGTATTATCCCAATTCCAATCACCAGCCAAGAGTCGTCGCTGATACCGTTGATGATGAGACGCATAAGCGAATGGTTGATATGTTCTTAAGGGACACGCGGCAGACTACTCAACCCATGCATCGACATCGTCAAGCGTCGAGAAATTTGAAACGTAGTCGATCAAGATCGAACTCTTCTGAGAGAAAGCGAAGCCGATCGACGAACCAATTAAGCATATCCCAATGGGACATGAAGCGTAGATCGTTGTCCCCATTAAAAGATGGTGATATTTGGCAGGCCTATCGACATATGGTCGATCATAGTGTGCGGGAATTAAATGCATCATTTGATTTATATAAATCCGATCCCGAAACACATCCTCTCTATAATGAGGAGTGGCAAAAATTTTGGAAGAGGCGCAGGGATGAGCTCATTGCTGCAGGCATAAATCATCGAACTTACAATTTTCAAAATGAATGGATTTTGTTTTTCAATGCTCGCTTAGAGGAACTCTACAATCAAGATGTTGAGAACATCAAAATGAAGTGCCGCGAAAGGTTATGTTTGCCAATGACCAACTCTGAATTATCAAACCCAAAATATCATGTTCACATTTCTGATAATCCATCGGACCACGTTAGTCCGAATGAGACAAATGAAAATGACTGCGAGAATATTGCTAAACCTAAACCCAAAGAAACCACAGAAGACGTAAATGTAATCCATGTACTTCGCCTTTTAACTGCATTGGAGGATCATTTGGGAAGTTTGGGGCCGAGTATCACGGAACTATTGGCTAAGGCACTGCAAACGTTTAAGTTGCATCCGAATAGGGCAAACATTTTACTGCTCACAAATGAGAATTGCGCTATCTTGGAAACAGCAAAAGAAAAGTTTACAGGTCTAGTAATTTCGAAAATCTTAGAGCCTTCTCAAGAACGTGCTTTGAAAATGGCAATTAACGACACAGAACAATTACTTAAATATGCGACTATAATACAAGCAGAACAAGCAAAAGTCAGCAACATATCAGAGCTCAATAATAATTTTGATGAGTCCCAGCACAAATCTTCGAACAATAGACTAAATACAAAATTCTCGTTCAAAAACGCAGATCTGCTCGATAAAACTGAACTTGCTGCTAAGCTAGCTTCCTCGCTGATCTCACAGGGAAAAACTAAAATTAACCAAGCACAGCTCCAGCAAATAGTTCAAGTCTATTCGCATCTTGAGCAACAGAAACTCCAGGATGTGACAACAACAACAACGAATAAAAATAGAATTGATTCACCAAATGAGACGCCTTCCCAAGGAAATATCAGCAATAATCATTTTGATTCACGCACAACGATGTTTGAGCAGCCATGTCGGCAATCGCAGAACTTTAATTATAATAATAATCTTGCTGCTTTTGCCACAAACTACAACGAATTTCCAAACTCTAATTTATTAAGTGGTACGCATAACAATGAAACTAATACTAATTACTTCACTGCAAATATGGTACGCCGCAATAACGGAGGTAGCATTCACATCAATCATATGGAATACTTCCGCAATAGACAGCAGCAGAACTCACAGCAGTACAATCAATATGACTACGAACATTTTGACAGTGGAGAATCAACTGGACAGCAGAATTACGATGTGTTTCGCAACGACAAGAACTTTTAGTGTCATCATGGAGAGAAATTATTATTTTGGTCCAACTGATACTAGTACTGGAGGACAAAGAAAAACTGTGTCCACGGAACCAAACTGGGGCTTAGAAATAATTATTTTTTAAGCTTCTTATGATATGAAATCAAACTTGTATTAATTGTAAAATGTATAAAAAGATGTATCTCTTCTCTAATGTACATACAGTTATAAATACTATTATTCATTGAAATATTTATAAATACATTATCTGAAATGATTATATTAGCCACTTCAGTTTAATTTTCATAACAGCAGCCATGTATTTTATATCCCTCGTCTAATCTATAACTCCCAATACAAAATGAACTTGAATCTATTTTTCTACTATGTAATTGAATATATTTGAGCTTTTGTTAGGTTTTTCCTTAAAGATACCATTCTTTATTTAGATTTTAAAAATAGATTACACTTTGACTAATTGCTTATCGACTAAAAAGCAACTGTTATAAGTTATGGTATATATATAAAATTAACGGTCTTGGCTGACCAACTCAGCCTTTATGCTCCTAAAGCTAAGTTCAGATTTTATCGATGATTTCATTTCGCAAATTGTACCCTAAGAGTATTCTAATTTTGTCGTGAAACTTGTCCGACCCCATATCGAATATATATGTACTCCAATTGTTAACACTGAAGTAAAATGTATATATTCCTGATCGGCGTTAAAAATTAAGTTAATACAAGATCTAGTCATCTTCGCCTAGCTGCCCTCTCCTGTATGAAAAAGACAGTTTCATTGAGATTCAACCAACAACTACTTTCATGACAAAATTAAGATGCGCTTTGCAAGGGTATATGAATACAGATACCGCCTTGACATACATTTTCTTAATATATATAATAAGTATCTTTAGGCTAATTTTAGTTTTAAGTCGAACTAACTTTCATAAATTAATTATTACAAGGACAGAATGTTGGACTGATTAAGGGCATAGTTTTGTTTTTTTAGATTGTGTTCGCGTTAAAAATGTTCAGCTGGCTTAATATGGTTTTTCTAGCTGTTATTGAATGAACTAAATCGCAATATAAATAGAATAGTGCCGATACACAATAAAAATCCATTGACTCGACGCTGGCACTACTAAATAACAATGGGGAAAAACGTTACTATTAAATGGCTGTCAAATTGTCCTTTTACTATGTATAATCACTATCTGTCCTTAATTTATAAATTATGAAATGGATATTTTAAGTTAAACTTAAGCTAACAATATAAAACTTCTCGCGGATGTGGATCTAACGAAATTTGGATGGGATTTATGGAAATATTCGTTGCGACCTTAAAAGAAACTTCCGCATATTGTGTATGTTCTTAAGGATGATGGAACTTTGCTGCTGGACGCTGCTGTTGTGTGAGTAAAATATTATAAGAAAATGCGAATGAATCCCTACCCCAACCACCCAAAGATAAAGCACGGAGGAATTTTTGTTTTCTAGCCCATCATACGAAAGATTATCGCGCAACTGTTGTTGATTATTTGTTTCACAACAAGACGTCGCAACTGAAGGTCACACCTATCTCCAAGATGTTAGATGCAGTAAAATAATGTTTCTTTCTGGACCCAAGAGACACCTGTTTAATTGAAAAATTTAATTTAAATTATAATCAATTGTGAAGTTCAGACGTTCTAACGGGTAGATCCACTATAACTTATTATTACTGATTTCATCTAATCGAATGATGAAGGAATCACTGTCTTAGACAAATAATAATATAATGTATACAAAAATTATTGATTAAATAAATAAATATTAAAATATACAACAATTACAATTACAATTTCAATACAATTGAAGTACCTGTAGAACTTAGATATAGAGTCTTGAATCTTGGAACATATATTCCAATTTAGAAGATAAATTACATTAATGTAAAAAATAGTTTAAGGTCGACTGCATTCCCGCCTCCAAATCGATATACCTGAAAACGCAAACCGCAAAAACTCTATAATCTTGGAACGCATATTGCTGGTGACATCCTTCAAAGAACGACATATAGGACCCAAATCGGAACATCATCGCCTCAAGACAGAGCGAAGATTTCGTTCGAGGCACTGTTATTGTTAAAAGTTATGCCATAAAATATTATTTGTTAAATTAGAGCTTTTGATTAATATAAAAATGAATGATTTAGTGTGAATATATTCTGAGTGAAACAATAAAAGTCAACCATAATTATTTATTTATTATTTTTATTTTTTTGCTCAAAAATCTTGTCCGTAATAGAATTAATACAGCTTTTGATGAATCTAATACTTATGAAGTACATGTTTAGAATTACTTATGCCCGAATTCTGTTTTTTAAATCGCATCTCTGCTTTATGATCAAATGTTTTTATAGTGTTGTTTAGTAAACGAATGAATTTTCAATTATAAAATCTAAATTCAAATTTTCAAAATTACGACGAGCTGAATGGATATAGCCATATCCCCATTTCTATGTACATATATCGAATTGAGCGCATCGGTTTGTAAATTTTTGTAATTTTTAATTCGATCAAAGTATTTTCCTAATTAAGATAGAAAGCTATAACTCTAAAATTGTGACCTTTGTTGATACCAGTAGATGAATCGATTTTACAAGAACGGAGGAAGTAATCGATGAAATAACAATAAACTTGAGTTCAGCCAGTTCATAAAGGAGACAGACGGGTACGGATATCTATCATAGCGAATATATATATTTTATGGGGTCGGAGATGTGTCCTTCTGCCCGTTCTATACTCTTGTGTAAGTTGATTATAGCCCATTTAATGGGTATAGGGTATAGAAAGAAAGAAAACAGATAGATAAAATCTGATCCATGCTATATTATTCATATATTGCAATCCAATTTAATGTAAATTTCTTTCGCCACTCTGAACATTTTGAAAAATAAGCCCATGATTCCTTTACCTTCCTAAAATATTAAAGGTATGTAGGTCGACTGTAATTGAATTGGAGTATCAAACAATTTATTTCGTCTGTAATTATTCACATAAGTTGGTTTAGAAAAACAATGCTGTTGTAACCCGTATACGATGGGTTATGCCGAATCTATAACGAGCGGTTTTCACAAAAATATGATATAACAAATATTTTTTTGGCTTATAACATTTCAGAAAGATATCTCAACTACTGACAACAATTTGAACTGAATGGCGATACAAATTGTACAAATATCTCATTTATATCTTTTGAACGCGTCACGGATTATAGTGATTGAGGTAACATTCGACGCATATTTGAGACACTAATTATTCATTTAAACATAAGCACAAAAAGACCTGAACTGTCCCTTCGGCTCCAATTAGCTCACTTATATCCCATGAACTAGCTGAATTTCGAGCTGTTTAAAAAAGTACAAGCATGCACCTTTTCTACATAAAACAATACTTTTATATCGGTAACTAGCTTGATAAGATTGGGCTATCAGATATAGCAGAATCGTCACTAGAGTGAAGTGCTCCCCACTATGCCCAGTATAACCAAATTTAGTTCGTAGTTTCCCAGTTTTAAGTTAGTTCTACTTGTATAAATACTTTATATTTTATTTCACAGCAATGCAGAACAAAGTCTAAAAGTCTTCAATAAGAAGTGTTTAAATCTACAAATAAATTATTTTATTTTTCAATATTCCAGAAATTGCCATGCCTGCTTCTTCATTGTGTGATGCACACATAAATTCATCGTAAGTTAATGTTGTTCTTTTTTGCTTTACTTTTTTCCATACTTGTTTATTTCCATGCAGTCCTTAGAAATTAATATGGAAGATAGGAAAGGCTCTGCAAATATAGGAAAGGTGTAGAAGGCATTTCTGATTTTGTTAAGTGCACTTTTGCAAAACTAGGTTTTCATGCTTTATAATTTACTTGCATTTCTTATTTCAAATACTCATAAATTAGACTGCAAAAATTAAAGCTAAAAATAAATTTGTAGACTATGTCTTGTCAGTTAAGATTTTTATTCAATTCTTTATTTCATCAATTTACAAACACTCGGGATGGTTTTACAACTGTTACAGAAGGTTGAAAAGTAAATTGGGTTTGTTCACAGTCCGTCAAGCTGTCCATATGCCAAATTAAAAACAGCTAGTCACCGAAATTAAGGGGTATATATAATTTAATGTGGATTAAAAACAGAAAGAATAAAAATACAATTTAAATAATGTAAAATTAAATCTGAATAATGAAATTAAAATTTAAAATGAGAAACAATAATTTAATAACAAATAAAGGATATATTAAAACTGGGGCTATTAAATTGGATTTAAAAATTTAATTATACAAATTTGACCGATAATTTTACTTATTACCAGCTTGTCTTTATTTGAGATGATCGCTAGTCCCATTTAATTTCATAAGTTCATTTCCATGAGCTCCTTTGTTGTGTAGGATATATTGTTAAATGCATTGGAGAAGTCAGGAAATATTCTTTGTTAAATAATAATAAGTCTCATGAAGAGTTTTAGTCTTGAAAGGAAGTCGGCCCTTCTGCTGATGCTAATGCAGAATAAACTACCATAAGTGATATACAACACACCCCTTCATAAATACAAATATTACATTTTGGATACACATTTAAATTTGGCCATAAACTTTTAGTTAACACTATTATTTAACATTTAATTATAGCGACAAGTCCTTAAATCTGGATGACTGGGTTACAAGTGGAAAACTTGGTTCTCGTGAAGCAGTATTAGTTTTCCGCACTAACATACTTAATCCAAAGACTAGAAAAATGCTATTAGAAACAACGCACGTACAAGTGGATCGAAAAAAGGGGGATGGTCAAGCATGCTCCACTCCGAACGAGATGGGTCCTAAAGGAGATCTATCCCCAACAATTGGCAAAACACCACAAAATAATCCAACTCATGGGAAACTATACGTGTCTGTTAACAAGCTGACAAAGTTCAATAATGTTGATAATTTTGCAACGAAATCGCATGATTCATTTTCTTCATGTGAAGAAGTATCAAGTGATGGCGATGAAACGCAATATAATGAATCAAAGTCAAGAGCAAAGCATCATAAGAATAATAATCTCTTCATGGCAGAAATTGAAGATAATTTAGCAAAGGAAAGTGGACATGATTCCATTACTGCGTCTCAGTCAAATTTAGGAATAAATACTAGTGAAGAAGATCAAGAGGAGGCGTCCAGCGAGGAAGACAACGAATGCGGAATAAATATGCCGGCACATCAGTTGCAAATAACATATAAATTTATCCAAACTGAAACCAAATTGTTAAGGAAAATTTTTAATGTTCACGGATTAACTGAAGTTCAGGGTGAATCAAACTTTAACTTGCTATGGACTGGTGTTCATATGAAACTTGATACATTACGGAACTTATCGCTGTATCAACGAGTTAACCATTTTCCGCGGTAAGTAAATAAAAACAATTAATGCATAAATCTCATCATAGCTTTTAATGGGCAATTAGACATTTTCTCGACATTTTAAAGTGAAAATTAAAGCACAAGCTTTCATTGGCTTATAACCTAAGACACTGGTCGAAATAAGGTGTGAGACACTGTATATATGGATAAATATATAATATGGATAAATATATATATATATATACTTTTGCTTTCGATGTTCTTGCAGATGTCAAGTAAATTATTATTTTATGGATTATAGTGAATGTATGTATATATAGTTAGTTCCTTAGTTTGGGTGTAGTGTAATCTCCATAATAATTGAATTTATGTTTATCTATAAGGCTAGTACTCCAACCCGTTGAATGGTTAATTCTATGAGTAGCTTATAATTCAAATAAACAATACAATTCAATGTTTTTTTGTTGTTTAGGTCTTATGAACTGACACGAAAGGATCGACTTTACAAGAATATTGAACGAATGCAACATCTGCGCGGAATGAAACATTTTGACATTGTGCCACAGTCTTTTATTCTTCCACTAGAATCGCGAGACTTAATATTTGCCCATAATAAACATCGTGGACCTTGGATTGTTAAACCGGCAGCATCTAGCAGAGGACGTGGTATTTTTATTGTGAATTCGGTAAAATTGATTTTGATTTGTTTAAATAAATTTTGTAATTTAATAAAAACAACTTTGTTTGCAGCCAGACCAGATACCACAGGATGAGCAAGTTTTAGTATCCAAATATATCGTTGACCCACTTTGTATTGATGGTCATAAGTGCGATTTGAGAGTGTATGTATTGGTCACATCTTTTGATCCACTTATCATTTATCTGTACGAGGAGGGTATCGTCAGACTGGCAACTGTTAGGTACGACAGAAACGCCGATAATTTATGGAATCCTTGTATGCACCTTTGTAACTATAGCATCAACAAATATCATTCTGATTATATAAGATCATCGGATGCCCACGATGAGGATGTAGGTCATAAATGGACGCTGTCAGCTCTCTTAAGACATCTGAAACTTCAGGGATGCGACACTCATTTACTAATGCTAAACATCGAAGATGTTATAATTAAGGCTGTCCTTGCATGTGCGCAAACAATTATTTCCGCGTGCAGAATGTTCGTACCTAACGTTAACAACTGCTTTGAGCTTTATGGTTTCGATATACTAATTGATAATACGCTTAAGCCATGGTTACTCGAAGTTAACCTGTCGCCTTCAATGGGTGTAGACAGTCCACTGGACACTAAAGTAAAGGCATGTCTTGTCACAGATTTGCTTACCTGTGTTGGTATCCCCGCTCTAAGTCCGGAAATGAGATCTCATTACGATAGTAAAACCACACGACTTCGTAGCTCTAGCTGCCAAAGACAAACAGATACAACAGAATCGAACACATCTACACATCGATCGACAAAAATAAAAAAGAAGAGTTTGGGTTTAGCTCCATTGACACAAGAAGATCAACGCATATTGCGTAGTGCTCGATTGCAATACACCAGGCGTGGAGGTTTTGTTCGCGTCTTTCCCACGGACGATTCAATGCAGCGATACGGACACTTTTTAGACTCAGCAAATGGAATCCCAATATCAACACCAACTGTCCAAGGTCAAACATTCCAAACGTTAGTCACGCAACACAATTACAACCAAATGTTGCATTCAAATTTATACTGCCCTGGCTCGCGATGCATTAAAGACGATAATTGTCAAGAAAGTCGTATAAGACAGTACGAGCGAGCCTTGGAAACGGACTCGGAGATTCCATTTCTAAAGAAGCAAATTGTTGAGAAGTGCGAAGAAGAAGGACGAAGGCTTCGCAAGCAGATGCTAAAGAAAATTGGAAGTGGTTCGACATTAACTCACTTTCAAGCACGGCAGACATTTTGTTTATATTTAGAGTCAGTTCTACGACGATTGACCCAAGAACCCAAAGACAGTCACGAAAAGATTATACTCAAGTTTTTAAATAAGTATGGTGGGGGGGTAAAACCCCCAATATTGTTTCGCAACACGCAAAACGTAAGCAAAGCTCGTTCGGCAATGGTGGCTAAATTGTTGGGAGATTTTCTGGAAATTTACAAAAGAGATACAGAGTCGTATGTAGATTCGTTTGACCATTTTGGAATGATTCCAACCAGTGCCTATAGTTTATTTTTAATGCACGCTCAAGAGTCTGATTTGGAGGCAGTGCTAACTCACCACACAAATATTACCGGAATAATGCCATTTTTGTATAATCGAATTGGATTTTCAGTGCCACCAACGCCTCCTATTCCGTCCGGGTTACATGGTTTTTTAAGAGCTTTACCAGCGATGGTGTCAACTTCTGGAGTTGTAAGAGATGTTAGCAAATATGATGGATATTTTAAGAACTGCGATAAGAATTATGAAAATGTTCAAGATATTTCATTAAGGTCAAGGAGCACAAGAGGTTCTAAATAATTAGGAAAATTTTTTACAATTTAGCTACATAAAATATTTTTACTACAATCTCTTTATTAAAATCTTTTTCGATTTCCAAATTACTTGCATTCAGGCTGGACGTATAAATAAAGTTCAACAAAAAAACTTGACTTATTAATATAAATTCCAAACACATGTGTACAATAAGATAACTTTTGTATTGAGGAAAGGTCCAATACTTGGTAAACATTTTGTTTACCAAAGCATTACTCATAGATATTTCATCTCAAATTCCACATCGGATTTAACGATGCTAGCGAACATAGATAATTAACCGGTTAGTAAAGGGAAATATGATTGCCCTTACAGACACCAAGAAAATATATTATTCCCACAGTTTGCCTTTTCCTTACGAGGAGCGAGTAGGATATGTCCAAATTAACAATTACACCAACAGTGCCGTGCATCAGCATAATATAACTTTTCATAAATATGGTTGCAATGCAAACCTGATTTTAACTTATAAAAATTAATTAATTGTTGAAAGCCGAATCAATTTTGCGTACAATATAAAATTGTCAGAAATTTCTTTTGTTTACAATAGTGTGACCAAATGTTTTTTATTTTTAGTTTTTTTTTTTAACATTTTGCCAGAAGTAGAGTAACAGAAGTATTACAGTAATTCTAACCCGTATTTCAAATAATCAAGATTATACATTGCGCATGTCCGTTTTCTCTTAACAGAAGCAGCTGATTTTTTAATATCAAAGTCGATTTAGGTTTACACTACAAATGACAGATAGTAAATATGTCATCCTTAAAAAAAGAAGAAAAATTGGAGGGAAAACGCTTGACGATCTTAGGACTTCGATCGAGCTTTGCACTTCGATTTGAAAGATTATGTTTTCACATTACATTTTTTGAATTATTTTTCGTAAATTTTATTATTATATATATATATACATTTTATTTTATAGATTTATAAAATAATCTTTTTAGTAGCCGTTATACATTCCTCTTTGGTATTTATAAAAATTTGTTGTGCTTAACGACCGGATTGGTTTTCTGGATTCCCTTGAGTTATTCGTAATTCTGTTCGTGTATCTGTTTTTTTTTTTAGCATGATAGCTTCAATGATTGTTACCACTGTAGTTATTAATACTGGGTCATTTTAGGAACATTTTGACAAGGTAAAATTTACCACATCAACAAACAGCATTCTCGGATTGTAGTTTCTTATTTTCCTTCTTAAAGTAATGGTCCCATTATCTGTCAGTCTTTGTAAGTGTAATTTCCTCCGTGAATTAATAGTTGTATCGTCCTCCATAAGTTGTAATTGAAGAATCGGCTCATGGTGTATTTATTATTGAAATGCTGTAAATTGTGTTTATCTATTAAAATACCCCAATTGTACGTCAGACGTTGTAATATGTCTGAAGTTTGGACTCTGTGATTTCATTGTGTTCAAATTAACAAGCCGTGGTTAGTTACTATTAAAACAATTGTTTTTTATTCTGCAGTTAGAGTTTACGTAAGGTTTGAATTAAAATACAATATGATATTCTTATGTTTCGATGCCAAAGTTTATAAGCCAAAGAGAAGTTATGAATTTTAATTGAGAGAGCCTTCGAGATTTGGATTTTAATCTTGCAGAACTGCAGTTTGTTGTAAAGATGTTCACTTTTTTTCTTTGGTTATATCAGACCTTTCCCGAGGTAACCCTAAGTTTATTATAACACATTTGTAGTATTCTATGATTTTATCTATAAGATGGAAATTATGTAGTGATATATAAATATTTCTGAGCGACTTATATATTTGCTTTCTTGATTGTGAAGCATATATTTTAAGTTATAAATTTGCATATAACCAAAATAAGTACAAGTACTCAAATGTTGTGATTCAAATGTTCGTTGTGGTCTTTGATCCTTTATTGATGACATTTAATGACTATTAGGTTTTTGATTGATTTTGTCAGTATTCACTGTTAGTGTTAATTGTGAAAAGGATGAGGTTAGTTCGATTATGGGATTTTTTTTAAGTTTTCCCATCTCGGATTAACTGACTTTCCACTTTTTTTTTTATTGGGATTACATCTTGGTTTAAACTTAAATATTTACGGCATTCTTCAATTGTAAATGCCAAACGAGGTTCTAAATAAAAGCGGGAAGAACCAGGAAGAAAGGAAAATGTTTGTGATTGAAATTTTATTTATTTATTAATTTGTGTTTAATGTTATTTTAAATGTCTAGGATATGTAAAGACGTATCGAAATTTAGTACACACACACGGAATTATATAGTTCTGAAAATCAGGTGAGCTACAAAATCGAATCTATCCACAAATGGTGTTCGGTGATGGGATCGATTATTTATTTGCGTGCTGAGTTTCCGTATATCCTGCTAATTTTAGTTTATGTAGAGCAATTGTTATTGGTAATTTTTCTTTAAAAATTTGTATTCGTTCAATATTTTTTGGAATTTCCAGTTTTCCCTCATTAATACATTTTCTATTTAGCATGCTTGTATGTAATTGTAGAAATACATCCCTTGAGTTGAGTTTGCTCATAGGTCTTCGTAAATCTGTGCAGCTGATCGAAAACTACTGAATTCTAGTAGTTTGCATTTGACTTAGAACCTACTCCCTTCTGTCAAGAGTTTATATTCTTTCGAAGTACTTTTGGGGATTTATTTATATTTCTTTTAGTTAGGCTGAGCGCCTCGGATCAAAGGTGAGGGTGCGTATCTTTCAGGATTTCTTAAATCCTTTTTTGCTAGCTGCACTTACAACGGTTGATTGGTCACTTCGTTTGAGGAGAAGACCTTTGGTCCTATCGGCTGTGCCAGTTTTGTACACGACACGCGTTCTTAGACTTTTGCAACGCGTTGCAATTTGAATCGTCGAAGTATAATAACAAAAGTTTATTATACTTTTTATATTATTTGGAACTATAGTTGGTTCTGATAAAACTAATGTCGGCATTGGTTTTCCTGATCGTGTTACACTGGAGTATTGACTTCATATTTTGGCGCATTATATTAATATTATTTCGTTACCCTTATAATGACACTGACAAACGCGCACGATTCTTTGCCTTGGTTATCTTAACTTCACTATTGATAAGTTAAGATCAACATTGCAAAGAAATAATCTACAGTCATTCATAACTTATTGAATAGTTAAAACAATATTTCTAACTGCGATAGACTATATTATTAGTCCTGGTGCTGTGTAATTTTTCGCTGTGGAATTTTCACGTCCGGTTTAGAAACCGCTAAACTAAAATTCACAATATTAAATAAATCGCAGTTACCTGTGTAGATTATTTTCGGTTGTTTCAAAATAATGAGCGTAGATATATTTTGACGGCAGTTATCGGCAAACCACCATAGAAACGGTAATTGCATCGAAATGGAAATCGTATACTATCAATGAATTTTAATCTTTTTGAATCTTCAAGAAGAAAGTTTACTCATTACCGCCGTAAAGGCGAGAAAATTAATTCATTACATTTCTGCCACTCAGCAGACATTTTAGTTTTTAAGTCCCACAAGCAAAATATATTGCAATTTCGCTCTCGAAATTTGTCTTCGATCTGTAAATATATTTGTGTGCATAAATGAATTCCTTAATCAGTGATGAATTGGTCATGGTAGAGATTAACTTTATTGTGATTTCTTCAGGGTTGCTTCGAATTGTATCGAACGCGAGCTATTGCCTTGCAATGTAGAACTTATTTGTTTTAAGTTTGTTTCATATAATAAAATAGAACGCAAAATGAGTTTATCTAACCGAAGAGCATCTCGCCTCTTCGCTGGTAAGAATAGAACTGATTTACAAAAATGAATAAAATTAAGTTGGGTAACCGCTCCGTTGTCGGTCTTGCTGTTGAATCTTTATGTGTCGGGTGTCGTCTGGGTCCCACCGTGGAACTCTAGTGGAATGTGTTGACAAGGTGCGCGAGTCGTCTTAGATATTTTTGGCTGCATCCAGCGTTGGTGAAATTTGCTGGTAAGGCGATAGTTGGTTCTGGGTAATTGCGACTAAGTGCAGCATTGGTGAAGTATACCGGCGAGGCAAAGTTTCATATGACATTTGATATAGTTTAGCATTAGTTCTTTGTAGCAATAGTTCTTAATTTCTCACCCTTGAAGCGCGGACGTCCTCGCACCGATGCAAATGTTTTTGGATTGTTTGATTTTGCTCCGCGCGATTGTCTTCCTGTTTGTTAGCTTCTCGGGTGATCTGTTGTGGGATAGTCTTTTGTCTGATCCAACAGGTGACCTTGGCAGTTATTAAAATGACGAGTGTGGGTGAGAATGCAAAATTTACAGATGTCGTGGTTGTGCTGCTACCACATAAGTGTTTTTAGATCTCTTGTATTATTGATGTTTATTTCTTTTAGCATATGTAGTGACAGTACTTCTTCGACTTCTGTGCTGCTTCCGCAAATGTCATCACCTTTGACACGTATAGATCTTATCCTACCCTTACTGTAGAGTATTCGAACTGCATAAGGAATGTTCCGCTTAGGTTCATTGATTCTTCGTCGATTTTCATTGTGCCTTCGAAGCAGGATGGTTCCAGTGAACATTTCTTCATGGTCGGGTAAGTGTTGACTATGTTTGAGTTGGCAGTCAGCTATTTTGCTTTTTAGAACTATACGCTTAGTTCCGCTACATATACATTTATCATTATGGGTTTCACAATTTTCTTTAATTCCAAAAATTTGTTGATTGCTTTTAATTATGTTTTTGAATTTTAACTTAATTTATTTTGTTGTCTCTTATTCTTGGTTTTAGTAATAACGTTGTACAAATTTCATTTGATATTAATGGAATATTAATAATATAGAATTGCCATTTGTGGCAATTCTAATTTTTGGACATTTTAGCAATTCTTCAGAATTTATAAAAAGTGTATTTGTTCTTTCAGATTTGTAATTTTTTTTATTTCTGACAAAATTATTCTATTAATTGTATTTCTGAATAGCGTATATTAGATTGTTTAGGTCTTCTTTTGTATTTGTATTTCATATTTTAATATTGTGGCTATTTCATTTTGACAATTCTTATTATCTATGGTTTCTTTTATTATTTCATTAGTTCTTTCAGTTAATGCATTCCTTCTTTTCCTTAAAACTCTGTTTATTATCAATTGTTTATTATTA